GGCTCGACTCGTACGTACTTGCGTGCCTGCCGGGGCCCTACGCAAGGACGGATAATGGCGTAGTTGCGTGTCTCCGCACTGACGCAGACGGAGAAGCATGAATCCGCCTTTAGACTCCCTCAGTCTTTCCTGTAAGTTGCATGTGTTTGAGGATATGCGGGCTTGATGTGAGTGGTTGAGTCTTCTGCCTCTCTGGTGGTAGGATGCCTTGTGCACAGCTGCACACCCAGCTCCGGATGCAACTAAAAGTGCACATGCAAAAAAATAGAGAGAAAAAAAGATGCTTTGCTTTTTATTTTCTTTCATGCAGTTTCATTTTATAAGCTGAGAAGGCTTTGCTCATAGCTGCAACTCGATACTTTTGTCCAAATGAAAAAGGCTCATGGTGTTTATTAATGTACAGAAATAGATGCTCTGGGTTTTATTTTATTATTTGCTGGAAGGATGTCATCAGCCAATCAATTTGGCCTGCAGTAAGATGATCGTAGGCAGTAATGGTACAAAGAATAATCAGTACATTTTTTGCCTACAACTGTCCTTTTATCACAGTATTTTACACATTTAGTTTTCTTGTGTTAATGTGCTTTAATTCTGTTACATACCCTTCCTACCAAACACTTGTCATAGTCTTTTTGTTTCTTACACTTAAGGTATTCTGTGTGTGTGCGTTTGCGCGCATGTGTGTGTGTGTGTGAGAGAGAGAGAGAGGGTGTATAGTATGTTATTAGCATAAAGAAGTAGACCAATGGTTTGTAGAGTCTTGGGCTTATAAAAATAAGACAGTTTGGTTCCAAGTCTGTTCTTGACTACATCTCCACCAGAGACTTGTCCTGAAACATTTTGTGTTTTACATTCTGTAAATCTAGAAAATATTTTGCATATCATCTATACAACTGGTGAATGTGTCGCCAATAACAAGTGGTTTACATAAGTCATCTGAGACTGACAAACATGGCACACTCACTTTTCACACAGTTAAAGCTGTTGTAATGAATCTGCAAACAAGCTAGGTTTTGAATGTAAACACGGTCACAGAACACTCATCCCTCCCCCTGGGTATCCACTCTGAGATGCTTTTGCCTGTACCGGAAACCTGTGATGCCGGATGAAACGAGATGGTGCTAAACACACCAGTTGCAGTTTTCTAGCTCCAAATGTCTTTTGTTGTCTGTGACTTCAAAAAGTGTTTTTTTGAGGGGGTACTCTGGTAGTTTGTCCTGAAGTGAAAGTGGTAGCATCTGGCTGTTTCTCCTCTGATATTCTTGAGCAGAGAACCTCTCACACCAGTAGTGTTTCTAGTGGACGCAGGGAAGTGCGGCATTTTGATGAGACTAACAGACAGGTGGTCCAATGGTTGCTTTTGTTCTGAAACGTGTTATTGTCAGAGGTTTTCAGACCAATGTTGGTTTTTATCTCCACTATATTTATAGTTCTACTATGTGTGAACGTTAAAAAGTATGAAAACGTGTTTTAGGCTAATTTGTTGTCCAAATTTGCCATTGTAGCTTTAAGCGCATGATTTGATGTACTGAAATTGAGAGGGCCTTTTCAAAAGGACAAGTGAATGTGTCTCTAGAAAATGCCGAGCTAGCTCTATCACAATGATTTTGTTTTATCACATTTATTTGAGATAACAATTGGATCTTGTCTGTTTTTGTTCTCATTCACTTGTATGAAAACTACAGATGAAACAGAAATGTTGTGTTTCCACTTTGCACTCTATCACTTGACTGAATGACGATTAGTCATCATTCTTTTGTTCACCTGACCTCCGGTGTGGAAATTATTTATCTGTAATGTGACAGAAAAAAACAGAAACTCAAGATTTTGACAAACCTGTGTCTAAAGTATGAATTTCAAATGGCATTTTCATCACCGTAAATTTGCAAAGTGAGTGCACGGAGGAGAAACCTAGTAAATTATTATAACTGCAGGTGACCTTCACTTGTACTGGTAAATCTCGTCCACGCATCATGGTGAGCTAACCACAGATGTTCTTTGGCTGTAGGCTGGATCAGATCCTTATGTTTCCTCATTCGCTCTAACACTTTGTTTGCCGCTGGCTTTACTGCTCAGTTCAGATTTTTTAAAAATGAGAAATCAAAATTTGAAAGCACTGCATAAGCGCACACTGTAAAATTTGTTAAATGTGTCATGACTAATTTGCTTTGATGAAATATTAAATATGTATCTGATTTAGGACAGTAGTCTGGTGTAATGGAATGAAATGACTGTTTTCCAACAAAAGTCATTTTTCCCCTCTGACACAGAACTAGTCTGCATGAGATATGGCCTCAAGGTCTCAAGCATTTGCTTCTAAACTGCTTCTTTCCGGCTCAAGAGAAGAATGAAGAATGGACTCTCTCCTCTTAATAAATCAAAGAACTCTATTTTTAATAAAGCTAATCAAACAAAGTCAATAATAAGATGTGACCAATCTGTGAAATCAAAATATTAATTACGTTATTATAATTCTACAGAATATAATAAGTAATATGACTTTAAATATTCCACTAGGACTGATCTCGCGTAGCGTTAAGAGACGACACATTGCTTTTATTGATCCAATCAGAATCTGCCAGATCTGACGGAGGCGTGGTTTTGGTGGTGTTTGGTAAATCTGTCATCTTTTCATTCAACCATAAACAAAAACATCCGAAGTATAAAACTATGCCTGGTTGAATTGGTCTTGGATACAACAAAATATTTGTCATACTTTTGTATGACTTTTACATAGCAGCTGTAATAAATGCAGCCTGGATTTTGTTTGTGTATTGGTAATAGCAAACAAACATTAAGATGGAATAAACGTCTCCTAGGCTGTCAGATGCACCAGATCTTGTTATCAAATACTTTATGGATTTTAATTATGTTGCACACGTACATGTCTTATTTATGTTTGGATGCTGTTTGTTTTAATTACATTTAACATTTTAGTCATAAAAATAGAGTATGATAAAATGTAAAATAAATAACTTGACACAACCTCCTTGTTCAGAGGAACTTGCCAACACAAGTGTTGCTTTTATATTCTATTTTAAAACATCATGTTTCTCAAACAGTGACCTCAACAGCCCACTTGCTACTGAAAGGGAAGTTTTATTAGGCTGGTTAAAATGTGTGGGAGGAATGAGGAGAAAACGGGGGAGGAAGTGCAGGAATCCCTCCCTCATCTCTAATGATTAGGTCACACCTCTGGCATTTTTTAATATCTTATTTCCTGCATCTGTCTCGAAAATCCTCCAAAAAATCCAGACTCAAATGAAAAAATATTGCCAGTCAGATGAAAAAGCCAGTAAAGTAAGCTCACATGTGATGTTTGACTGGCATGCTCAGTTTTGGTGAAATACTGTGAGAAGACCTCATTTCTAACAAAAGACAAAAAAAACCATCATGCACACACTCACCTATACACCAGCACAGATGCTGTGTGTAGGCGAAAAAGGCACAGGATGTGTGGTATGGGTGCAGGAAGTGCAGCAGGAGCTGATAAGTAAATGTGTGCACATTCAGCAGGAGAGCCCCTGCTTTAGGTCTCCAACTGCTGTTGATGTATTGCTATTTAAAATCTAAACACGCCAACAGTTTCTCAATTAATTATTCTTATGTGAAAAAAACAAAACGAAAAACAGACGAGTCATGTCGTGAACGGAACTGATGAGGTGACTTCGTCTCTAATCCTGTTCAGTAGATTTTAGTGGCTGGAGGCAAAACCAGAGTTAGTTTCCTGGTTGCTGACTTTGATCTTTTGTTTGTACCAAAATAAATGTTTTCTAGTGTAAATCATCACTAGAATTAAAACTTGTCTGTGGTTTGGTGCATTACTACCTCTGCCTGTCTGCTAACCCTGGGCGATATGGACCAAAACTTATTTCAATATCTTATCTTTTAGCTGAATTCCGATGCATGATATCGATCTCTGCTTTTACGGGAAATATACACAAGCTAACTTCCTAAGCTTTCTTGAGAAATTGTATACATAAATTCATCAACAGATTACATTTATTTAATTGTATCGATTCTCATCAAGCATTAACCTTAGTGCCATTCTCTATCATTCTGAGACGATGAATGCTCCTGGTACCCCATTCTCCCGACATACCCACCACAGGGCCCTCCGAGGGACGCGGTCGAACGCCTTCTCCAAATCCACAACACATGTAGATTGGTTGGGCAAACTCCCACGCACCCTCCAGGACCCCCCCCCCCCCCCCATAATTCTTTCATTCACCGTTCTAAAATCAAATCACTTTTATTGTCACGTCACATGTGCAGGTACACTGGTACAGTACATGCGAGTGAAATTCTTGTGTGCGAGCTTCACAGCAACAGAGTTGTGCAAAAATACAATAACGTAAAAACAAGCAAAATATAAAGATGGCTAATCTAAGTAATAATATGTATAGTATTATACTATACATATTATTACTTAGATTAGCCATATACCTTACATACAAATAGTATTAGTATTAGTATTAGTATGTAAGGTATATACATTACTAAATGTGTGTGCTAAGTATTTTTTATTTTTCTACGTGTGTGAGTGTGAGTGTGTGTATAATACGTACATACATATTTTACAAATGAATAACGTAAACAATAAAATAAGAGATATAAAATGTACAGAGGCTGGTATGTGCAAAACAGTGGCATTAATGTACAGTATGGAGTGTGTAATGTTGGAGTTTCAGTAGTGAGGGTGAGGTGTCTGCGAAGTGTTCAGCAGTCTGATGGCCTGATGGAAAAAGCTGTCTCTCAGTCTGCTGGTTCTGGACCGGATGCTGCAGAACCTCCTTCCTGATGGAAGTAGTCTGAACAGTTGATGGCTGGGGTGACTTCAGTCCTTAAAATGTGCATTCTTATTGAAGAATCTGTTTTTCAAACACAATGTATAACCTATTCAACTGTTTTTGTGTAGTGAATATTGCTACCAACTCTTCATTTTTGCTTACAATCTTCTTAAAGTTCATTCACTGTTATTTTTGTGTCTGGCTTCACAGTCGACATTCGAGAGATCAAGGAGATCCGTCAAGGTCCTAAGTCCCGGGATTTTGAGCGCTACGTTGAGGATTCGGCAGTACGGCTCGATCAGTCTCATTGCTTTGTTATTCTGTACGGCACAGAATTCCGCCTTAAAACACTCAGCCTTGCAGGTACACACACATTATTTTAGACCTCTTTGAATCTCATTAGTCAAACACAAATTCAGCTCATATATTGTTTTACCTTTGGTGCTTTTATTCAAACAAATCCAACATCATATAAGTGGATCTCATTCAAGTGCTCAACTGTTTTTCTCAGCAACATCAGATGAAGAGATGACCATGTGGATTAAAGGGTTAGAATGGCTTGTGGCTGACACTTTGAGGGCACCAACACCTCTGCAAGTTGAACGGTAACAAAAATGCAAACGCACGTCTCAAACAAAACAAGGTGCTGAAAACAATTGTAGCTCTTTGATTGTTTATCACTGTTCACCATTTCCTCTCAGTAATTAACCTTTCAGCACATGGCTGATGTTTAATAGCAACCGGATCTGGGTAAAGCAAGTCAGATGTGGGTGACCCTTTAGACACAGCTCCGAAGTGCACATACCTTAGGAAAAGCAGAGCGAGCATGCATGTTGGAGGGCTACAAAGTCCTTGTTTAGCCAAGATCCCTCATTGCTGAGTGCACTAAAACCTGAGTTATTAATCATCCTTACTTAGGAAGGCTTTTGCAACAATCTCAACAGAAACATTGTTTGCATATTTATGAGAAGTGCTAATAGGTAATAAAATGTTTTATTAGTGTGGACAGGGCTGTAACAAGGTCTCCTTTGTTTTGCTTTCCCCAAATTAAATGTCTCAACTTTTATCTTTTAGGTGGTTACGCAAGCAGTTCTATTCCGTAGATCGTAACAGAGAAGACAGGTGAGTTCAGTTCATATTTAGAGGTTTTCCTACCACTAAGACTGCATCTGTCCTGGTTTAGCATCAGTAGGTGTTTGTGAGAGAGTCCGGTTAAGGTGAAACGGGGAACTGACCTAAGAGCCACACACACCAGCTGCTCTTCCTGCAGCAGGAAACAGACTGCAGTGAACGAAGGAGATGGTCAGAGATGTTTGGCTGTAACATCCCTGTCTTTGTCATTTTGTTAGGGTATGATCATCTCTTGCCAAAATTTCAGGTTGTGTTGTTGACTCAAAAGGACTTAATAGAACATGTCTGTTTACAAGGTTTCACCTATCAAATGTACAACTTCACTTATGTCATGTAGCAAAGTGTCCTGGCTTTTTAGACCTTTGCACTTAAAAGTATGTGCATGTGTGTTTGTTAGTTTGATTTCCATAACACGTGTGTGTGTGTGCGTGTGTGTTAGGATATCCTGTAAGGAGCTGAAGAACATGCTGAACCAGGTCAACTACAAGGTGCCAAGCGTGAAGTTCCTCAAAGAGAAACTTCCGGTAAAATTCTTCTTCTTATCCCAGACCCCCCATTCCATTCTCCTGTCTTATTTCCTCTTCAGCGCTGCTGTTCAAAGCTAAAGATTCATCGGACATAATTACTGGCTCTTGACTTCTTGTTCTTGATGTGATGTTTGCTCCTAGGACGGTGAGATAAGAAACGGGGACGTGAGCTTCAGCCAGTTTGCCCAGCTGTATCGTAACCTCATGTGCGATGCCCAGAAAAGCGTAAGTGAGGTCATTCTATTCAGAGATAGCTGTAGCCCCCCCCCCACACACACACACACACACACACTCCTACCGCATCCTACTTCATCCCCCCTCTGTATGTTCTCAAATGGCTTCAAGATCAATATGCACCAGTGAAAACCAGCCAAACCCCTCTAGTGGAGGCCATTAGCACACACACACACACACACACACACGCACGCACGCACGCACGCACGCACGCACGCACACACGCACACACACACACACACACACACACACACAAGCAGGCATTCAGACTAGGGTCATATTAAATGAATGACCTCAGTGGCCTCCTACCCACCTACAGGAAGTCTGTCTGCTAAAGATTCGTTACACAGTAAAAACTGATTAATTGAACCGTTTCTCTTTCAGATGGAAATCCCGTTTCTTGAAAAGTAGGTTGAAAAACAAATCAAGCATGCGTAATAAATCTTTGTTATGGGTCAGACATTTATGTAATCACCTGTGCCATTGTGTTCTCTGTCAGGTTCACAGTTAGACCTGAAATCAGGATTTCTCTAAAGGATTTCAGGAACTTTCTGCTTGATGAGCAAAAGGTACAATTTTGCTTGCGTCCATGTGTGTGTGTGTGTGTGTGTGTTTGTTTGTTTGTATACATGTATATATTCTGTAACCCTTTTGTATTATTCTGTGTGTTAATGAAGGAGCTGTGGGCCACAGACTTGGACGAAGTTCAGAAGTTTATGTTCGACTACCTGAAGGATCCTCTCAGAGAACTGGAGCAGCCATATTTCCAACCAGATGAAGTAAAATAAAAATTCCCACCATAACACTTTATTTTTCATTGAAATGTTTCTAAACAACTCTAAAGTTCGACTCTGTAATGGATATTTTTATGTGTGGAGCTGCTATTTTCCGATGCCCCTCTGTCTGCTGGTTGGGTGTAGGTGGGGGATCTCTCAGATACTGATATGAATTCCAGCAATCACCTCCCCCACACAGTTGGAGAAGGTCATTAACCGTGGTGCTGAATGCTGTTTCAGATGCTTTTGTGGTTACCATCAGGTTTTTAAAGGGCAGAAAGGAGGAAGGTGGTGCGACGCAGCCCACTAGAGCCGTCTCACTTTGGCTGAGGTTATTCAGAGATGAAAACAGGCTAATCTTTCAGCTGTGCTGAAAATGCTCTTTAACAGTCAGTGTGGTGATTTTGCTACAATGGACGTTTGGTGAAATACTTCATTACTTGTTTAGTAAGTCACTGCTTACACGGAATTAAAGGCACATTCCGTCCATCAGGAGGACATCAGAGACACTTGCATGTTTTTAGCCGAGTATGAAAACAGATTAGACAACTTGGACACACCTGTCCACCTCTTTCTGGTGTTTTATATGTGTGTGATTTAACATAGAGAACTAAACTAAAATTGATGAGAAGTTTTTCATAAAGGTGTTAAGATTTCCCCACTCTACTCTCTTGTCAGTTCCTCACATACCTCTTCTCCAAAGAGAATAGCATCTGGGATTCCTCCTTGGACCATGTATGTCCTGAGAACATGAACAACCCTTTGTCTCACTACTGGATCTCCTCTTCACACAACACGTAAGCACTAAAGACACCCACACACAGGTCCTGGAGGCTCTGCCCAAACAATATTGATTATTTTACTATGTTCCTGCATAAAATTCATACACTTTATTTATTTACTTTATTTTTTTTTTTTTTACTTTACAAAAAAATTGTGTTTTTTCCTGCTGTTGAAGAGTGAGAGAGACTATTCAAATAGAAACCTTTGGTACTAGTGAAATATTAAAGTTCCCATGCTGCATTGATTTAGCTTGAACCGTCTGACTGAACTGGTTACTCCTGTCAGCCAAAGAGAAGCTGTCCTGTCTTTGTGAACTCTGAAATCCATAAACAGAGACAACCTCCTTGTGCAGTTTGTAGATTCTCGTTGGAGACTTTCAGTGTGACAGCACGCTCATGTTGACACTTTAATTTTGGGTGCTTATTTTTAGCTACCTGACTGGAGACCAGTTTTCCAGTGAGTCGTCTTTGGAGGCGTATGCTCGCTGTCTGAGGATGGGATGTCGCTGTATAGAATGTGGGTAAACACACACACCTAACCACCACCAGATTATTATAACCTTATAGGATGAACCATCACACCTTCACTTTTATATCCTCACACACACAAATTACGTTCAGCTGCTGGCACTCAAACACCTGGTCAAGCAGGTTATTTTTTGTGAAAACATGCTGCAAACTTGTTGTTGGTGCGCATTCATTGTTGTTGTGTCCCTTTTCTGTTGCAGTACCTGAATTAAAATCACGTGTGTGTGTTTTTTCCAGTGGACTGCTGGGATGGTCCAGAGTCGATGCCAGTCATCTACCACGGACACACCCTGACCACAAAAATCAAGTTTTACGATGTCTTGATGACGATCAAGGAGCACGCTTTTGTCACGTCAGAGTGAGTCTTCAAAGTAGCTTCATCTGTTCTCATAGGTGACGAGGCTGACCCAGGACAGAATAATGTGATAAAAATGAAAACGTGACACATGGCTGCATCGTCGTTGCTGTGTGTTGTGAGAGAACTGAACTAAAACAGAGGATAACATTTTTCATTCATGATTGCATCTGTGTTTCAGGTATCCTGTCATCCTCTCCATCGAGGACCACTGTGGCATCGTTCAGCAGAGAAACATGGCGACGTTGTTCAAAAGGGTATTTGGAGACATGCTGCTTACCAGGGCGGTGGATATGGTGGCGGACGCCCTGCCATCGCCCAACCAGCTCAAGAGAAAGATTCTCATTAAGGTCAGGGCTCACCTGCAGTGCCAGGATATTATCTGATATTTCTTCAGGGGAAAAAAAAATCACAGTTGAATAGAAATTATTATTTCTGGTTGTATTTTGTCTTCTGTTTATTAACGTTTTACTATTTGTGTCTTTTTAGCATAAGAAGCTTACAGAAGGCAGTGCCTATGAAGAAGTTTCCACCTCCACGCCCTACTCTGAGAGTGACATCAGCAACTCCATCAAAAATGGCATCCTGTACATGGAAGACCCCATCAATCATGTAAGCTACGTCAGCTGGATTTCATAAAAGATTTGTACAGAAATATTGTTTATTTGAGCAAACCACTTCTCACTGCTCACTCTTTCTCCTAACAGGAGTGGTACCCTCACTTCTGCGTTCTGACCAACAGGATGCTCTACTACTCAGAAGAGACCTCCATAGGAAACGACGATGAGGAAGAGCACAGAGAGGTTAGTAGGTGTGACTAATAGGGGACTGTGTTTCATTCATGAACACTGGAAATGTGAAGCAGGGACCTTATCGATGTTTGTGCTTCTGTGAACGAGTGCTGTAGCCGTGAGCCGTGTGTCATTTTCTTTCCACCTTCCAGGTGGCCAATGCTATGGAGCAGCACGTGACAGAAAAGTGGTTCCATGGAAAGCTCGGTGCTGGGCGGGATGGGCGGCAGATAGCCGAGAGGCTGTTATCCGACTACTGCCAAGAGACTGGAGCTCCTGATGGCTCCTTTCTGGTTCGGGAGAGTGAAACCTTTGTTGGAGACTACACGCTGTCTTTTTGGTATGTTTAGCTATCCGATCGCCTTTTCTTCTGCAACAAGTCACAGCAAAATTATATATATATGTATATATATATATATATATATATATATTTTTTTTTTTTTTTTTTTTTTTTTTTGCCATAACGCACAGCTTCATGTTTGGCCCAGATAAAACATATAGACTCCTGTCACTAAAGCATTGAGGAGGAAATGTGATGATTCAGGCCTTTTCCGACCACGGGGCAATGGCACATGAATAACTCGCCTTCATGGGGGGGTTTCCAGTACTCTGTTATTACAGCACCTGATTGACCCACGTATGATTTTTACACACTCTAGTACAAGTGTACAGATAATGTGAGAGCAGTATGTTTAGGGTAACAAGTGGAAAGGTGCTGAATATGTGTCATTTAAATTATATAAAAGGAAAAATTGCCAAATCTTTGGGTCTATTATATAAGCTGCAGGACATACTAAACCATAAGGCCTTACGTCTAATATACTGTTCACTAATACAACCATACATGGCATATTGTATAGAAATATGGGGTTCAACTTTTAAAACATATATACATGAAATAAAAACTATACAAAAGAAATCTATTCGAGTTATCAACAAGAGCAATTATTATGCTCCTACTGACCCGTTGTCTTCAAAATCACAGATTATGAAATTAGAAGATCTATACTATTATAAAATAATGCAATTTATGTTTAGAGTAAAATTCACGGCTCTGCCAGAAAATACACTAATGTTTTTTGCAAAGAGGGAAAGTAAATATGATTTAGAGGTGTATGTATGTTTGTTCTACAAAAAGCCAAAAAGGGCATGAAAAGGAGATGTATCTCTGTAATGGGAGTATGGAGTTTGGAATGAGGCTAAAATAGAAATAAAATTACCAACTTCTCTTTCAGTTCTAAAAAAACTAATCAGTAAAAATATTTTTGATGCGTATTAATTTGATGTTGATGGATGGATTTGTGTTTTGTTTTTATTTGGGTTGTTGGTTCATCGCGGAAAATTGAAAAATTGTCATGTAAGAAGGTTAGGCAATTATATAAGCTATTGCTTCTGCCTGAACCCATTCAGTCATGAGATGCCAAATAGACACCATATACAAATGAAAGCATATGTTAGTGAGCAGTGGTATTTGTATCTATTTGTATGACATGTTATTGTACACATTATTTTAAGATGACTGAATAAATTGATCATTCATTCAATATCCCTCTGACCTGTTTTTGTGACAGGCGTTCTGGACGAGTGCAGCACTGTCGCATACACTCTCGCCAGGAAGCTGGCAGCGCCAAGTTCTTCCTGACCGACAACCTGGTGTTCGATTCGCTCTACGCCCTCATCACTCACTACCAGCAGGTGGCGCTGCGCTGCAACGAGTTTGAGATGAAGCTGACCGAGCCGGTGCCTCAGACCAACGCTCATGAGAGCAGGGAGTGAGTCTCTTGGAGCTTTTACTATCGATGACCTGTGATTCACTCTGATCTAGCTCAGCTCTATCCAAGAACGAGACTGTTTGTGACTTGCTGGTGAAAAAGTCTCTACAATTACAGAAGTACTTGAACCTCTGTAATTGGTGGTCTGCCTGAGTACAGCACCCTGTAATTTACCAGTTCAGACATTCTGTCTTGTGGAAATTTTTCTTTAGCACAGGATCGGTATGAAGGCAGGTGAGTTCCTCATCACAGCTGAGACATTAAGTCCTTAGTGCTGGAAACGCTGACGCTCAGCAGCTTTATTACCAGTGTGTGAATGTTGGTAAAACTGAATTATTTCATGTCCAAGTAGAATCTATTCATAAAGGCGCTTTTGTTTGTCACAAGTCTCGACATGAAGAGACCAGAGCGCACCACAAACCACAGCTCCATGTTTTTCTGGATTTTTTGGCCTTTAATTGGAGAATCTAAAATGCTGCACAGTAGTTTTTGTAAAGAGTTTTATATCTGAATGAAAACCATTGGAATCTGAAACACAAACACAGTGGTTTGTTCAGTCGCTGTTGTTGTGGCGAAGTAATGAGGTAATAATTGTCCCCGTGAAACACATCATCAGTGAGCATCTGTGTACAAAAACTCAAATCTCGAGGATTTTTTCAATCAAAATCTTTCCATTATTAAATTAATTGTTTTGGTCCTTGTTGTAACACTAGTTGGGTTTTTTGGTCGTCTCTTTATTGTGCATTTAATATTTGTTAGGATTTTGTTTGTTTTGTCTCTAATTTTGTCCACACTGTAAAATGTCCCGCTGCCATCATGTCCATGTCCATCATTCCTGATCAGCTACGATTTCCAAAGCTGTTCTAGATTAAAACTTCATTTTATTTATTTATTTATTATTCATCTTTAACATTTTTTTAGGTGGCTGAGGAAAAAAATGTATTTCCTACTTTTCCTTTATGCTTTTTTATAGGTGGTACCACGCAAACCTGTCTAGGAGCCAGGCTGAGAACATGCTGATGAGGGTTCCTCGTGACGGAGCTTTCCTCGTCAGGAAGAGATCTGAACCCAACTCCTTTGCCATTTCCTTCAGGTAACTAATAACTGCTTCATTTGGTGATCATGTGTAATTTTATGTCATTTAAATCTAAATTTCTTATACCGTATTTTCCGGCGTATAAGTCGCTCCATCCATAAAATGTATAATGAAGAAGAAAAAAACATATAAGTCACACTGGACTATAAGTTGCATTTTGGGGGGAAATTTTATTATTTTTCTTACAAAATCTGAGACCAAGCATTTCACATTGCAAGACGAGTACTGGTAAAGATAACAGAATAAACAATCAGGGCGCAGCAGCACGCCATGGTCTCCAGCAGAGGATGGTGGTGTTTGAAACCCTCCCAGCGGGGCAGAGGAGCTGAAACCTGGACTGGAGCCGGCCCGCAGCAGCGGGGTATACATAATTTGGTATATAAGTCGCAGGACCAGCCAGACTATGAATAAAAGTGCGACTTATAGTCCGGAAAATACGGTATTTGGAAAAATCTTAGAGATTGCCGTAGCTCATGATGAGTCTTTCGTTGCGATCATGTTTACAGGGCGGAGGGGAAGATCAAGCACTGTCGAGTGCTGCAGGAGGGCCAGTCTGTGATGCTGGGGAACTCGGAGTTTGACAGCCTTGTAGATCTGATTAGTTACTATGAAAAGCATCCTCTGTATCGTAAAATGAAACTGCGCTACCCCATCAATGAGGACACACTGGAGAAGATAGGCACTGCTGTGAGTTTCCCGTTCTATTGTCAACACTGTTGACCAAATGTAATAAACAAACATGAAATCTCAGGAACAGAAATCACGACTTATCCACTAGTTTCCTCAATTAAAGAGGCAGTCAGGGTAGAAAAAACGAACCTGTTAACAGCCAGGATATTGTTCAACAGGAGCCAGATTACGGTGCGCTGTACGAGGGCAGGAATCCAGGCTTTTACGTTGAGGCCAACCAAATGCCAGTTTTTAGGGTGAGCTTGCAGAACACACTCACTGAACCGTGCATATCGATCACGAATGTTGACATCCAAATCTTATATCTGTACATTTCAGACCACAGCTAAAGCCAAATACGAGTATAGAGCTCAGAGAGATGACGAGCTCTCCTTCACCAAGAACGCCATCATCTCCAATATAGACAAGCAGGAAGGAGGATGGTGAGTGAGCTGCGGAGGAAGTCAAGTCTCCATTTGGATTTATTACATTAGTCCAGTAGAGAAAGATGGATAAGGAGTAGATTACACACCAGTCAATAGCATTACATTTATGTGAACATTTATTTGTTTTTTTATAAGATGCAGTGTATAGAAAGCTAAATCTCATTATTAACCCATTATCCTAATTTCCCTCAGGTGGAAAGGTGACTATAGAGACAAGAAGCAGTTGTGGTTTCCTGCAAACTACGTGGAGGAGATCGTTAGTCCGACAGCTGCTGAGCCTGACAGAAATGTGCGGTTGTCATTCTCTAGATAGAATTTAACAAGAGAAACCAAATCTTTAGTCATCTTTTTACTTGATTGTTAAACAGGAGACAACAGAGCTCAGCCCCCTTGGAGATCTGCTGAGAGGAAGTTTGGATCTGGCATCCTGCTCAGTTGGTGAGTTTTCTCTCTACTTCCTGCCGAGCTTTGCTGCAAGGCTGCAGAGCAACCTGCAACCTTCCCAGAGGGCCCGCCAGTGCAGACAGACAGTTACACAAACCGTTCCTAAACTGCAGAAAGATCCAGCAACCGTTTCCATTATGGTCTATGATAAATCCTTGATTTGTTTTGATTGTTGCTGTTTTGTTACGAGTCTGCTTCTGATATTTCACCAACATCCTCCAGCCCAGCGTGTACACATGTTCCTGTCAGACACTGAGTCATTCTGCTGGATGTCAGAAACACTTAATTCAGCTTAAAACTTAAAAACTCACAAAGTATATACAACAGAATTAACGAGCTTTTACAGTATATGTACTCAACTAAAACTGATCATAGATTTAAAAACGGGGAGAGTATTAAAATCTAATTTTTTTTATCTTATTGTTTGAACTTTAAAACTGCAATTTATCATTTAATTTATACAACACAATACATAAAAATCATTCAGATAATTTCTACAAAAATAAAGTGCCTGATTCATATAAAAATGGAGGGAAATGGGGATACAGGACAGGTTTAACAGTTAATTTATATTTAATCTAAAAATGGGCTTAATTGATCATTTGAATATTTCCTTGTCAGCTGCTGTTCTACAGATGGGAGGGGATTCACAAACCACCCCAAATATAAAAGAAGCTGGCAGGTTTAGCTTAAATGACTGGAAACTGGAAAAGGTGCAAATAAACTAGCAAACAGCTTGAAGTTGGAAAACTTTAATTCAAGCAGTAATATCAAAACAACTCTGAATCCTGAGCCATAATTTAGGTCACATTTTTGACTTCATGCATTGTTGATTGGGCAAATAGCACCATCTAGTGGCTGCAGGATATAAGAACGATTCTCTTGTAGACTTCATAACATTTATTTAAATTTTTCCTTTTGATATGGAAACAGCTGCGTTTGTTTACATTTTTAAAAGTATTATACTTGCATCAGTTTAGTTAATTGCACAACAAAGAACGGAGCGTTCTAACGGATATTTTTCTTAACTCCAGTTGTACGTAATGAAGGCAGGGGTAGCAGGCCTCACGTCTTCACCCTGGTGCCCAACAACCCTTCAGTCGGCCCGGTGCTGGACTTGGCTACCAACAGCTTGGAAGAACTAAAGGAATGGATTTATGGGATACGTGAAGCTACTGTGTTTACAGAGGCCAAGGTAAATGTGTACAAGCACTCGTGCTGTTTTAAAGCCAGATTTTACTCATGAATTTTATTTAGAAATCAGTGACAGAGCTGTGTGCACATATGATGTTTTATGGTGTTACCTCCGTCAGTTCTGCACATCCAGCACTGGTCCATCTTGTGTGGTTTACTAGCATCACCGGGTGTCTGTTGTGTATCTGACTTGTTTACGTTGTGTTTCTGGGTCCAGATTGAAGAAGGGAAGTTGATGGAGAGAAAGCACAAAATAGCGATGGAGTTATCAGACCTAGTCATCTACTGTAGGCCCGTGCAGTTTGATGAAGACAGTAAGCATGGCGCTGCTCTATGATAAATCTTCCATTAGATTTGTTTTCACCAAACCCAATGGGTGAAACATTCAAGTGGGGTAATCTGTCTTTTGTTTTCATTGTGTCCAGAGATTGGCACAGAGCAGGCCTGCTTCCGGGACATGTCGTCTTTCCCCGAGACCAAGGCAGAAAAGTACATCAACAAATGCAAAGGCAAGAAGTTCCTGCAGTACAACCGCCTGCAGCTGTCACGGATCTATCCCCGGGGCCAACGGCTGGACTCCTCCAACTATGACCCGTTACCCATGTGGCTCTGCGGGTCCCAGCTGGTCGCACTTAACTTCCAAACAGCAGGTAGGTAGCTCCTTCTCACAACAAAATACGCTGCGCAGACTAGAGCTTTCATCATTTTTACATTCGCATTTTACCTCTGTGCAGACAAGCCCATGCAGATGAACCAGGCCTTGTTCATGGTGAACGGACGGAGCGGCTATGTCCTTCAGCCACCTATCATGAGGGACGATGTCTTTGATCCCTTTGACAAAACCACACTACGAGGCATTGATAAAGTGGACCTTGTGATTGAGGTACAGTAGAAGGTTGGATCACGTGACATGACAGCATGAGGCAAGGGCTTCTGATGATACTGGATTCAGTTTCTCTCCATTAAATGTTACCAGCTTACTGATTTTAAAGTATTCTTCTCCTAATTTAAGAGAATCAGTATCTTGTTTCCTCCTTTAGTGCATTCAAACAAAATCTAGAAATTGAACTTTTACAGTTACTTCTCGCAATATAGAAACATTATTCATCATCTGAGCAAAGAGCTGAAAGGGAGCACCAAAACATCTCCTAGTGCACCATTTAGGTTTGAGTCTTGGACACGTAGGTCGGCTCGGGACAATGCAAATATTTAATCGCATTGCAGTGATGTAAAACCTCCATGACTGCAGCAAAAGTGTGGGGAAAATGCATAAAATTAATGTCAGTTCTGCAGAAATTCACAGGCTACAACAGCTAAATGTGTTGGTCTGATGGGTTATTTCCTAAACAATAATTGTGATTTAGACCCAGTCTAAACTGGGTTGTGGTCAGCGTGTCAGTGCGCCAAAACCAGTAACTACATATTTACTAAGGAGCTTAATTTTCATGTGTTATTGTTTATTCCTCTGTTTTCTCCTGAAGGTCCTGGGTGCACGTCACCTGCCGAAGCACGGCCGAGGCATCGTTAGTCCTCTCGTTGAGATAGAAATTTGTGGGACAGATTATGACAGTACCAAAGTAAAAACTAACTCAGAAGGTAAGACCAACTTGAATTTGAACTCTTCTGTGCTCCTAAAAAGCATTCCACTTTAAAACTGTACAAATATTTTTGTTTACTGAATTCATTACGCCTGTGTCACTTCCTAGCCGCTGCTGGAAAACAGGAAGTTGCACAAACAATTAGGAAGTCTGGGAAAACGAGGCAAAACATTTCTCAATGATGTAATTGTAGCTCATCAGGTTTTAGCTGGAAACAAAACCTTGTGGCTCTTTTGTTTATTTTAGTTCATGGTAGATTTTGTTTTGGCATCAAGCTCGCTGACGATCATCTTTGCTCTCCAGAAATGACGAAGCTTCTGCTCCTGTTGATGGTGTTGCCGATTAACTCGACTGTCTCCAGTAAATAGCCAGCCTTTCTTCTCTGATGCTCTTTGATCTTCAGCTTCGTTTCTCTCCAGGGTTTTTGTTTTTCCTGTTTTCTTGAGAGGTCGTCGCAGTGTTTGCTGCCACGTGCAACTTGGTTTCATAGGAATACTAGAATGTTAATAACATTGACGGGCAGAATATTTCACAAATCATCACATTTTCCCCAGAAACCTCCTGCCAGGTGTGACTGTAGTGAGAAAATCCACGTCTGTCTTCATTTTACAGCTGACTGATGTAACTTAGTCAGATGTATCTTTTGTAGTGTCTGGCACAAACCGCAGCAAGCCCAGATGAAGTGGGTCATTACAGATTCACTGTTTGTTTTTGGGTGTAATGTTCAAACAGAATGTGACTTTTTGTTGTTTGTTCTCTAGCTGATAATGGACTGAACCCTACATGGCAGACAAAGTTTGAATTCAGTTTATTAAACTCCGCCTTTGCGTTCCTGCGTTTTGTGGTCTATGAGATCGACATGTTCAGTGACCAAAACTTCCTGGCTCAGGCCTCGTTCCCCATTCAAGGCCTCAGGACAGGTACGTGTTAAAGCAACTCATACGTTTGCTTGTTTCTGGAAAAATAAATGCTTTCTTTAATGAGTTTGAACCTGTCTGTGTTTTGCCAGGGTACCGCTCCGTACCGCTGAAGAACAGCTACAGCGAGGATCTGGAGCTGGCTTCTCTGTTGGTCCATGTGGACATTAGCAAAACCAGGGTGGGTTACGACTCCAGACTGAGCGGAGCTGCTCTTCCACTGACGTGCAGTTATTAGCACTTTAAACGCACACACACAAACCCATCCAGTCTTTTTGAGCATGGTCACATTTCATCATCAACCCAGAAAGCGTTTCTGAAGGATGACACTAGTTTAGAACATGTGAGAAGTTTTCAGGCGTTAGAAACAAAGGAGTTAAAGCGGTCAGCCTCATTAATCACGTTGGGTTTCCTGTTCAGGGTGAAAATGGTGAACTCCTGAGCCCGCTGTTTGCTGCCAGTCCCACAGCAGTACCAGCCTCAGCCCAAGTAGGACGAGATCGTTTTGGGGAGCTGAGCTCTGTGTCCTCCTCTCCCTCCACCATGTCCCCTCTGCCTCAGTCACCCCCCCAGGCCTCAGCCTACAGAGTGATGGATGGCCCTTTGGACACCCGCTACCAGGCCTCCATAGATGACTTCAGGGTGAGCCAAGAGTCTCTGTTGGACCACATGGACCCACAGAACAGACGGTGAGTGTGGAGACTTTACGCTTGTCCAGTTATGGGGGTGTACAACATTCACGGCGTCCTCTTGTCTTTGTCCTCTCTTTAGGAACTTGCGGAGGACCAAAGTGGGCGTAGAGAACCGCGTCTAAGTCCAAGCCAATCAGGACTCGCCCCCCCACCCAATCCTTCCCTCACCCAGCAGCCTCTCCACGTACTGATGATGTCACTGACTGCTGTGATCACTGTTTCCATGGAAACGCACACCACTGCTTTGGCCTACATTCGAGGCAGCTCTTTTCCTCCCACCCCTCCCTCCCCTACTCTGATGAGACTGAGGGTCTTGGATACAGGAGGGGTGGGGGACAGAGAGGAAGCTAATGGCTGTAGACAGGAAGAAGAAACGGTGTGGACAGGAAAACAAAAGGCTCTGGGCCTGGACGGTGTCGACGGAGCTCTTGTTGTGTATAACAGCTGCTTATTAAGGAGGCTATGGGGAGAGAGCTCCAAAAGGTCTGTTAGAAACTGTTTCAAGTTTAGATTCGTCACTTTTTCTTTTTCTCTTTCCATCGCCGTGTCTGAATATATATATATATTTATTCGTGCTGCTGTCCAGAGAGCGGCAGCAGCAGCTGATGAGCTCTCAAAGAGCTCCTCTCTCTGTGTTTCTAAATGTTCTAATTATTTAAAACTTAAAGCATTCATGATGTGACTTTGTGTAAAACATGAGGGCTCCCCATGATTTTTTAAACATCTCTGCTTCACGTGCCTCCAGTTTGTCACACCTTAAATCTACTTTTTTTTGTTTTTGTTGGGCATCAGGAAGATGTCACGACCTGTCTGTGTCAGAGCAGCCAGAGAGCAGGTGGTGTCGTGTTTTTGGTCACCTTTTTTCTTCATTCCTGTTTTGTTCCTAAAACTGAATCATTCCATCTCCCCGAGTAGCTTTAGAAGCCAGTCTGAAACGGACAGAAGGTCGTGGTCGGATCGTTGTGCTTTAGTCTCGTTTTCTGTGCCGACTCACATGTCTACAGTCATGAGACAAAAGAGCGATCCACACAGAGCCCTGGCTGCATCAACGCTGGCAAAAAAAAAAAAAAAAGCTCAGAAACATGACTAACAACAAAGAAAATGCCGATGCGGTGACTTGGAAGTAATTTTTAGGTCTTTTCTACGACATCATGCTAATTTGTTTACAGCAGCTGCTCCAGTAATGAACACAGATGTATGTTGATGAATATAAATGTCACTGAAATGAAGAATGTTTTAATTCTAACAGGTACCCGTCATCATTTTAGTCTTGAACGTAGATATTCAGTGCTCCTGGTGAAGTTTGCTGCACCGCGTTAGATGAAAGACATTTTTGTGTATTTGTAGTCTTCATGATTTGGGAGTTGTGTTGCAGAGCCAAACTGAGTTACACTGCCCATGAGACAAATTCTACAAAGTTTTTGATCATTTGCCTAAAACGGGTCATGTTTTATGTTTTAAGGTTGTGATTTTAAGGACCAGTCGGTCTCTGTGGTTGATGAAGTGGAGGTCACACGCTGAGCCCAGCGAGTTTCTACAGAATCGTTTTATTTTTACAGGTTAGGATCTGGAAGTGTTTTTATCAGCTTGTGCCGGATGATGGGCTCAGTGTGTGAGCACCGACACACCGATAAGCCATATGGGTGGATCTAAAGTCAAATCAGAAGTCAGTGTTTAAAGTCTAACAGAATGTCTTTAGTATTTTTTGCTTTTATATCCTGATGTTAATCCGGAAACGTTTATGTTACATTCTCCTCTTTTTAACGCTCTGTATAATTTGTGAAGCACTTGAGTCTGCAGAGCTCATCAAGCCTCCGTCTTGCACCTGCCCTGCTGAACACACACGTCTGGGATGGTTTGTCAGACCACGTTTGACTTTTCCCTGCCAGTCTGTAACAGTCAGAGCCACCAGAGTAACCATGGACACTTACGCGCGGGTGATCAGGGCCATTAGATGTAATTACTTTGCTTTTTCATTTTTATTTTAGCACCATTTACATTTGCCTTCCTGTAATGTGCCTAAGCTATAAAACTATGGAGAGAAGTATTAATTTTGCCTTTCATATAAAACACATTCAAGCCTGAAAAAATAAAATACTCATTGCTTTATACAACTGTCTTATTTTAAATTGTTCTTGTGGCACCACACCACAGGAAGTGGTCAGTTTCATCTGAGCCAGACTTAAGACACACCTCTGAAAACGAGTCACCTGAAGCGTCAATAAAAACTCACTTGGATAAACGTTCATTACATTCTGTTTATTCTGCAAATGCATCAGTAAAAATTGTACATCAGGCCTAAGTGTGGAACTCTGGTGAAAGTTCAGTCAAGTTTAAACAATAAGAAAGTTCTGTGAACGTCACGTCGGTGACGTAAAAAAAAGCACTTGATGCTACCACCAACCATATTCCATTAAGTCCGTTTTGTCTTATTGGATGTTCTTGAAGCCACAGGGTGCTTGCCTCATTTTGGAAGAATATTGGATTATTTTTCCACTTGAAGTAAGAATGAAGATGAAAATTAGACAGCAGCTTAACTAGAATGTGTAAAATAAGCAGCAACGTGATAACCTAACAGCAGAAAGTTTTGTCTAAGGCCCTGGCAAACACCCTGCAGCTAAGACTTGTGCAGTTTGTCCCGTTACATCAGGCAGGTGGAGGAAACCAGGCAGCACGACACCGTCAGCTCCTCCCCCTTCACTTCATCTACAGGAAACTCCCCCGATAGAAGAAAATGGCCGACAAGAGGTTGTGTGTGTGCGACATGGGGCGAAGCAAGGCGTCAGAGGGAGGGTGTAGGGAGTCGGTTTTTATGTCCATCTCCAGGGGGGAGGTCATGCCTACCTCTAAGGGAGGGGGTGGAGAGGGGTGTGTGCCATAGTCAGGATCCGTTTCCATCCAGTGATCTGGTTACAAAACTCATCTGCTGCCTTTGAGTCCGACTCCTAGAACAAAGACCACCTGCTTGTGAGCTCCCATCTTCATACAAAGGCCTCCTCACTTCCTGTTGCAAAAACCAAATGAATATCCATCACTTCCAGAAATGCTTTAAAAAAAAAACTAAAATATCGGACAGTTTTATGCAAGTATCTGTCACATCCTGCCTCTTTATGAAAATTGTGTTTTGGCCCTCCAGCAGATTTTTCCACACAATAATATTCATGCAGAAACACTTTTCATCCCTGGAAAATGTCACATTATTTCCTGTATTAAACTTAAATGTCTACATGGTTACATCGAGTCACACACTTTTCTAGACAGAAAAACTCGATTCCACACATGAACGTTACCTTTAGCAGCATTGACCGTTTCATCAGCACTGGCCTCCTCTGCTCCCGTTGTGACACCGCACACCGACTGCTCCATTTTCTCCTCTGTCCCGCCTCCTGGCTGCGGCTCAAGGGGGGAGGATCCAGTTGTCGGTGGTTCTGCTGCCACGCCTGTTCCAACGAGTCCCGCTCCTGTTGTCTGAGCAGCAGCAGCAGCTTGTTTCATCCCTAGTGGAGACGCCTGGGTGGAGAACCAGTGCCGCACCAGATCTGTTGTCAAACCGCTCCTCTCAGCCAGTTCCTGCAACTGAAAAAATGATCAGAATAAAACCATTTGACATGTGGTCGTAGCTTTAATTGAGGCTGGATGGGTGAAATAAAGACTTTATCTTGTAGAGTGGATTGAGTGTAATTCCTTTTCATATTCATTGGTACAGAAGTGTAGATCTTACATGGAGGTGCTGAGGATAATTTTAACAAAACACGATACCAAATTCTTTTACAGGTGCACACAGGTTGTTGCAGAACCGTTCCCTCTCTGACTGTGACTAGTTCTAGGTCAATGACCAGCTTCCTGTCTCATTACCTGGGAGTCTTCTAGACTTCCTTGCAGGTCCAGGTGATCCTGAAGGATTTTTGTGATCCCCTCCTGCATTTCCTCCTTCAGAGCCATGTTCTGGTACTCCTCCAGCCACTTCAGCTGTCCATTCTTCTGCACGTATCTGCAGTCCCCAAACCAGCGCACCACCTCAGGTCTGGGCAGCCCAGTGCCGGAGATCAGTTCATCGTACTGAGTGGCACTGGGCCACTGGGTTCGAGCGTAGACCTGTTTGAGCAGGTGAAGCTGTTCTGCCGTCTTCTTGCCTCTGGCAGGTGAGGGTTTGGGTGAGTGAGATGGTTTTGGTGTTGGTGTGGAGTGCTGGGAGGATTTAGGGGTGCTAGAGGAGGTGCTGGTGGTGGTGGGAGCAGGCATGCTGCTGGATTGAGACAGTGCAGTCAGATTATCCAACCCTTCACCCTCCGGTTTGCCATTGGCTTCGGTCACCTTCAGCATCTTCAGATTTATTTTGATGGGGTTGACTTTTGGTTCTTCTGAACCATCTTCCCTCTGTCTCTCTTCTCCATCCATCTCCATCTCCTCTGCATCCTCCTTCTGCTCCCGATCTATCTCGTCCTTCTTTCTTTCAGCTACCACCCTCTTCCTCTTCTCAGAGAACCAGCCGTGGATCTCCCTCCTGGTCATCTTGGTCTCCGAGCGCAGTCGGTCCACTTCCTCTCCTGAGGGATCAGAGTTCTGGGTGAAGCTGGCCTCCAGGGCCCTAACCTGAATACAACATATACAAGATTAATAATGACCTGCAGCAACTGAGAAATTCATAAAACTAAAACAAACTTGCAAGAACAACACATTTACCCTTCAAAATGTAAAGATTCCCCAAACCGTTTCACCTCTTTCAGAAAAAACAAACTAATAGAGTTGTAATGGATTCATCAGAATACAAATCTGTCTCACCTGATGCGGATCTCTCTCCTTGTAACGGATGGCTGTGAAATCCGGAGAGGGCATTTTGGGGAGTCGACGTGAAGGCGTGGTGGGAGAGGTGGGGGTCTGTGATGCAGGTGGGCTCGGGGGGGCATTGCGGGAGCTCGGCTGTGGAGTTTTTGCACCGGAGTTGCTGCTACCTTCTGACAGATCCATGGGTGTGGCACCATCAGAGGCGGTGCTGCTCACACACGTATTTGTAGCAGCAGACGCTGGACTGGGCTTACTTTGCCCTGCTGTGCTGGAGCGAGGGCCTTTGTGGTTCCGAAAGTGGTAGCGCCGGTCGCTGAACCACTTGCGGACCTCTCTCACAGTGAGGCTGGTCAGACCGATGAGGCGGTCCACCTCCTCCTGGTCGGGCCACTGGCTCATTTGAAAGCTGTCCTTCAGGATGTTGAGTTGCTCCTGAGACTTCTTGCCCTTGTAGAAGCTGGGGTCCAACAGCGTGCCCACAGGCGTCCGAGAGCCAGGAGTGCTGCTGCCAGGTGCTGCAGGAGGGGGGGAGGAGGACTTAGAGGCAGGAGAAGAAGCCTCCTCCATTTTGATAGCTGGGGAGTCACGAGCAGCGAGATCCCCCTCCTCTGTGTTCGTACTGGTGTTGTTCTTAGTGCCGCCATCAGGGGGTTGGCTCTTCTGCTCACTGCTGCTGACAGCTTTACTCTCCGAGCTGACTTTAGTCTCACTCTTCTTGACTTTGTTTACATCCGTGTGCTCAGAAGAAACATGGCCGCTCCTGTCACTGGAGTCAGCTGCAGCACCACTCTGTTTACTACTGCTGCCCACCTTAGTGTTACCATGACTACAGCCCCCAAGACTAAGGTTGATGACACCAGACTGATTCCCGTTAGTACTGGCCCCTCCCCCTATTTTACTGCTGCTCCCAGCACTGCTGCTGCCCACCGTTCCGACCACCATGCTGACGCCTTTGTCCGCCACCAGGGCTGCAGCTGGCCGGGCCTGCATTGTGGGCCGAGCTGCTGCTTGGGGCTTGGGAGTGACAGCCAGGGCCACAGGGGCACTGCTGACCTGGATCCCATTAGCCACCACAGGCTGAGTCACAATCACCCCCCCCTGGCTGACAAGAGATCCCTGCAGAAACTGAGGGATCCCCGTTGGGCCCAGGGAGGCCGGCAGGACAGTGATGGTGTGCTGCGCCGGGCTCTGGTGACTTTGCGTGTGGTTCTGCGTACTGGCTGGTGCCGTCTGAATAATGGTGTTGAACATCTTCCTTCTTGCCTCCTCGATCTCTTCTGGAGACCAGCTGATGCCTTGCTTCAGCCTCTGAGCTGTGAACCAGATCTTGATCTGCTCTTCAGGGAACTTGGTGACCACAGTCAGGTAGCAGAGCTCAGCCTTAGTCGGGTATGGGAACTTACTGAAGGAGGTCTTCAGGAAGGGGGAAGAGTCCATGGAGGCACTGTAGGTGGGGATGCTGCTCAAAGGAATCATCACCTGGCAGACAACATTGACAGTAAAATCACATGATGTTTGTTTATTTATTTATTTATCCATCACACTAAGCAGCAGCTACCTTGGGAAGATTTTGAGTGGATGATGACAAAGCTGAGGAAGCACTGGAAGACACTATAACTGGTGCTGGGTGATGAACGTTTCTGCTCTGAGATACAGACACCACCTAAATAAAACATTCCAAGAACAGCAGGAATGTTCATTAATGTCGTTCAAATATACAAAACTCAACGCACCAAAAGCGTCCCATTTACCTGTGTGATGGGTGTTTTCAGAATCGGTAACGATGTTGTACCGTTAACGATCTGAATTGCTGAGGCCAGCGAGGCCTTGGATGTTCCATTATGGACGATGGTAGGAACATGGGTGACAGTCACGGTGGCAGCTTCTTTCCTGTCAGACTCTCTGAAAGCTGAGTGCAAATCAGAAGAAGGCTCGTCGGAGACCGAGTGCGACACCACAATCCGTTTGGGCTCCGACTTGCCCTTCAGCATCCTCATGATTGGGGTTTTGGTGATAGAAATCTCACTGTCTTTGCACATCTCAGTGCTGATCACCACATGCTGCTCCACCACCACCCTCCTGTCCCTTTTCCTCAGATGCAGGGTGGTGTTCAGTGTGCTGGGGTGAACCCTGGCATTGTGCAGGGCCAGCCCCTCGAACTTGGGTGCAGAAACGCCACAGCTTCTGCAAACGAAGCCAGGGTCAGCACGGAAGTCTGGATGCGCGGTGTAGACATGATCCAAGAACAAGTTAAGGTCGTGCGTTCCAAAGCTACACGGCCTACAGGTGTACGTGCCAGCACCGTCCCTGTCAGCATTAGCTGCTTCTGCTTTGGAAGACTCAACGGAGACCAGCGGGCTCAGCCTGTCACCTCCAGAAATCCTGAGCTGACGGAGAGGAACTGGCAAGTCCCGCTCCACCTCCTCTGTGGAGCGGATAATCTTGCTTGGAATCATACAAGGAGTAGTAGACTTCCTTTTGCTGGCCATGGTGTCGATCACAGAGGGTGAATGGCTAGTCGAATGACTGAGAGGAGGGTGTGAAGACGGACTTCTTGTTGACTATAGACCAGGCATGGGGGGAGGAGGACAGCAGGGCTTGTCCATTGGTCCAAGTGGATCTCTGAGCTCTTAGAGCAATCCTAGAAACCAGAAGAGACGATAAATAATATCAGTAGTTTATTCGCTTAAGTTTTACTTCTGACGTCTTTTATTTAAAGTAACTAGTAAAGCAGGAAATGGATTCAATCTTTGCTGAAAAATGATCTTTAGTGCAGTAAATGCAAAAATTATGCAAAGATGAGGAATTCCATTTAAAATCAAACCAACACAGAAAACATCACCTAGGAAGTCATTATAAAATCAGAAGTTCGTCTCAGGAAACTCAAGGCTCGCCTTTTTATGTGGAGGGTGCTCAAACCAGTTCAGTCTGCTTCTCCACTGCAAGCTTTTTGGGAGCGCTCCTGTCTTACACCCCCTTTTCCCCTCCCCCACCCAACTCTGTCTCACTTCCTCTCTCAGACACACCCCCACGGAGACCGAATTTTCTCTTCAATCCACAGCTTCTGCAGCTCTGAACACCTTCATAAAGACTGCAGCAGGAACACACACGTGTGAAGGTGCTGCTTAAGACGGAGTGTGCTTGACAGCAGGGCAAGAGGCTGGATTCAGCAGATGTTTTCTGTAGTTATGTGCTCTCGCCCAGCGGCGGTGCAGGTAGCATCGATGAAAACACACCTGAGTGAGAATGCATATCTGACTACACCTCCAAGTCTCTTCATCTTCTCACAAAATAGTGAGGCTTCCTGCGGAGAGCATCTCTCCTCCCTCCCTTTAACATAGAAGCCGTGGTGCAGGGTTGAAGGACAGCTCTAGGCCAATTACTCTCCCAGTCACTCTGCCCCAACATGACACAGAGCGGCATCTGCTCAGAGGCGTGAATTAGCAATGAGTAGCCCGTCTCCATGGAACGACCCAACCAGAACCACATCAGGAACTAGAGAAAGCTTCTCCTGGACTTGTGAGGCAGCCTCTGACGGAATAAAACATACTGATCCGTTTTTAACGGTTTTCCTCAAAAACCTACAAATAAAACCTTGGTTTGCCACACAGAGGTCACATGGTACATTAGCTCACAAACCAGTCAAGTTCCGACAAACTGAGGTGGGACAAAAGGTACAGAGAGCTCAACTCTGCTGTCCTCAGAAGTCAAACTGGAACACACACACACACACACACACGATTCGGACATATGCATGTGAGGGGTTAACAGGCAATTGAGGTTTGAGGGAACGTGATGCCCCCCACCCCAGCAGAATGTAACTGCCCTTGGCTTAGGCTGCTGTGCACCTCTTACCCCACCACCATTCAGTTCTGCATCAGGGGGCACTGCTCTGCCAAGGCAAGCTGGTCACATGACCAACACAAAGGCTTATGGGTGGGCAGCCACAGCTATCCATCACGTGGTTCTACTGGGTGTGGGTGGCAGGCGAGAGGAGAAGGGAGAGCGAATGGGAGCTGATGGTGGGGGATGGGCAGGCTGTGAGGCAGGGTGAGGAGGGGTGTTAACTATAGTAGAGGAAGCACTGAGGTGTTTCTGTGAGGAATTTTCTTCCCTGGCACCCCCCATCCAACAACCTACCCCCAGCACTTCCGAGCCCCATTTTACTCCAAAGTGCACACAGGATCTTCTCCCTCCTCGCTGTGCTGTAAAGCCTGGAATGTTCTGCCAATGGACACAACCTGGAGTTCAGCGTCACTGTCTGCCTACACATGCACGCGCGCGTGCACACACACACACACATACACACACGTTTCTGCAGCAGCTAAACCAAACACCAAAGTCAGAGAACACATCATCCCAGACTCACACCCAGCAGAGTCCTGGAGGCCTCGCACAGGTGATGGCAAAACCACAAGTGAGTCCAAACGGGCCGTTTACTCCCCAGCAACACCGAGCTCAGAGGAGTTGGGTCGACTCACACTGGCGCCAAGAGACAGCTATCTGATGAACCTGAGTGAACATTGTGCATGCGTAAATGACCATGTGGCTGTGATGGGTTTGTGTTTGCTGCTTGTGTCAGCATTTGCATGTGTGGGTTTCCTGTAAAATCGAGGGGGGGGGGGGGGGGGGGGGGCATGCCTTTGAGTGAAGCTTTTTGCCAAAGTAGTGAGGCATCCATTTTTTTCATTATTATTACTGTGTGTTGGAGTTACAGGTCTCCAAGTGACGCACAAAAATATCTTTCAGACGTCTTCTTTTGAAACCCGCATTAGCTTAGCTTCCTCCGCGGCTCAGCACAGCATGACCTCCTTTCCTCTCTTCTCCGGGCCTGACGCTTGCCTCGGCCCGGGCTGTGAGCTCCATGTAGAAACAGAAACGCTCAAACACACCAGAGGACGCCTCTTTAACAGTGAAGACGTGAAATCTGAGAGAGAAACAAGTGATCGAACAGGGCAGAGAGTAGGTGTGCAACACAGGTAGGCTTGTCCTCATTTGCTCAATTCACCCCCCCCCCCCCCCACACACACACACACACTAGGTCTTCCTCCTCCTTCACACTCGCTCCCCCCTCTCTTTAAACATCTCTGTGCCCTCTCCTTCCCCTTCCTCCCTCCCTCCCACTGTTCCCTCTTCTCCTCCCTCTCCGAATAAGTTTGGCTCAGGGAGACAGGCCGGCAGCGGCACTGGTGTGTTACTGTCCCCATGGCAACCAGCTCCCACTCCCCCCAACCTCTCTCTTTCACCAGCTCCATTCTCTACAGCATGTGTGTAAAACACACACTCAAATACACACAAGCACACACACCTCCTATGCCAGTCCTCGGTCCAAGCAGGGCTTGTTTGTCCCACACGCTCCTCTGAGTGATATTCGGAGAGACCCTGCCCTGCTCCTATTTCAGAGAGTCCAGCACGCAGCGTTCATGTTTCTCTGATAGGTGTGGTTGTCGTTTTCAAGACGTGCTATTGGCCAGAGATGATGGCGTCTCTTCCTGGTCAGTCTCTGTCCAGACATCTGCCATGCTGGGCTGTTATGAGTGGACTCCATGGGCCAAAAGTCACACAAGAGATGCCGTGTTTACGGTACAGACGCATAAAAAGGTCACATCATTTGGCCAATCTTTTTTTTTTTTTTGGGAGGAGGAGCCCTAAAAATAACCTTCAGCCAACTAAGAAGTCTGCACTTCACCTCTGTGTCTTTGCACTTGCTCTTTGAAATGTCTGAATTAAAGTCTTGGCGTTTGAGTTACTTCCTCCCACCAAAGTCAGAGTCTTAATCTACCTGAGAAACTCAGCTCACTGCTACAAAGCCTCACATCCTGTGTGCATCTGAACTTCTGTCCAGTCCGTACACAACACCCACAATGATAAGGAAACATCAGTGATAGCTTTCCTATAGATCCGTCTGATCCCTGAATGTGCAGATGGGCTGCTCTCAGGTCAGGAAGTGGATGGCTGCGTGGGCTGCATTGCTGTGGTTGCTGCTGGTGCATGCGTTAAAACTGGGCTGCTGAAAGGGGAGGAGGAGAGGGGAGAAAGATGGCGGAGCACCATGCTCAGTGTTGTCCAACCTAAAATGGCTGACATCACAAGCTGTTGACGACCCAAATCTGTTCACTCAGGATGAGTAAACGGATCGTTGTGCTATCCTCCAAGACTCTTGGGACAATATGTGTTCATTGTTGTTATTTTAGTCATCACAACATGTGGGGTTGAGGAGAAGCAACATACTGGTGAGTGGTTAATAACAGAACCATCGCACGTTCGGAAAATGGCTACAAGTCACCCAATCAGTGGATGAGTTCAACGGAGCTTTTAGCAACGTAACAGTAAAGCATCTCCAGGAGGAAAAGGGTCGAAACGGGACTAAGGACAGAGAGACTCGGCTGTCTCAGCTACAGACCTGACGGAGAGGGAGAGAGAGAGAGTCACTGAGTTCAACCGTCACCATGGCAACACAATGCCAGATGAGGAATAACAACAATGGTAAAAATATTATGAACGCATTTACATCAGGGATTGATCACATCTGGAGCCCATGGTGACCTTTGACCTTCTCTAGTACTGTTATTCCACATGTGATCATCATCATCACCATCAGTGACAAGGAAGTGTAGCGCTGTAGCTGGTAGACAGACAGCTGGGGTCTATACCTGAGACTCACGTGGACACCAACACAAATTAGCAGCTTGGGAAAGCTTAATCCCTTGAGTGACACACACACACACACACACACACACACACACACACACACACACACACACACACACACACACACACACACACACACCATGGCAACAGCTTGCAGCCTCATACCTGGCTGTAGCCAGACACTTCTGGTTTGTAAAACCTGATTAAACTAGGTAAGTCTGTGCTGCTGTTGTCAACATAAAAAACGTGTAATTAACACATTTAAGGGTCTTTAAAAATACAAATGATTGAGTCAGCGGTGATTTATCCTTTGAAGAATATTAAATAATCAACATATCAGGGCACTAGACAGACACGTATACATATTAAACTGTATTTGGAGTTTTTTGTGAAGTAGCGCAGACGCAGCCTCTCGAGCGCAGCAGCGTCACACATAAACAGCAAAATGATGCTTCCTCCGCTCAACTTAGCGGAGTGAGCCCCAACTTAAGGGGCTGGTCTGCAGCGAGCGGTTTTAAACTGAATCAGCGTAGATAGAAAATGAAAGACCCCCAGGTCAAAGAAAAACCTAGACTTTCCTCACCCCCCCTCGCTGGCTGTCGCCATTTTAAGCAGGCAGGCGACATGCAGCTGGCCAGCGCCACTGCCGAGGCGAAGTCCGTAAAGGTGAGGCTCCAGAACAAGTTTAGGAGAGGTGGGACGTTCACACCGATGTGTGTGAGAGGTATACACTCACCTTCCTTTGTCAGAGTCCAACCGTCACCAAGCACAGGTTTAAAAAGTTTACGTTAGCGGGAGGCGGTGGCGGCCGGGGGGGCTTCGGGCTCCAGCGATGGTAACTTGTAGGTGTGAGACCCTTCTGTCCTCCGGCTGAGAAAAACGTGACACCGGTACCGGACCAGGACCCACAAACGGCTCTCCTTTCTCCGCTTGTTTATCTCGACTGTGGCTAAAAAGGCAGGCGGCGGAGGGGAGGAAAATACGACGGACGTACAGAGGGAAGAGACGCACACGTGACGCATACGTCACTGACGGTTGAGTTGGCGTGAGCGCTCCAGCTCTCTGCGGTGGTGAGCCGAAGTGAGTCACGTATTCCGGCCCGACTTTGACCCAAACAAACCAGATGGGCGCACTTTTCTCTTGTGTTTGATTCCAGTGGAGTAAAAGCGGTTAGAGGGTTTCTGTTCTGATGTCACTAGCACCTGTCCCCCCTCTCCAGGTAACTTCTCTTAAAGCGACAGTACCCCCAAAGTAGCTCTTGATGTCACCCTGTCAAAAGGAACATCACAGGTTCATCATTTACATTTATGCACGTCTCGAGTAAAGCACGAGAAAAGACTCAGATATTCCCAAAACATCTATTATTAATGAATTTTTAAAATATATGATTCAACATTAATTCCAGCAATTTAGTTTACAAAAATACAACTGAATAGATTGGCGGATTAACCCGTTAGTTCATAGACAAAAACATGTAGGATGCCGTTTTTTCACAAAACCTTAAATAATCAAGTAATGAACTGGTAAAACATTAATTATTGCTGGATCACACGTGCAATGCACTTAAAATCATTTGACACATTTTAACTCTGTACACATGGTGTCATAAAGCTCAAACAAGAAATCTTCTTTACTCGTGTATTTTTGCAAGAGGGACTGAACAAGATTCTTCCTAAGTGACACTTTAAGTGATAAGTGATGATGCTCATGATGATGATGATGATGATGGTGGTGATGATGATGATGATGATGATGATGATGATGATGAAGGAGAAGATGCTGCTGCTGCTGCTGATGATAATAATGATGATGATGATGATGATGGTGGTGGTGGTGGTGGTGGTGTTGATGGCGATGATGATGATGATGATGATGATGATGATAGTGATGATGATGATGATGATGATGATGATGATGATAATGATGATGAAGAAGGAGAAGATGCTGATGCTGCTGCTGATGATGATAATAATGGTGATGAAGAAGATGATGATGACGATGATGATGGTGGTGGTGGTGCTATTGATGGTGATGATGATGATGATGATGATGATGATGATGATAATGATGATGAAGAAGGAGAAGATGCTGATGCTGCTGATGCTGCTGCTGCTGATAATAATGGTGATGAAGAAGATGATGATGACAATGATGATGGTGGTGGTGGTGCTATTGATGGCGATGATGATGATGATGATGATGATGATGATGATGATGATGATGATGATGATAGTGATGATGATGACAAAGATGATGATGGTAGTGATGATGTTGATGTTGATGATGATGATTGAAGTGTTGATGATGATGGTGGTGATGATGTTGATGATGATTGATGATGATGATGATGATGGTGATGGTGTTGGTGATGATGATGATGATGATGATGATGACAAAGATGATGATGGTAGTGATGATGATGATGATGATGATGATGAAGGAGAAGATGCTGCTGCTGCTGCTGATGATGATGATGATAATAATGGTGATGAAGAAGATGATGATGGTGGTGGTGTTGATGGTGATGATGATGATGATGATGATGATGATGATGATAGTGATGATGATGATGATGATGATGATGATGACAAAGATGATGATGGTAGTGATGATGTTGATGTTGATGATGATGATGATTGAAGTGTTGATGATGATGGTGGTGATGATGATGATGTTGATGATGATGATGATGATGATGATGATGATGATGATGATGATGATGATGATGATGAAGAAAAAGAAAATACTGATGATGGTGGTGGTGATGACAGTAATGATGGTGGTGGTGGTGATGTGATGATGATGATGATGATGATGACAAAGATGATGATGTAGTAATGATGTTGATGTTGATGATGATGATGATGATGATGATGATGGAAGTGTTGATGATGATGGTGGTGATGATGATGATGTTGATGATGATGATGATGATGATGGAAGTGTTGATGATGATGGTGGTGATGGTGGTGGTGATGATGATGATGATGATGATGATGATGATGATGATGATGATGATGGTGAAGAAAAAGAAAATACTGATGATGGTGGTGGTGATGACAGTAATGATGGTGGTGGTGGTGATGTGATGATGATGATGATGATGATGATGATGATGACAAAGATGATGATGGTAGTAATGATGTTGATGTTGATGATGAGGATGATGGAAGTGTTGATGATGATGTTGGTGATGATGATGATGTTGATGATGGTGATGATGATGATGGAAGTGATGATGATGATGATGATAGTGGTGGTGATGATGATGATGATGATGTTGTAGAAGAGATGATGATGATGATGATAGTGGTGATGATGATGATGATGATGATGATGATGATGATGATAAAGACGATGATGTAGGGATGATCATGATGGTAATGATGATGATGATGATGATGATGATGATGATGATGATGATAGTGGTGATGATGATGATAGTGGTGATGATGATGATGATGATGATGATGATGATAAAGACGATGATGTAGGGATGATCATGATGGTAATGATGATGATGATGATGATGATGATGATGACAAAGATGATGATGGTAGTAATGATGTTGATGTTGATGATGATGATGATGGAAGTGTTGATGATGATGTTGGTGATGATGATGATGTTGATGATGGTGATGATGATGATGGAAGTGATGATGATGATGATGATAGTGGTGGTGATGATGATGATGATGTTGTAGAAGAGATGATGATGATGATGATAGTGATGATGATGATGAAGATGATGATGATGATGATGATGATGATGATGATGATGATAAAGACGATGATGTAGGGATGATCATGATGGTAATGATGATGATGATGATGATGATGATGATAGTGGTGATGATGATGATAGTGGTGATGATGATGATGATGATGATGATGATGATAAAGACGATGATGTAGGGATGATCATGATGGTAATGATGATGATGATGATGATGATGATAAAGAAGATGATGTAGGGATGATCATGATGGTAATGATGATGATGATGATGATGATGATAAAGAAGATGATGTAGGGATGATCATGATGGTAATGATGATGATGATGATGATGATGATGATGATGATGATAAAGACGATGATGTAGGGATGATCATGATGGTAATGATGATGATGATGATGATGATGATGATGATGATAGTGATGATGATGATGAAGATGATGATGATGATGATGATGATGATGATGATAAAGACGATGATGTAGGGATGATCATGATGGTAATGATGATGATGATGATGATGATGATGATGATGATGATAGTGGTGATGATGATGATAGTGGTGATGATGATGATGATGATGATGATGATGATGATAAAGAAGATGATGTAGGGATGATCATGATGGTAATGATGATGATGATGATGATGATAAAGAAGATGATGTAGGGATGATCATGATGGTAATGATGATGATCTGCTCAGTTAAGCTTGGTTCACTGTAGTTCAGCTGGCTGCAGCATACTCATTCAGTGTTCTTTGAAGCTGATGAAATGGTAAATGTGTATTAAATCTTAATGGCAGCTTCTAAATTTTCTGTATTTCTCCAGTAACTTTATTATCTATTGAATAAATACTGGTGTTGTTAATAAACGCTAAAACAAATAGTTTTGCAGTCTCATTTATCTTATAAAAAAAACAAGGGCAATGAGGCAGGGGTGAGGTGGTGCTCACTCCTCATTCCTGCCACGTGGACCTCAAGGGATAAACCATCAATCCTGCTCAATGGTCAACTTTCTTTGCGGAGTCACCCATGAAGACAGTGGGAGGGTTAAGAAAATTTTAACCCTACATTTGCATTTTTGTACTTCGAGCTATTTTTGCTAGGAAATAAAGATTTACTCAATAATCCTGATTATTGCAAGCTAAAGTTGCTATTTGGATCAATGATGCATCTTCCGACAATGCAATTTGTATTCAAAAAACCCAAATCTTAAATATTCAAGTTGAGTTTGTTTTAAGAATGACTCCACTACAAAACCACTAATTGCTGCTTTATGAGAGAATATTTGCAGGTAAGAAGTATAACTGCATACAAAAGGGTTAATATAAATGCATCCCTCTGGTGGACAACAGCAAGAACAATAGAAAACTCACAGTCATTGAGAAACTAAATAAATAAGATTATTATTATTATTATTATTTATAATAATAATATGGATTACAATAAAGATGTTCAATACTTACCACTTTAAGTAAAGCATATAATCCTTTATCATTATTTCAGCATGCTCATTTTTATTGGCCCATGGCCAGCAAAGTAAATGAAAAAGAATATCTTGCCTTTCCTGCATTCATCAATTAAAGCTAGATATTTGACACTATTGTTTAAAACTCATAGTTTAGTTGGTTTTATTTTTAATGTATATATATATGTGTGTGTGTGTGTGTGTGTGTGTGTGTGGGTGTGTGTGTGTGTGTGTGTGTGTGTGTGTGTGTGTGTGTGTGTGTGTGTGTGTGTGTGTGTGTGTCAGAATTATGAAGAAGCGTGCCAATGCCGCTTGTCCCAGTTCAGTGGTTTTTGGCTAGGTTGCTGTTTGTATTTATACCTCTTGTCCAGAAGGGGTCGCTGTAATATTGTCCTGATTTTGTTGCCACGCTGATGCAAAGACGTCGCATTTTCTGATTGGCTCTGATAAATAATACTGCGCATGTGCAAGACTTTACCACGGCTAAGTACTGAAATCTGTCAGCTCAGCAGAGCCAAGAGTCCTCAAAATATCTTTAAATACTCTGGTGTATTGTGTTCCTTTAGTGTTCGCTGGAGACTTAAATTGTGCTTAAGCCGTAAACAAATTTGGTTTAAAACTTTTGGACCTGTGTTTGTGAAGAAAAAAAGCAGAATGTCGAGCAGTTCAAAACGGAAAGAAGAAAGTCATTTGCTAAATGGGGGTGTAAAACAGTCCACATGGGGCAAAGCCTTCTGCAGTAATGCTGTTTGGGAAGAGAAGGCAAGTATTCATTTTTGGAAAACTATCTTACACTTAGGCAGTTGCGATTTTTATTCGTTTGCTTTTGATCCTGAATTAATAAGAGGTGTTTTTAGTTGTTAGTCCTAACAGTTAGCCGTAGCTAGCAGCCATGCTAAGGATTAATCTGGTTGGGCTCGTTGACGTTTGGAGAAATACGGGTTTTTGTTTGGAGTCTCAACAAACTTGCAGTGGTTTGACTCTGAAGTCTAACAAAAAATTCCATTTTTGGTTCTTTTTAAAACACAGGAAAGGTTTCTCTTTACCTTTCCTGTGTTTTAAAAAGAACCAAAAATGGAATTAGAAACTAAACACAGTAAGAACATACCAAAGAAGTCTAACAACAACCTGGCCACTCTTAAGCAAACCTTTAAAATTATAACCATATGTTTCTATTGACACGTGCCACGTTTGTTTTCGTGGGATTAGTTTATTCTCATGAAAGGAAGATTAAAGCTGGTGAATATGTGAGTTTATTAATTAGACAATCGTTTCCAGTTCATTTAGTGGCGATTGAGTTTTTATTTCTCAATGTTCTGATAAAGAAGTTTAAAACAACTAAATAATTTTCATCTTTCATTTTAAACTCTTTGTGTAATCCCAGGACTAACTTTCACAGGAGTGGTCATCAGCATCTAGCCTAACGAATTAAACCAAATTAACAACATATTCATTTATTCTGGCTAATCAGCATCCACTCTGATTTAAATTATGTAATGGCTCCTTTCGAGTTTAGTTTTGAGTGAGCTCCTCTATGAAAATCCTCCATAATGCATGTCTAAAATAGTCTGTTATTTTAATGAAAACAAAATTAATCCAGTTATAAAATGCTCCTTGCCATGAGATTAACTTTATTGTAACGTTTTATTCACAAGTGTCTGTTTCCTTTTACAGGATGAGTTTTTAGATGTGATTTATTGGTTTCGACAAATTATTGCCATTATCCTTGGGGTGATATGGGGTGTTGCACCGTTGAACGGATTTCTGGGAATAGCCATGTAGGTATTCTGTTCAGCCCTGTTTTTCAAGCTTTTTTAACTAATAATTTTTATATTAAAAGTTAATGTTTTTTTGTTCATCCCACCAGTTTCTGCGTCATCAACGCTGGTCTCCTGTATGTATACTTCAGCAGCTTTCAGCAGATCGATGAAGAGGAATACGGAGGCACGTGGGAACTGACCAAAGAAGGCTTCATGACATCTTTTGCCCTGTTTCTGGTGGGAATGCTAATATTTACAGATGTTCAAAGAGATTGAAATTTAATTTGGGTTACTGAAAAAGCTGGACTTGCACTGCCATATATATATATATATATATATATATATATCTGTGTGTGTGTGTGTGTTTAAAACATTTGTAATGCATATTTTCTCTGCCCCCACCCCCACCCCAAATGGATGGATGGATTTTCTGTGTAACCTAACTGGTTAATTGTTCTCTTCTTTACCAGGTGGTATGGATAATCTTTTACACAGCTCTACATTTCGACTGAGGGATCAACAAGGAAATATAAAATAAACATTTCTGTTCAAGTAAAACTGAAGAAGAATATCCTGGTTCAGGAATCTCCGTGCTCCCTACATACACTTGACGTGTTGGTGTGCAGTGCACCATGGGAATCTTCCAGAAAGAACACAGTGACGAACAAACATAAATGCTGTACATCTTAGATATTTGAGGCTCAGTTTTTTTTAACGTCTTTCATCACATTTTTTAAAATATCTCCATTCTGTGATTTTAATGTTTGATAAAACAACAAATAAAAAACACTAAAGGTGCAGAAAGAACGTAGTGTGGTTCAGCCTAATTACATTTCAGTTGATTTTAGAAAGGTTTGTTGATGCAACACAATTGATCAACCCAATGATTTTAGTTTTAGAAGGATGTTAATGCAGACTTTACATAATAAAGATAACAAGCAGCAAATGAACTCATCCCAGTTTATCGCTCAGTAGTTGGTGGGTGAAGTTGCAGTACAAAGAAGTGCCATTGTTTTGTTATTATGGTTCATCTTCTAGCTTGGGAACAAAATGCGCCTTGGCTGAAAAGCGACCGTCATTAGGGATTTATTTTGGAGCTGTGACTCATTCCTCTGTGAAGTTTCAGTCAGAAAGTTATGAAGTCGAGGTTATCAGCTACTGTGTGCAGCTTTAAGGGTGTCATCTGTTTTTAAGCATAGTGAAACGTGTCATTTAAGGTTATTCCTCCAAACATCTAATGGAATATTGTAAGCTAACCACAGCTGATATCTGACTTAAATGCTGTTTGTATCTATTCTCAACTTGTTGCAAACATAACTACCCGAGTGGATAGAAGAAAACCTGCCTGCTGTGTTAAGATGCAAATGTTCACTTGTTTTCTTTTTTAAGTTGGACTTGCACTGCCATGATTTACTTTTAAGTGTCTGTCATTACCCTTTATTAAAATTAAACATTAATATAGATGTTTTTTTCTCACAAGTAGCTTCCACATTAGTTTTGTTCGGTTTTTAAATTAATTTATACTCTGGAAAGGCTGTATGATGCTCTTGTCAGGTCCACCCTCTATTACAAGGTTGTGTTTATGTTATGTCTTGATTGATGTAACTCATTTTCAGTATTTTCTGGTGAAGAACTCTCAGTTCTTGCAAAGTTGTTCTGATACTGTTATAATAAACATGCAGCTCATGTTTGAAGGGATTGTATTTTCTGAGCAAATCTTTTAAGAATCATTAAACATGGGCTTTGGCCTCCATTTTCAAAGACTAAAGTATGGAATGTTTTTTTTTTCCTGATCATGATAAAATTGATTTTATTGTGTGTGGGTGACTACATTTAATTAAATGTGCACATATATATATAGTGTATGTATGTGTATATGTATATATAATTAGAAGTGCTTATCTCATGATAAATCACGTGATAAAGGTATTTTATCAAGGGATGTTCGTAGCCAAAAAAAATCATAACCACTTAATTTCAATATTGATCGACGAAAAGATGATGAAATAACCCCCTTAGAAATCCACTGTGCGGATCCGAAGTACATTGAACGCATCATGTCACGCATGCGCAGTGTCAAGAAAAGGACCGGTGACCTGGGTCAAGGGGTGTAGTGTTGAAATTAGTTGCCCCGTCGAGAAGCCTGTATGTATTAGAGGTGTGAGTAAGTTCTCAAGGTTTATTCGATAACTAACGCTGACTCGTGAGGGCTCAGACAGGAAGAGCACGTGACTTCAGCAGAACTTTTATTTTGTTCAACTTTTATCCCGTGAACGTCTCAGGCATCATATGAGAGCGCTTATGGGATTTCCAGCACTGCTTCTACTGCAAACGGGTCGGTGGATCATCACAGGACTTGGGATTCTTTCATTATCAAGGTAGATCTTTATGTCTACGACTTCCTGGGACGGTCCAAGGCCACAGTGAAGGACATGTTGTTCGTTACCCACCTTGATATGCGGGACTCAGGAGTGGTTTCAGTTTCAGATTCTCACATCAACAGCATCTAGATGCAGCATTATCTTGATTTAGGATCCTACTCTACAAAGACTAACATTTAAATAAAACAAGAATTAATTCTGCTTTAGAGGAACTTCTTCCAAAGTGCTCAAAACTTTGGTGTCAAAAGTCAAACATGCTCACATTTATATTTTATTATTGTACACGTTGCACTGATCTGAGTGTGTTTGTGTTCCTGTCTTCTCAGTGTTAGCACTTTGCACATTTAGGATATTGGTGAAGATGAGTGCCGGTGGAGAGGAAGAGGAGGATCCGGGGTCAAGCAACATCTCTCTGTATAGTTATCATTCTAAAGAAAGTCCTCTAACCTTTAATGATAAACCTGGATTGGGAGGCATGGAGTAAGAGTTGCTTTTATTAAAAAGAAAATACATTTTCCCACACAGATTAGAAAACTAACCAGAAAAAATACTGGAAAAAACATTTTTTTATTACTTAAATTCTTCTTGAAATTGATTTTCATTTGTTAATCTTCTGCTCATCCAGGTGTAATATTATTGGTCACATGTTTATTTCCAGTGTTACCAAAGTCCAGGTGGAAGTCTGTGGACAGGATGAGTGCAGACCAGAATCATCGTCACCCAGCTGTCTCTCTCAAAAGAGTGACCAGTCCAAAGAAATTCCACTTGCCTTCAACAAAAACCTGGACTCTTTCAACAGAAAGTGAGCCAACTTCTCATTTAAAATGTTTGAACATTCATTGGAGGTATGATGGGATCAAACATGACGAAAATACCAAAGTTACAGGAAAGTTAATCCTTACAAGATAAAGTTTGTTTTTTATAATCTGCATGTTCTGCTAAATAAAGAAGCAATTGAACACTGGTTGCCGTTTATTTCTATTGTATTTATTTAATGCATTACATGAAAGCTTATTATAATAATAACCATAATGATTTATTTGGGGATAACAAAACATATTTTTATTTTTACAGAGAGGGGACAAGGACCTGCTGTACTTTGTGTCAGACTGTCCCAACTGATCCGGTCTGTCTGAGCTGTGGACACAGCTTCTGCAGCCGGTGTGTTGCATCTCACTGCGACCAGTTGACACGAGACTCTTCTTGTCTCAGCTGTGGAAAAAGATCCAAGAGAACGAACCCACGTAAGACACTCCACATGCGTAATAAAACCTTTGTACTGGATCGATCCAGTGTGACGCGTGCTTATGTTGCTGTGTATCTTACAGAGGCTGAACGTCTCCGGGACGTTTTGGACAGTCACAAGGCCACACTGAAGAAACAATGTGAATTTGCAATTGAAGGAATAGCTGAAGAAGGACATCGGAATCGCTTGAATAAAGTCTACACCGAGCTTTACATCACAGAGGGCCAGTGTGAAAGTGTTAACGTTCAACACGAAGTCTGGCATCTTGAGACAATGTCCAAAATGGAAACCCTCCATGAGACTCCAGTTAAGTGCTGTGACATATTTAAGGTTTTACCTGATCAACGGAGGGTGGTAAAAACGGTTCTGACCAATGGCATCGCTGGCATCGGAAAAACCTTCTCAGTACAGAAGTTTGCCCTAGATTGGGCAGAAGACCAGGAAAACCAAGATATCAGTCTTGTTGTTGTGCTCTCGTTCCGTGAGCTGAACTTGATCAGCCGTGAGAAGTACAGTCTTCTAAAGCTGCTCTCTGATTTCCACCCAGACCTTCACAGGATGACTGCTGAAATGCTCTCTCGCTGTAAGGTCTTGTTCATCTTTGATGGCCTAGATGAAAGCAGACTCTTTCTGGATTTCCAGGAGAACGAGGTTGTGTCTGATGTCACTCACACATCAACGATCAACATGTTGTTGGTAAACCTCATCAAGGGGAACCTGCTCCCTTCAGCCCTCCTTTGGATAACCTCCAGACCTGCAGCAGCCAGTCAGCTTCCATCAGCGTTTATTGATCGGCTGACTGAAGTGCGAGGGTTCACAGACAGTCAGAAGGAAGAGTACTTTAGGAGGAGGCTCCATCAGGAGACTCCGTCAGACGGCGTTATCTCACACATCAAGACATCCAGGAGCCTCTACATTATGTGTCACATCCCTGTTTTCTGTTGGATCACAGCTACGGTTCTGGAGCAGATGTTCACCACAGACCTGCACGAGCTTCCAACGACTCTGACTGAGATGTATGCACACTTTCTCATGGTTCAGACAAAGAGAAATGCTCAGAAGTATGAGAAGGGCTCTAAGCTGGAGCGTCTGGAGAAAGACAAGGAAGTCATTCTAAAACTAGGGAGACTTGCTTTTGAACATCTGGAAAAAGGGAACATCATGTTCTATCAAGACGATTTGGAGAAATGTGGTCTTGATGTCACAGAGGCTTCAGTTTTGTCTGGACTGTGCACAAAAATCTTCAAAAGGGAGCATGTACTGTTCCAGAAAACGATTTACTGCTTTATTCATTTAAGCATCCAAGAGTTTGTCGCGGCCGTCTACCTGATCCACTGTTACTTAAACAAGAACACGGAAGTTCTGATCAAGTTCTTGGGAGATGATGGGATTCAAACTCTAGAGCTGGAGAGCTTCCTTAGCAGAGTTGTGGACAAATCTGTCAACAGTGGAAATGGCCACCTGGACCTCTTTGTTCGCTTCCTTCATGGACTTATCCTGGAGTCCAACAACCATCTTCTGGGTGATCTGCTGGGCTGGGCAGCAAGTAGTCCAGAAAGCATCCAGAGAGCAATAACCAACCTAAAGAAGATGAATGCTTACGACATCTCACCTGACAGAAGCATCAACATCTTCCACTGTCTAATGGAGATGAATGACCACTCCGTGCACCAAGAGATCCAGGAGTACCTGCAACTGGAGAATCGAGAGCAGAAGAAGCTCACCAAGACTCACTGCTCTGCTCTGGCCTACATGCTGCAAATGTCAGAAAAGGTGATTGACGAGTTGGACCTGAAGAAGTACAATGCATCGGGGGACGGAAGACGCAGGTTACTGCCAGCTGTCAGAAACTGCTTAAAAGCCCGGTCAGTTCAGACTTTAATGTAAACAATCTGGAATTTAGTGAAAATAGATTTTAAAATCAGGATGGATTATTTTTCATGACACTGATTGAGAACTTTAATACCGTTGGTTATTTATATTTACAGTCTGTAAAACATTGACTTAAGCTTGTTTATATATTGCAGCCTGTCCTGCTGTGGACTCTCTGAGTCCCATTGCAAAGTCATTTCCTCTGCTCTGATGGCCAACCCCTCCCACCTGCGAGAGCTGGATCTGAGTGGAAATGACTACCTGTTGGATTCAGGTGTTCAGCTGCTGACTGTTGGGCTGCAGAGTTCAACCTGCAGACTGGAGATACTGAGGTTGGAGGTCTTTTTATTCCACTTCTCCAGTTTTCTATTTTCTGTTCTAACCCTGAACAAGTCAGTGAATTTAGATCAAAAGAAGAAAAAGTAGAAATGTAGTGAACTCTTAAGATTTTGGTAATGGAGGCGTTCTAATCTAGCCAGTGTTTGCTGCAGGTTAACATCCGTATTCTGTCTTTATGACAGTAGACACCTTGCAAATGAGACTTTTGACGTTTGTTTTTTTCCTCACTGGTAAGAAATCTAATCAAAAGTGATTTTAATTAAACCATGAAGGTTTTTTAATTTGTAGCCTGAAGAATTGCAGTTTGTCAGAAGGTTGTTGTGGACCTCTGGCTTCAGCACTGCTGTCCGCTTCTTGCTGTTTGAAAGAGCTGGATCTGAGTAACAACAACTATATTCAGGATTCTGGAGTGAAGCAGCTGTCTGTTGGACTGGAGAGTCCCCACTGCAGACTGGAGACCCTCAGGTTTGTGGTGTGGTTTTTACTGGGTTGGGTAGGAGTTGAGTGTGCAAGTGTAAATAAATTCATAACTGATCTGTTTCATGCAGATTAAGCTGCTGCAGGCTGACGGAGAGCTGCTGCTCGTGCCTGGCCTCGTCTATTGAGGCTAACCCCTCACACGTGAGAGTTTTAGACCTGAGTAACAACAAGCTGAAGGATCTGGGTGTAAATCTGCTCGTAGCTGCACTGAGGAGGCCACAGTGTAAACTCAAGACCTGGAGGTTAGTGGAATAGCACAGGAGAAACCTGCTAACTATACAGGCAAGATACTGTTTTTAGTTTAGCGCTTGTTGTGGTTTCCTTTGCTTTAGCTGATATTAACAAAAGTTTGTTTTCACTTGTGTTTTAAGCGTTTACTATTAATCCTGTTTATACAGACTTAACAGATGTGGGCTGACAGAAAACTGCTGCGCTTCTTTAGCTTCACTTTTAAAATGTGAAACGAGCAGCCTGAGCGAGCTGGAGCTGAGCGACAACGACCTGCAGGATCCCGGAGTGAACCTGCTGTGTGAGGGACTGGAGAGTCCACACTGTGGACTGGAAACTCTGAGGTCCGTCAACATGTTACCAGCTTTAAAATCAAACAGATGCTAATTAAATATGTATTAAACATCATCATTTATGTTCTTCATCCCAGCAGCATTTCTAACTGTCTGACTCAGTATTTAGCAGCACACACATGGTGATGTTAAATGTGTTGCAATGGATTTTTAGCCTGCTAGCTTCAATAGTAGTCCTCTGACTGGATTTAATGAAGTTAATAAACTGATTTGGTATCTGACCCAATGCAGACATCTTCTCTTACTACATGTTTGGTTCATTTTACTCAGACTGAGGGGCTGCTGGTTGTCGGAGAGCTGCTGTGCTCCTCTGGCTTCAGCTTTAAGGTCATCTTCCTCCAGGCTGAAAGAGCTCGATTTGAGTGAAAACGGCCTGCAGGATACAGGAGTGAAGCTGCTCTCAGGTGGATTAGAAAGTTCTCGCTGTAGACTAGATACTCTGAGGTGAATACGTGAAGCTTCAATAACTCTTCAGAAACAAAGATCTGCCTGTGAGAAACTCCTGTAATTTTCTTTTCTCTGCAGGTTGGTTTGCTGTCAGGTCACAGACGAAGGCTGTGTTCCTCTAGCATCGGCTCTGAAGTCCAACGCCATCCTGAGAGAGCTGGATCTGAGTAAGAACAACATCCAGGAACAAGGAGCAAAGCTGCTGACTGACGTTCAGGAGAGTCGTCATAAACTGGATCCTCTCAGGTTGGTTCAACACTCCCCAGAGAAAGAAAATAAATTGAACTTCCCTAAAAGCTTGACAGATTATTGTTTCTATAGGCTTGTTTCACATCAGAATGAACATGTTTGAACATTTCCTTGATGTTGTGGATCTAACTTGTGGATTATTTAATCCCAACAGTGTGGAAGGCAGACTTTTGCATCTGATCACATGATGCTGACTCGGATGTCGCCATGGCTGCTACCAAATAACTCACTCCAAACCAACTGTATGCATCATAGCTATTCATGTATTTATTAATGAACTATAAAGGGACAGGGTTCTCTAGAAACATTTGTAAATTATTCAAAAAATGTAAAAAACATGATTTTAAATTGTCACTTTATTCTTTGCAATAACAAAAAAAACAAAAAAAAAACAAGAACTAATAAAGAAAGTTTTGGATACTCTTATTGGTAGCTGAATGTTTCAATATACTGAAAACAAAGTCTGAATTATTCTAATTATTATAAATTATGTGGCTTTGTACTTGTCCTTGGAGGTCTCAAACAGTATGAAAGTAACTAATGAAAAATATTTTATCAAATGTAGTTTGAAGTGACTGAAAATATTTTTAGGAATTTAAATGAAAACTTGAACTTAAGTGTAACAAACAGTAAGATCCCATCAATTTTATCATTTTACACCCCATAAGTGCTAAACTAAGCCCACCTGAAAGTAACACAATGATGCAAATAGATAGACATTAAATAATGTATCCTCACTTTCCTCTGATATTTCATCAAGTTAAAACACAATAAAATCCTAGTTTATTTTAACAGAACCACACCAAACCTTTAAATAAATCCCATTTTCACCAGAGCATTTGAAACATAGCAGAGAAAAGAAAAATATATTTTAGTAAGAATAAAAACTTAAAATGGCTTGTAAAAGGAAACCTGAAAAATAAAAGCACAAACAAGTTAATTTTTTTACTTGATTAAAGCATCAGTAGCTCAGAGCAGGTTGTCCAATAATCGGAGTGTTGCAGGATAGATCCCAACTCCCTCCAGGGAATTCTGCTGTTGTGTCCCTGGGACAAGCACCTAACCTAATATGCCTATATGGTCAGAGGGGCCGATGGCACAAATGGCCACCGCACTCTGCCCCAACGCTGCTGTGGCTCGCCTCAAGACAACTTTTTCATTCTTTGAAGGCGCTTTTGGCAGCTTCCAGCGTTGTTTCATCTGTTCTCTTGCAGTAGACTCTGATCTGCTGTTCTTTAAACGTCTCTGGAAGCAGCTTAGACACCTGAAAACAGCAGCAGCAGGTGGACACAGGTTAAATAAAAGGACTTTGTAAAAGGATGAGTGCAGCAGAAGTGGTGGCTGTAGCTCAAGGGGTAGAGCACTCATGTACTGAGGTCAGTGGTTCAAACCCTGAACAGCAGATAAATAATAAAAATATCAGACAGGTTTAGATTCTGACCTTCTTTTTGATTATCTGAATGGGTTTGTTTGGGTGAGATTTGGAATAGAAGCGCACTTTTTCGATGGGGTCTTTGTCCTTCCCATAGTCAAAAACCACCACCTACAAAAGAAATAAAAACAATCTTTTACCTAAAAGTACAGTTAGCAAATATACAATATGTCATAAACTGAATGATAAACATCAAAGCTTAAAGTGTAGTTGAAGAAACTCTATTCTGATTATTTTTTCTAATAGAATGCTGAAGTTGAAGGTGTATAAATGTCACACTCACAACAACAACAAAGTCTTCTAGCTGTAGTTTGCTGGACTCAGCCAACTCTTTCTTCCAGTTGTTCATGATTTCCTTTTAGAAAGGATCCACAGAGTCAACATTAGAGCATTAAAGCAACAAACATCAAAACACCTCCAAATGTGTCTGTAACCACAGAAATTGATTGAAGGAGCAGCTTGTGAATTATTGCAAACATTAGAAAATAATTTTGGTTTATAATTCAGACAGAAACTTGAGTCTAAAATTAAAGTCCCATTAGTTGTCACCATAGGTTGTCACACACAAACTGGTGTGTGCGAAATTTGTTCTCTGCCATTGGCCGTAACAGCATGTGACCCATCCCTTGGGGGAGCTGTGAGCTGTAGACACGGCCACGCTCAGGAACCATTTGGTGGTTTAACCCCGCGAACCAACCCCTAATGCTGAGTCTCAAGCAGGGAGGCATTGGGTCCCATTCTTCCAAAGTCTTGGGTTTGATCCGACCGGGATTTGAACTCCGACATCTCAATCCCAGGGTGGACACTTGTACCATTAAGCCACTCAGCTATATGTTTTTACCAACATATAGACCTGATTTTAGGAATGGCAGACTCTATTACAAGCATTTTTTATATTAATCATGTACATAATTATTTCATCATCCCAAATCAAAGTTAAACAAAACTCAGAGATAGAACCACAATTTCTATAAATTAGTTTAACTCAACAATGTTACATCTGTTAATCAAAGCTGTGCAAACACTTTATACAATTTGATTCTCCTTTTTGTAACCCAGAAGCTAGAACCTTAATGAGGTATTAACTAATTGGCTTACTAATATGATCCATCCTCAATTTAGATAAAATATAAAATATAAATTAAGGAAATTAACAATACTAATTAATAGATATCTAATTAACTAATAGATAATTTCATAATGAATTATTGGAAGGGTGAATAACTAAAATAACGAGTTTAATATTAAACATCGGTTAAAACAAGAATCTTGAACATCACTAACAGAAACAGAAGAGGAAAGCTGTATACTATTGGTCCAGGTGGGAATCTGAAATTTCATTGGCTGAGAGAAATAAGTCCCGCCTCCACGAAATAAAACCGTGCGACGCAGCTGAGCGGGAGAGACAAACGGCTGTGCAGCACGCAGATACAGAAAGCAAAGACTGAGCGGTTAGAGAGAGAGAGAGAGAGAGAAAAAAAAACAACGGTCGAGGCCGTGAAGAACCCTGATTTGGGTGCCGCATAGATAGAGGGAGAGGCGGACTTGACTCCTTCTAATAAGAGCTAGGAACTTGGAACCAACGCGATTTGTGTGGAGACGACAGAGTGAACCAATCCTCTGTAGGAGGGAACCGTTGGAGCGCGTTGGCTGGTTTTTTTTTTTCCTTGGGTTTGATCCCGACTCCTATGATCACTCACTTGGAACGAGAACTGGATTTCTTCCTGACGAGGGAGATGGCGAGCCTTAACCACTGAACGAACCAGGACATCTCAAGTAACTGAAGAGCAGACTGCTCTCTTCTGTGAACAATCTCAACGGTGTGGTAGGAAAAAATCGCACCACCGGACTCTGACTTTCACCCCAAGCGTGGGGATTTGACTTGACGCCGGCTGACTTGTGACTCATATGATCAAATCTCATACCGACCAATTTACTATTGTCGATTGTTTTCATCTGTTTTTGTGTGTTATCTTTATGTGTTATATTTCCCATTATTATTAAAATTTAGTATATAAACCGTTTCATGCTATACCCGTGACTCCAGTCATTCTTAAACAACCTCCAATTCTCCCCGAACCTAATTATTGGCCCATTTGTTTATTTTTTCTTTTAATTATCTTATTGTATCCTGTAATCCGGTTACATAAAACTTGGCGAGCCAGCCAGGAGAATTGTAGAGTTGTTACCTTAGCTAACCATTGACTGACATCATAAGAGTGCCTGGAGGTCACAGTGGTTTGCCATTTTGGCATTATTGGTACTTTTGAGTGTTTTAAAATGGAAGTTGTGAAAACAGAAAAGGTCAAAGTTTCAAATGCTGTTTTAATCAGTGGGTTAACTGATACAGACCTTGATAACGAAGTCTTTGGGTTTATGGAAGGATTCGGACCAGTTAACAGGCGCATTAAGTTACCAAACTGTGATCAGATTATTGTGGAGTTTCAACATGAAGCCACTGTTAAGGAATTAAAGAAACAATGTTTACCCTATGACAAACCTTGTACTAGGAACCCAGATGTTTTCTTCCATATTCAAGACCTAGCCAGCGCGTACAGTCTAGAAACTAGCACATCTGCCACTGATGCCTATCTGTCAGAGCTCAGGGACATAGCTGCGCGTAGCAATCAATCATTTAAAGACCTTCTAATGGAGGAACTGGCAAAAATTGGGGAATCTTTAGGAAGGGATACCCATGCATCTGAACCAGTCACTGAACCAGAGCCAATGCTCCATAGTGACCAAGTTACATATTCCCTGCCTTTAACACCAGAAGTTAACTATATGAACAACTCAAAGGACAATTGTCCACCTACAGAGACTGGAAAACAAAACCCTTGCATTCCACCAAATCTTTTAAACACACCTGAGGTTCAGCGAGTTATTGTGGAACACATTGTTAAAAGCAGTGAGGTTATCCCTCCGCCTACTTCACAATACAGACTAAAACCGTTCTCAGGGCGAGTTCCACACCCTTCTTTTGAAACTGACTATGATACTTGGCGTAGTAGTGTAGTGTTATGCATAAATGATCCTTCACTCACCAAGTCCCAAATTGTACGAAGAATCGTGGAGAGCCTGTCAGCCCCAGCAGCGAGCATCGTTAAAGCTCTTAGTCCAAAATCCGACCCGGAAACGTACCTTGAACATCTCGATTCAGCTTACGCAGCTGTCGAAGACGGCGACGAGCTCTTTGCTCGCTTCTTAAACACAAACCAGGACAGTGGTGAAAAACCTTCCGATTACTTTCAGAGGTTATACACCTTGTTAAACCTAGTTATTCAGAGGAATGGAATTTCCTCCAGTGATGCCGACCAGCAGCTGCTCAAGCAGTTTTGCAGAGGCTGTTGGGACAGCTCGCTGATTTCAAACCTGCAACTCGAACAAAAGAAAGACAACCCGCCTCATTTTACAGCACTTCTCCTCAAACTGCGCACTGAAGAAGACAAACAGGCTACTAAAGCAGCACGCATGAAACAACACTTAGGGGCACAACGAACTAGAGTGTATTCAAATGTGCAAACAACATGCTCTCAGAGTAAAAACACTTGTGAACTGGAAATAGATGATAACTGTGATGACTTACGCAAACAAATCGCTGAGCTCAGGAGCCAAATTGCACAGCTTAAGGTTAACAACACAGATAAAAAGGCAAAGAAAACTCAAAAAGAGTCAAAACCCCGTGTGGGGACTAAAATTCCAGATGAGCCCAAACAGATTCAGCAGATAACAGCAGTGGTGCCCAGACCAAAGCCTGGATACTGTTTTAAGTGCGGAGAAGATGGGCACATAGCTTCTAGCTGTAGCAACGAGCCAAATCCAGCACTAGTTGCAACTAAACGACTTGCTCTTAGACAGAAGCAGCGCGAGTGGGAGATGTCAAAGCCAATTGCTCAGTCTCCTCCTTTAAACCGGTAGAAGCTCCTATCGTGGGACAGATAGGTGCTAAAGTAGAACCAAGTCCCTCTAAGGAAAGGACAGAGAGACTTTTTTGCAAGCCAGTTCATGCTCATTCAGTGCCAAAACTTCCCAAAAGATTAGTGGGTGGGCGATGCACAGCTACAGTCTCAGTTAACAGTGTTGAATGTAATTGTTTACTGGATTCAGGGTCCCAGGTAACCACCATTGCCAATTCTTTTTACCAAGAACACTTACCTGACCTCTCAATTAAACCCATCAGTAATCTGTTAGAAGTCGAGGGCGCAAACGGTCAAGCAGTTCCTTATTTAGGATACATAGAGATAAGTGTCACATTTCCAAAAGAGCTCGATCAGTCTGGACTTGAGTTACCTACCCTTGCGTTAGTGGTTCCGGATATAAGCTCAAACTCTGATACACCACTACTCATTGGCACAAACACACTCGATCCTTTGTATGAGCAATTGTCTGCCAATAACTTACCTGATTCCAAGGCACTCTCTTATGGGTACCAACACGTGCTAAAAGCCTTAGCAGTCAGAAAAAAACAAAGCAAAGATGGACGAGTTGGTGTGGTGAAGCTTCGAGGGAGAACCCAAGAAGTTCTCCCTGCAAATAAAAAACTGTTACTAGAAGGGTTTATGCAACCCAGCCAAAACAAGCATGAGCCTTATGCACTCATTGAACAACCCACCAATGGTTCTCTACCAGGGGGTATAATTGTAGATTGTTGCCTCATTTCCTTACCTTCACATGGTCCATACAAAGTACCTGTTGTACTAAGAAACGAAACTAACCATGACATCACATTACCCACTAACTGTGTGATCGCTGAGTTAGTTAAAGCCGATCGTGTTATGCCATATCCAGAACCTGACAAAAGTGATCAGAAAGTACTTGCGGCGTGTAGTTCGCAGCAACAGACTTCACCTTCAAACCCTCCTCTCAGTTTTGACTTCGGTACTTCGCCCTTGTCCGAAGAATGGAAAGGGAGGATCACCAACAAACTTAACACTTACTCCGATGTGTTTTCGCACCACGATCTTGATTTTGGTCATACACAACAGATAAGACATCACATCAACTTAAAAGACGAGACCCCATTCAAACAGAAATCTCGGCCGATCCATCCACATGATTATGAAGCCGTGAGAAAACATTTGGAAGCCCTCTTGGAAACCGGTATAATAAGAGAGTCGGAGTCTCCATTTGCCTCACCAATAGTGGTAGTTCGGAAAAAGAATGGTGAGGTACGTCTATGTATAGACTATAGAAAGCTTAATCTGCAAACCATTCGCGACGCATATGCCCTGCCTAACTTGGAGGAGTCCTTTTCTGCTCTCGCTGGATCACAGTGGTTTTCTGTGATGGACCTCAAGTCAGGTTACTATCAAATAGAGATGTGTGAAAAGGATAAACCTAAAACTGCTTTTGTTTGCCCGTTTGGGTTTTATGAATTTAACCGTATGCCACAAGGAATAACAAATGCTCCAAGCACTTTCCAACGGGTTATGGAAAAGTGTATGAAGGACATTAATCTGAAGGAAGTGTTAGTTTTCCTAGACGACTTGATCGTCTTTTCCAACTCCTTGGAAGAACACGAAACCAGACTTTCTCACGTTCTTGAACGGCTTAGAGAATACGGACTCAAGCTATCACCAGATAAGTGTCGTTTTTTCCAGACATCTGTGCGTTATCTTGGACATATAGTATCTCGAGATGGCATAAAAACCGATCCAGATAAGGTGGAAGCACTCAAAACATGGCCGAAGCCTCAGACTTTGAAGGAACTCCAATCTTTCTTAGGATTTACCGGTTATTACCGACGCTTCGTTAAAGATTACTCAAATATTGTCAAGCCACTAACATCTCTCACGGCTGGTTATCCACCCAAACGGAAAAACTTTAAAACACCACCATGTAGATCAAAGTACTTGAACCCCAAAGAACCCTTTGGGAATCGTTGGAGCCAAGACTGTGAGAAGTCCTTTCAAACTATTATTGAAAAACTTACCACTTCGCCAGTTCTTGGCTACGCTGACGCAAAACTCCCATATCTAGTACACACAGATGCTAGTACGACCGGACTCGGTGCAGCGCTATACCAAGTGCAAAACGGTGTCACACAGGTAATCGCTTATGCAAGTCGCGGTTTAAGCTCTAGTGAAACTAGGTACCCTGCGCACAAGTTGGAGTTTCTAGCCTTAAAGTGGGCCATAACAGATAAGTTTCATGACTATTTGTATGGGAACACATTCACTGTCATTACTGATAATAATCCGTTAACTTACCTCTTAACAACGGCAAAACTCGATGCAACGAGCTATCGTTGGCTAGCTGCGTTGTCCACCTATAATTTTGACATCAGATACCGTGCAGGTACACAGAACGTTGACGCGGATGGCCTGTCTAGGAGGCTGCATGATAAACCTGAAGACAACTCAAAATTCACTGAGGAATGCCAACGACTAGATGAGTTCCGATCTCATCTTTTATCCTCTGTCAAAGAAGTCGAGCTTCAACTTCAAGCCGAAGCAGTGAAGGCAACATGCCAAAAGCACATGGTCTTGGATGAGACTGATTCTCCTTGTGGTTTAGTTCAGTCACTTGCCATGTCTGCAGCGGCCATTCCAGACCTATTCCAGTTGGAAGACAATAGTGACAGTTTCTTTGCTGTGCCCAAGTATAACCATGCTGACCTTGTCTCCTTGCAGAGGAAAGATCCAACCATTGGCCGAGTCATTCAGCTGCTTATGACTGACAATAAACCGCCAACTGATACTATTGCAGAACCCCCGGTGGTTCTTAACCTTTTGAGAGAGTGGAAACGGTTTGAGTTTCAAAATGATTTACTGTACCGGAGACGCCAATTAGGACCAGAGACATCATTGCAGTTAGTCTTGCCTGATTCATTACGTTCAACAGTCATGCAAAGCCTACATGATGATATGGGGCATCTTGGGGTTGAACGTACGACAGATCTCATTCGGTCCCGTTTTTACTGGCCAAGAATGGCTAGTGATATCGAAATCAAAGTTAAAACTTGCGAAAGATGTATCCGTCGGAAGGCCCTCCCTGACAAAGCTGCTCCAATGGTGAGTATTACCACCACCAGACCTATGGAGTTAGTTTGCATGGATTTTCTCTCCATAGAACCAGACAGTAAGAACACTAAAGATGTCTTAGTGATTACAGACCATTTTACAAAGTATGCAGTGTCCATCCCAACCAAAGATCAGAAAGCCACCACCGTCGCGAAGAACCTGTGGGAACATTTTTTAGTCCACTACGGGTTTCCTGAGCGTCTTCATAGTGATCAGGGACGGGATTTCGAATCACGTACAATCAAGGAACTTTGTTCTTTACTTGGTATCCGTAAAGTCAGAACGAGCCCTTATCACCCTCGTGGCAACCCCGTTGAACGGTACAATCGTACATTACTCAGCATGTTGGGAACTTTACAAGCCACTGAGAAACATCACTGGCGCGATTTTGTAAAACCACTTACTCACTCGTACAATTGTACAAAAAATGACGTGACGGGATACTCTCCCTACGAGCTAATGTTCGGTAGGCAGCCTCGGTTGCCTATAGATATTGCCTTTGGGTTACCGCATTTGAACAAGCCCTCTATAACTCATTCTCAGTATGTTAAAGAACTGAAGAGTCATCTGGAACAGAGTTATGACATTGTCATAAAAAACTCTCAAAAAACAGCGAGGAAGAACAAAGAACGGTTCGACAGAAACATTCGTGAGTCCACACTAGGTGTGGGAGATCGTGTTTTAGTCCGAAATCTTCGCTTAAGAGAAAAGCATAAATTAGCAGACAAATGGGAGCAAACAGTGTATATAGTTCTCAAACAGATGGAAAACTTGCCAGTATACACTGTAAAACCAGAGAACGGAGAAGGACCCAACAGAACACTCCACAGAGATCTTTTACTGCCTTGTGGTTTTCTCTCTTCATTAGAAAATGAAACAGAACGCGTTACGAAACCTAGCAGACCTCATACAAGACAGAGTTCAGCCTTAGAACCTGACCCAGATGAGCCACTTGACGAAGAGGTAGATGAGTTTTATTACTCTGATCTTCCACAAGTGCTAAACCGACCATCCTATCAAATAGCGGTCACCTTGCCAAATAGGGAACTCATAGCAGATTCAGGACCGGTAAATAATATTCAACAACAAAACACACTATCCTTACACACAGGGGATCGCAAGGAACCAACCTTAGCTGGTAATGAAAATGCTGAATTGTCCTTACTTGACAAAGGCATCAACACCGAAACATTCTTACCTGACAGAATGAGTGAAACTGCGACATTCTTACCTGAAAGAGTGAAAGAAGCAGCAACATACTTACCTGAAAAAACGAAAAAAAACGAAGTATACTTACCTGACGTAGAAACGGGGGATGAAACTAACACAAACCTACCTCAATTGGATGGTGTCCTAAAGTCGCAGCAACGTGATGTAAGTTTTGAACCCATCATACACGATCAGACACATACATCTGAAAAGACCAAAGTCTTAGAGAATAGCTCATCAGCTCTGTCGGAAACAGAGAGCTCACTTCGTCCTGTCTCAGTTGAGAATCAAACCGAAACGGATGAGCATGATACTGTGCAACCAGAGATGTATGTCAGGAGATCTGAACGAAGTAGTCAGCCTCCTCAAAGACTAACTTACTCTCAATTGGGCAATCCACTAGTGACCGTAGTTAGGTCCCTTTTCCAAGGACTTAATAAAGCTTTTATTGACTCTCTTACTCAAGAAGTTGTGTACCCCGTAGAAACAATGCACAGGGACGTGCATGATATTTAATGGGGGAGGATGTAACCCAGAAGCTAGAACCTTAATGAGGTATTAACTAATTGGCTTACTAATATGATCCATCCTCAATTTAGATAAAATATAAAATATAAATTAAGGAAATTAACAATACTAATTAATAGATATCTAATTAACTAATAGATAATTTCATAATGAATTATTGGAAGGGTGAATAACTAAAATAACGAGTTTAATATTAAACATCGGTTAAAACAAGAATCTTGAACATCACTAACAGAAACAGAAGAGGAAAGCTGTATACTATTGGTCCAGGTGGGAATCTGAAATTTCATTGGCTGAGAGAAATAAGTCCCGCCTCCACGAAATAAAACCGTGCGACGCAGCTGAGCGGGAGAGACAAACGGCTGTGCAGCACGCAGATACAGAAAGCAAAGACTGAGCGGTTAGAGAGAGAGAGAGAGAGAAAAAAAAACAACGGTCGAGGCCGTGAAGAACCCTGATTTGGGTGCCGCATAGATAGAGGGAGAGGCGGACTTGACTCCTTCTAATAAGAGCTAGGAACTTGGAACCAACGCGATTTGTGTGGAGACGACAGAGTGAACCAATCCTCTGTAGGAGGGAACCGTTGGAGCGCGTTGGCTGGTTTTTTTTTTTCCTTGGGTTTGATCCCGACTCCCATGATCACTCACTTGGAACGAGAACTGGATTTCTTCCTGACGAGGGAGATGGCGAGCCTTAACCACTGAACGAACCAGGACATCTCAAGTAACTGAAGAGCAGACTGCTCTCTTCTGTGAACAATCTCAACGGTGTGGTAGGAAAAAATCGCACCACCGGACTCTGACTTTCACCCCAAGCGTGGGGATTTGACTTGACGCCGGCTGACTTGTGACTCATATGATCAAATCTCATACCGACCAATTTACTATTGTCGATTGTTTTCATCTGTTTTTGTGTGTTATCTTTATGTGTTATATTTCCCATTATTATTAAAATTTAGTATATAAACCGTTTCATGCTATACCCGTGACTCCAGTCATTCTTAAACAACCTCCAATTCTCCCCGAACCTAATTATTGGCCCATTTGTTTATTTTTTCTTTTAATTATCTTATTGTATCCTGTAATCCGGTTACATTTTCAACATTAATCTGTTCCAAAACTGAATCCAGCAGTTCAAATAAACCAGAATGTTGAATGTGTGTTAGAAAACAAGCACAAACCAGGGTGACAGTTAAGGGCTCGTCTAGCTGAGTTTGACCCAGATACTTATAGATTTTTCTGCACTGGATATTTCGCAGGATCTTTCCCGCCTCAGCGAGCTCCGGGAAGTTCAGTATCTTTATTGCCTTAGCGATATTTGGAGAGGACGAGCTAAGTTGCTTTGTTACCTTGGCAAGATCTGAAGCGAGCCATTCCCGTTTCTTTGTTTCTTCTTTGAGATTTTGAGCGGACAAGTCATCAAGATTTGAAAGGGACCAGAATCTTGCCCACCTCAGAGAGACCCGTAGAGGACAAGTTCAGTATCTGTTCAAATATGTTTTCTAAAGAAGAAACAGAGAAATTTAAAAAAAAAACACTCAGTGACCAGGTTGAGATGAAAAAAATAAATAAAAAACATTTTTACAGAGAGAAATATTGTAATTTCATTTATGAATACAAACATTTAAAGGCACACTTGACAATTTTGGCTTGCTTTTAGCACCCTCTAGTGTGTGTTCAGTAGAGCCAAAAGTGAAACTTACCTGCTCGCTGTGCGTTCATCTTTTTAACAGCTTGATCTAACAGCTGCAATGTCTCCTCAGCCTTCATTAATTTCTACAGAAGTGGTTCGTCACTAAATTAAATCAGCTGTGTTCATGATCTAAAACATTAAGTAAATGTGCTGAAAGCAGACTGCAGCGCCATGGATTTCATCTCCATTTTTTTAAGTCTAACAGGTGGTGGCCTGACACTATGAAGTTGCAAGTGTGGTATTCTGTACTCTTTATTCATTTTATTATATTCCAGAAATGTTACTAACCAATCAAACATGAAACACCGTAAATCCTCTAATACAGGCCCGGGCCTGTATTTGACTCAAGCTCATCAAGCTCCAGGCCTTTATTGGAAGGAGGGCCAGAATTAGAGGCAGACCTATATTTCTATTTGAGCAAAATGAACTAATGGTTCGCTGGAGTTTTTGACAATTAAAATTGCGCCCACATTTTCAAAGTTAAACACATTTCTTTTAACAACGGTAGTTTCTGCTTCAGCCATCTCCCCCCTCCCCCTGCGCAGCGGCCGCAAACTCACTGATGCGCCTGCAGCCTCTCGGAGTTCCTGCTGCTCTAAACATTAAAATAATTTATTTCATTTTCTGTTCCTCACTTCTGATTACCTTCAATGGTGTCTGTTTGTTGCAACCTCCAGGTACAAAAACTTGTTTTTATTTGACTATTTTTCTGTCCTGCCTGTTTATTATCTTCCTGCATCTCCTCTCAATCCTAAAGAGAAACTGCTACCTGGGTTCATATATATTCACCTTATGAGTTACCTTTGAACTGCAGTTCTAAAAGATCTACCGACCGCAAAAACAGCGGAGTGCTCGCTGCTTGGTGGCCGCATCAGTGATCAGTGCATCACCGGATGACAAGGTGATGCGCCCCGCTCCACAGCGAAACGCATCAGGCGCAAATAAAAGACAGAAAACATTAAAGGAAATGAGCCGACATGAACGATCGCGTGTTAAATTAGTTTTTGAGGTGGCGACACCTGATTTGATAATGTTACTGTGGCCGTGCTCAGGACACAGATCTACCGACCGCAAAAACAAGGGAGTGCTCCCTGCTCGGCGGCCGCATCAGTGATCGGTGCGTCACCGGAGGACAAGGTGATGCACCCCGCTCCACAGCAGCGAAACACATCAGGCGCAAATAAAAGACAGAAAACATTAAAGGAAATGAACCAACATGAACGATCGCGTGTCAGTACCGACGCTCTGGCACAGCGCGTTGCCCCCCCGAGTGCAGGAGCTTGTCACCTGCTGACAGCAGGCTGCTGTCTTTTCCGAGGGCTGCATCTTGCCGGTCATTATCACGTGACGGCGACTAGTCAATGACAGGCATAAAAAGTCACTATAGTGAAGTCGACTAGTTCATACAACCCCTGCTACTGCTCCCCAGAGTGTTCTGCAGCATAATCAGCACGTTCTCTTTGAACTTGATATAAAATTTTCGCCTCCTCTTCGTCTCCGCACGATTAAAGTTACCCTCGCGGTCTTTCACTGGCAAATCAAAAGTGAGACGATGACACAACCGCCCCCCGTACTTGCCTGTTACCACATTCCACCCGGCCACAATAAGAGACCGGCCATTATTCACCTCCGCCGACTCCGACACCGGCCAAAATATGAGACCCGGCCGTTAATTGAATACAGGCCTGTATTAGAGGATTTACGGTAAACACTTCAGTTTCACCTATGAATTAGTTACTTCCAAACGAGCATCTACGTGTGAGTGAGTGAGTGAATGAGTGAGTGAGTGAGTTGGGATTAGGGATGTGTATTGTTGAAATTCTGGCAATATAATACGTATCATGATACAGGGGAGACAATACAATATATCACAAAATATTGCAATACATTCGCCAGTCGATATTAGCAATTTTTTTAGACTGAAATTATTGTAAGAAAATTCAATAAACAGTCCAAACTGATAATATGAGGTATCTGAATGAGGGATTTACATTTCAATGGTGGAAACAAAATGCATTGCACATAGCTGCCAACTAGCTGTCAGCATTTGAATTGCAACAAAAGAAAAGAAAAAAAGATTGCATTTTCGTAAATCTTCCAAAAATTTGATACACAGCTTTTGAATATCGATATAATATCATACGGAAAAAAATCACGATAAATTGTCATATGGATTTGTTTTTACATACCTAGTTGGGATAGATGGGAGTTTAGTCATCAGTCATATTTCCTACTCTGTATGGAATCTCAGGAAACAGTTTTTTGCTGGCATGAAGCCGAGGTGATCAAAACACTTCTGGAACTTGGATTTGTGATGTGGTATTTGGTATTTTGCATCTCCTCTTCTGTTGCGCCATGATCCTCCAGTGGGCTGAAGCATCCAAATGCACCCTCCCATTTGTGGCCACAGGTCATTCAACCCTTTTCGCCTTGTTCTCACCAGCAATTGAGTTGGAGATACTGGGGCTGCCTTTCTTACTCAGATTATTTTCACTTTTGTAAAGGCATTCAGCAATGAATGCTTAAAAAGTATACAGCCTCTTCAGTTGCTTCTTTTCGCTTCCAGTACCTTTCCAATCTCCATGGTACTGTAGCCAGGCAATCACAACAGCAAATCCAGGAAATGGAATAGATGTTGGTGGTACCACTTCTTCACTCTGATTTTGGTTTGTTACATTGCAAGGACTGTCATGGTTGACACGTCTCTGCAAAATTGCGTGGTCATCGGGGGCAGTTCCTGTGGAGTGGCAGACAAGGGCGGTGGTCCCTATTTTTAAGAAGGGTGACCAGAGAGTGTGTTCCAACAATAGGGGGATCACACTCCTCAGCCTCCCTAGAAAGTTCTACTCTAGGGTACTGGAGAAGAGGGTCCGGTCGATAGTTGAATCCCGGATTGAGGAGGAGCAATGTGGTTTTTGTCCTGGCGAACATTTATATGTTATATTTAACATATAAATAATAACAAATTGTGTCTTAAAGTGAACAGAATTGCTTCTTTACGTGTTCATGCACATAAATATATATTTTATTTAAAGTTTTCACAAATTTAAATATAAAAGTGACATTCAATTTACCATTCAATGGCAGTGGGAATAATGCAACTCTGCTTCAAGAAAGGACTTCTCCTTGCCCAGACAAAGGGTCACATGCACATGCAAACCTCTTTTTCTTGGACTGGGACATTTCTGGAGATACTTTTATTCATCCAACACCAAATAAAGAAATAATGGGGCAGTGTGAGGTGCAGATACATAGTTTGTTGCATAGAGGCAACGCTATGCCATAGAGGGATATTGTTCGTGCAAATGTTGTATTAAACATTAGGGCCATAATCAATTTTCACATCAGTTACTTAAATGAAATCCTATTTGCAAGGATGAAAATCATCATCTACAGCAAACTGGAGCCCTTCCAGTTCATCCAAGTGTGGATGGATCTGATAGGAATTTCAGAAAAAATATTCAAAATTCCAATATCCATTGGAGGCATTTATGTGAACTGTCAGTGAGATGAATTTGTGACTTCTCAGAGTTGGTGTTCATAGGTCGATGTGGCTAAGAATGTGACCACCTGGTGTCACCAAAGACCATGCTACTCATGCTGGAGTACAAGTCTTCATAATCCACTACGGACATTAAAGGCAGATGAGTGAATGTGTCTAAGCTTTCTCTGAGCCAAAAAGCAATCAGAAAACACTGAACATAAAAGTTATTATCACGTCAGAAATGGTAAAAACAGAAATGTAGTAAAACTACAACAGTTTTTTCCCATCAGAAGGCTGTGGTATAGCCATTGTTTTGTGATTATTCTGATTTATTCTGATGAAGATAGGTTTTGCAGAAACTACAGAGAAAGCAGAAGTATTTGGTACTCAAACACATAAACCCAATGTACAGTCTGAGATGTTGCTGAAGGCTTTATAAAAAACCCAATCATGATGCAAAGAAAGAAGAAAATTGTAGACTTGACATGATGCATATCTAACAGAGATGGGGCAGATAGTGGTACCTGCTGTCCTGGATTTCTCTGTGGTCCAGCGATCTGCTCCTTGATAAAGTCCAAGTCCTCTGGCATCACCAGGCCATGCTCCTCCATCACTGGCTTCAGGTTGTTGACCTCCACCAGGTGGTCAAACATGGCCACAGAGGCAGTCTCATGCTGCAAAGACGTATATTATTAGAACAGGAATATAAGAACAATCACTCCACACACACCTGGCATCTTGCCATAAATGTCTCCAAGACAAATAACTTGTTGCCTTGTTTAGAAATGTAACATGTCTGAAGCAGAGAAAGCCTCTTATTTGTGGTGTGTGGGACTGGAGCGCCTACAGTGTGGCTCAAGGTCCTTCAGACAAGACCTGCTATTGTCTGTGTGGTTCTCCGAGTTTCCAAACACCAGATATGAGATGGAAAATCCCAGAAGGAAAAAGTTATTGTCTTCTAAACTTCAGTGTTCAGCTTCCACACTGATATTCAAACATTTGAAACAAGCTACCATTCAAACAAGTCTTAATATTCTGACAAATTATAGGGGCAGTGTAAAGTTTTGATTGTGCTAGAGCTAGAAGAAGTTCTCACCTTCCATCCAAAATCTGGGCGAGCTTTACACATGAACTTGTTCTCAAACATGTGAGAAAAAGGTCCATGTCCTGGAAAAGGAGGAAAACCTTTAACTGTGAGATGATCAAGCACAAAAACACCTAATGGACAAAAGTTGATGAGAGACCTGCACTTCCTGTTTTCTATGACATAAATTATTGGTATTCTGTTGCTTTTAAAAAACAAAAAGCAATAAAACTATTCTTTCCAGATTAGAAAGTGTCCATAAAAACTTGAAACCCAGGGCCTTCTATATGTGGACACTCCCACAGATGTCAATAGAAAGAATGGAATGGGGAATTCACATCTGTCATGGAGCTGCAATTAATTCCACACACCAGAAATTCTATCAATAAATTCAGGTTCATAAGTGTTTCAGAGTTTTACTCTTGTATGTTGATGGAATTACAACATTTTTGGCATTGTAAAGCATTAGTTGGCTGCTCCTTACGAAAATATGTCAAAAGCAATCATAGCCAGTGTTAATTATAGTAATAAATCATGTTAACTGGCTGTTTGTGAGCATGATAGTTTTTGATTAATTAAATGGGTTTATTTTAGTCTAATTTAGCTTTTTTTAAATAGTCTTCAGTCAGACTTATCATTGTTTAGAGTTTTGTAAAGTCTTTGTTCATTTTATGAGTTTAAAATGTATAATCAATCAATCAATCAAGTTTTATTTATATACACTTTCCACCACCTTCAAAGGGGGCCCAAGGCACTGGACAAGAAAAGTAACAAAGATAAAAGTAGCAAGTCATAAAAACATTAAAAACAAAATAAGAACATGGACATTTGCGAGAACAATAAAATGCCAATGAGATAACATTTAGATAAAAGAAGATTAAAAGTAATTAGTTAAAAGAAAGCTAAGAACAAAAAAATAAAAACCAGAAACCAAATGCTTTAGGAAAGAGCCATCCTATAAAAATAAGTCTTCAACCTGCTCTTAAAGACTGCCAGTGATGCAGACTAATCTAATTTCTAATGAGAAATAAAAGTGTCAATGAGCAGAGTGGAGACTCCAACTCAGGGTGGCAGAGGAAAAAGGATTCTTCAGAACAAAAGATTTCAATGACGTTTATCTGATTATACCTCTAGTTACTAAAGTATTTCAGCTAGAAAACATGCTTAGGTTTTATTCTAAGACTGACATGGTTAATGAGTTATTCATCCTTGAACGGACACACGACTTTTGCATAAATGAGAATATTATCAGGAAAGAAAAATCTTTTTTTGAAGATGAATAATTATTTCATATTTTTCAGTTAAACCACATGAGGCTGACTTCAATGAACTGCTGAAGCATGTTACACACATGGATCACCATGGTAACACAATGTGTCATTTTCACAAATTAATCCCTGTGTCCTACAGAATAATCAGAGCTGATTCAAAATCTTTAAAGAACAGTGAGCACAAGAACCTTTACAAAGTTGATATTTACTGAAGGATTGTTCATTTGTGTTTGTTTTTATGCAGTCAAATTGGGATTAGGATATTTATTTCAAGTCTTCCTCCACCTCCATCTTGTTGTGTTGAAGAAATATGGGTGGGGTAAGATTCTGGTAGGCCAGTGACTTACTTTTTAATCTGAGTGGGAAATGTTTGCTAAAGCTGCTTTGCTGGTTGATCTATGGCTACATTGTGAATTGGGTGGATTTCACATGGTTGGATGCAGGATTTCATCTAATCCAAGTATTTTATTTCCAGGTAGAAGTAATGGCTCAGAAAAATAGCTTTGTAACGGATCAAAGGTCACATTTTCATCAAAAAAATGACCAGAAAGTAGCTTTTAATTTGTAGACACAAACACACCATCTATCTGCGGTGCAGACTTCTGCGTCTGCTGCTTCCAAACCAGAAAGCTACAAAGAAGATATAACATCGTCTGCCAAGGTCTCATGCAGAAGCGAGACTCGTGTCTTTACTCTAATTAAAGTTCATCTTCCTGAAAGTTCATTAGTGACTTTACAATTTATAGGTTGAAATAATCAAATGTGTTGAATGAACAAGATGTTTTAATATAGCAGTGTACTCATATACATTATCTTATTACGATTTAACGTTCACTTCACATAAATGTTTAAACATTCTCATTCGCACAAGGAGTTAACCTCTGAGTATCTGACCGATGGCGTGACATTCTGAGGCGTTTTGATAATACCTTCAAATGTATCAAATTTTGATTTGCCAAATTTATCAACAATGTGTAGCGTCATGAAAGGCCTCTAATTTGTGACAAAGGTCACATTTTCCCAGCTGGGTCAAGCTGGGTCGACTGTAACTTTGCCCCACAGATTAAACAAGCGAGGAGCCGTGATGTCTGCTGAAAATCATCTTTATCTGCTGCTGTTCCGTCCCAGGCTGAAGGAAACTTCAAGATCACAATAATAATTTTAAATAATAATTTTAATAAACTTTTGACTTTATTACTGTTATCAGAATCATCATAAATAATCTCTTGGTTCAGTAAATGTATTTTAGTTACTGAAATGAATTATTATGCTTTGGGTATAATAATGATTATTGTGATAATCGGTATGTGTGCTCAGTAAACCAGAAGGTCATCCTCCACTTTATCCATCCAACGCAGAAAGCTTATCCAGGGTAAAAGTTAAACTGCTCTCACATGTTTTTCCCCAAAACCAAAGCTTTCTTGCTCTAAGAGGGCGTGTTCTGAGGATTTTGTTAAAACCGAATTCCAGCAGCAAAAGTTCAGTTCTTGAACCATACGAGGAGATGAGGGAACGGCCGCCCGAATCTCTACTAAGCATTCTGTCATGCCAGTTTAGTTGCTATTTTCGTGCCTGCTTGTTGTTACTTTTAAATCACCACAAACGTGTACAAATTCTACGTAATTAAGTAATTTGTTTATGCAGGGAATCGAACCCCGTCTCATGACTGAGAGTACCGTTACCGCCGGTGCCTTTTGTTGGTGACGTGAAAGGTTAAGCAAAACCTGCATCGCCCACATTTGTGTTATAGCTGCAGAGTAAACATTTATTCTTTTACAGAAGAACACAAATGTGGCTGATGCAGGAAAAAGAACCTTTACAGATTTTTATTAACACAAACGACGAGTCCTGATTTGGTTCTGAGAAAGTTTTTTTTAGCTACAAACGTCTCCACCATGCAGCCTCATTAATCAAAGTTGCCGAGTTATCAAGATTTTGGGCCTCCATGCCAAATTACCACTATCTATCAGGTGGCAGGCCCCTTTTCAAAATTTCTTCAGGGATTTTCTAATTGTTCGCTTGTTCTTTGTTTTTTTTCCTACTTAAGCTGTTTTCGTTCATCGTTGAGGATGAGGTTGAGAGATTTTAATTTTGACCCTCTGTGAATCCAGACCCCAGGTTCAACCCACCTCACCTGGCTTCTCTCAGTGTTGAGGAGCAAAGGTTCCACTTCAAGCTCCTCTTGGATGTCTGAGCTAATTTGTATGGTGGTTCATGCAGGAGGCTGTTTCATAAAAGTGATTCTTTTGGAGAGAGGATATTTCTGAAAGACCCGCACAAAGAAACTTATAAAACTGTGTTTGCATGAACCACACTGAATCGTGTTTTAGGGTGGCAGAAATCCACTTTAGTATAGGCATGCCTGCACTAGCCATTAGCTTATCAATCCATCACCATACCTAACTCATAACTAGGGATAATTTTAATTATGCCAATTTATTGGAGTTTGTACTTGTCCTTGGGAGGCAAAACATGAAAGCAATTAATGAAAATAATTTTCTAAATCTAAACTGAAAACTTGGAACTAAAGTGTAGAAGACAATAAGTTCCCATCAAACCTGATTTTATTATTTAGCATTTTTAATCAACATAACTGCTAAAGTAAACCCACCTGAGACCTCATGATGCAAATGATTATTGAAAAGTAGATGTGAAATCCTTAATTACCTCTGATGTGTCACCAAATTAAACACAGAATAAAGTCCCAGAGTTTATTTTGGTAGAACCACACCAAACCTTTAAATAAATCACACACATCAGATTTTTTTAAACATAGGTTTGATGAACTCAAAATATATTTTGGTTTAACAAAAGCCATTTAAAATGGTTTGTAAAAGAAAACCTAAAGATAAACACAGCAACAAGCAAAAATAAATACCAAACACATTATCCAAAACAGCAAAGAAGAATAAACAGATACCAAAAAGGTAAAAATGTTTTTAAAGTAACAAATACTTCTCAGGTAAATACTGAAAAACTGCCGTGGCTTAAGATAATAAATGGTTGAAATTCTGTACTTTTAAATAAAACCTGATTAATAAAATGAAACAAAAACATGAATGACATCACTGAGAACCTTTGTTTTCTAAAACAGACCTTTTACAGAAGTACACCCCTGCATCCTCCGTTTGTAACCGGTATAAAAATATTTGCCGTTCACCAACACACATCTCATAGAAACATGATCTTCAATGTTGTATTTTCTGGTTGTTAACAGTGTTTTTATTTGAGTTTTTCACTTAAACAGCTGAGTTTTGGCTTTCTTGACCCCGTTAACCTGAGCAGCTTTTAGTTCTTTGGAGCAGGAGTCGTCGCTGCTCTCTCCGTCGTTGTTGTTGCGCCAGCTGGCTTTCAGAGGGGTCAGCTCAGGTGCGATCACATCTCCATCCTACGTGGAAGCACACATAGATAAATGGTGATGGTGGGACAAAACTGCAGGGATATATAATCAATGGAAATGAAAGCTACATTGGGTTACAGCAGCGATACCTGAGGCTTGGTGAAGTTCCTGTCCATGCACCATTGAACAAAGTACTTCTTGGCAGCCTCCAGACTCTCTTTATCCGTCTTCTTGCAGTAGACTCTGATCTGTTGCTCAACAAACTGCTCTGGAAGCAGCTTAGACACCTAAAAGCAACAACAGCTTAAATATAGAGGCAATGACCAGCATAAGAATGTGTAAGAAACTGATCAGCAGATGAACAATAAAAATAACTGACAGGTTTAGATTCTGACCTGGTTTTTGTAAATCTGAATGGCTTTTGTTGGGTCAGATTTGCAATAGAAGCGCATGTTGTTGATGGGGTTCTTCTCCTTCATCCCATAGTCCATAACTATTACCTACAAGAGAAATGAATATCAAACCCGAAATTGCAGTTGAAATAAAAATCACATCCTCGTTTGAATGTTTTACAAATACTTTGCTGAAGATGAAGTTGTACTAAATACCGTACTCACACTGACAATAAAGTCCTCTGGTTGTAGATTAGGATCGTGGCTACTGCTCTGAGGGACGGATCGAGCCAAATCTGCCTCCCAGCTGTGAATCGTCTCCTGGTGAAGAGAAAGGACCCAGAGTCAAAATTAGACAATTACAGCACCAAACAGGAAAAACAAACAAACACAAAGTGATACGTCTGTAACTACAGAAATTTACTGATTCAATCAACACCTTATAAATAATTTGATAACCTTAACTATCCAACAACATTTAGAAACTGCAAACATTCTGAGATACTACAGGTAAATAATCATTACACATAAAAGTCAAACAAAACTCAGAGACAGAACCACCACTTTCAAGTTTAACTCAACAATGCTACATATGTTAATCAATTAACCCTTCTTCCTTACCACACATAGATCACTTCCCAAACTGAACCCACCCGGTCAAATAAACCAAATGTGTTGAATTGTTATGAGAAGACAAACACAAACCTGGGTGACGATTAAGGGCTCGTTTGGCTGAGTTTGGCCCAGATACTTGTAGAGGTTCCTGCACAAGATATCTCGCAGGATCTTCCTCGCCTCCGTGAGCTCCGGATTGGAAGAGTTCAATATCTGTTCAAATATATTATCTAAAAGGCAAACAGGGAAAATCACAAAGACATCAGTGATCAAAGTAAAACAAAGTTTCAAATAAATACCTGCCACAAGTGCACTACTTCACTGGAGAATTAAAGGGATACTAAGCAGTTCTGCTTGCTTTTGGTACCCCCCTAGTGCCCATTCTTAACTCATTCACTGCCAATGACGACTAAAGTCGTCATTTGCATTTTTTTTACTGTGTAGGCATCGGAATGAGCCCCTGCACTGTGAGAACAAACGTCTCAGCTCTAAAGTCGATCTTCATCCGCATATGTCACACGTCACGTGATCAGGAAGCAGAACATCCATGTGTTAGGAGATCGTTTTGGGCCGCTGCTGTAAAAAAAGGCGCGAACCGGAAAAGCTTCTGCCAATCACAATTCAACAACGAATTATGAAAGAACGGATAACGCTCGAAATGCGTGGATTCTTCCTAATGTAAGAGGTGAGTTTCCTCTTTGTTTTGGTTGTTTTGGCGTTGACATCATCCTAGGGTGCAACGTTCTGAGACTCTTAAAAAAAAAAAGTAAAAATGGCGAGAAACTTGCAGCGAAGGGCTTGACGGATCAGGAAACGGCTGGCAGCAAATGAGTTAATTAACTGTGTTCAAAGCAAAAGTGAAACTCATCTCCTAGCTGTGCGTTTGTCTTTTTAACACCTTAATCTAACAGCTGAAATGTTTCCTCAGCCTTCATTAGTGTCTACAGGAGCGATTCATCACTAAATCCAACACATCAGCTGTGTTCATGATCTAAAACATGCAGGAAATGTGCTGGAAGCAGAATGCAGTGCCAGGTATGTCAGCTGAATTTTAGGTGGCAGCCTGGCACTCTGAAGTTGCAAGTGTGGTATTCTGGCCACAGAGGGCAGTGGGGTCTGGGTGGCTTTTCATTAACCCTGTAAAGGGTCATTTTAGCACATACTGGCTCCTATTTCTAGTGCAGCTTTAAAGATACGTACTTCTAATATGATGCATTTACTGACCAGTCAGCTTGGTGTAGGCCACCATGTCTTCTACAGCTGTGGAGATGGTAAACATCTTCCCATTCGAACCTTCAATCTGAATGTGTGGATCTGCTTTTAAAAAGGCCTCCGTGACCCTGCAGAAACAGGTTTAACACATCAGTGCTTCTGTAAACAGCTCTGCATAAAACACACAACAGTAAATCCTGAACTACAGGGACCTGCAGGATGATGGGGAACTTACATGACCTCTATGATGTTGCCCACTTTGTGCTGGTAGGCTCTTCTGTGCAGACAGTTTCTGGTGTGAAACATGTCATACAGATTTCCCACTTCCTGTCACATGAAACAGATAAAATTTCTATGTAAAAATAAAAAAGTAGTGATAGCAGGGTTTCTTCTTTTAACCGAGTACTGATACTTAAATTTGAGTACTCACTAATACCATGTACTGATATTTTATATTTATTTATTCTTTATTTAACAAGTCCCACTGTTGAGATTCAAGGATGGTCGTGGAGAAGAAGCAGCAAAAATACAGTTAGAAAATGTCTCAGTTGCTCAGTTAAAATTGTATACTTCATAGAAAGCCGCTGCAACACAGGGGGTGTGTCTCGAGTGCAATCTGATTTAAGGAAATAAGCTCGGTTTATTTCCAGTTTTCCTGCAACCTGTTTCATGAAGAAGGAGCAGAGTGAACGAAAGTCCAAAAGATATGAGTAAATGTAGTTCCACTCCTAAAAACTTCAACCTGTTAAATGTTTACTTTCATTTGACACACTACAACATAAATAAACTTTAGGTCTACTTTACTGGTGAAAAGCCACCCTCTGATTGTATTTTACCAACATAAAACAACTCAGTTACATTGAAAAACCGAATCTTCTAACTAACAGCCTCGTCAGCAATGTGTCTCCTGACATTTTAGGTTTAACTTAGAAACTACTTCCTGAGAAAGATACTTTTTATTTAAAGAAAAGGCGATTCTCTCCTCCTCTGTTTAGGTCTGTGCTGCAGGGTGTTATCAGAGTTCGGCTTATGTTTAAAACGCGATGCTGCTCACCAAAACAAGAAATCAAATGTATCTTTTTGCTGAGGAAAATGACTGAAATAAGAACATATAGTAACTTTAATCTGATTACTAGTTTGAAAATAGTGACATTAAAACTGTTATCACACAACCCGGATGAGGATGAAAACAGACAGCGTTGGATTACTTGTTACTGAAATATGAACATAATTTACTGTCTTTTTGTCACCTTTGTTCACCTGGAAATGCCTCCACACCGCTGACATAGCTCCTCCTCTGCTACTCAGCTGCTTTAAGTCGCGCTGCCGTTAAATGGTTTGATGAGCAAGCTACTGTCTACAGCTTTTTCTCATTTTTAATTGGTTTTTATTTATTTTCTGGTGCATTACCTCCACTTATTGGATTAGTGCTTTTGTACACAGATTAATGCTGTTTGTTTAAGGGAAACAAAGCTCTTAGCATGCTGGTATTGGTGGCGTAGCATGGGAGCAGTTTTACGAGTACAGGTACATGCATTTGGTATCGGCACTGGTGCATCCACAGGAAAAAAAAGAATAAGACTAAACCATCACCTTATCTCTAGTGCAGATCTGCTTCTGTCCCTTGTCCACACACACCCTGGCAAATTTAAGGAAGCGCCGATAGTCAAAGTTGTTCTGGATACCCAGCTGGTGGCAGTCCCTGAGATATGTCCAGGGGGAAAAGAGGAGTTATGAAATAAAATAAAAAAAAAACCACAAATTTTGAAATTAGAAAGAAATCTAAACGTGAGCCCAACCTGGCAAAATAGTCCCACTTGTCCACATCGATGCCGTTCCTTTTGTTGGCAACAACCTCATACAGGAAGGACTTGTCTTCAGGACGTCCTTTGTACGGCCACTAAACAGAAACACAGTTTACTATCTCGCCACATATGTTGAAGTAACAAACTGCCACTAGGTGGGTCTAAACTTGGAAGACATCAAACAATTTTGATGAAACCTCCTTTGATGTAGATTTTAAAATTCCAGGAGTCTCCTTCAAAATGGTGTTCATGCAAAAGTTAGTTACTAAGCATTAAGGCCATTGTCACTTTTCATATCAGTTAATTAAATAAAATCTATTTACAAGCATGAAAAATCAAACACGGGCCTTTAAAGAAGGCATCTACTGCTAAGATCAATCAATCAAAGCTTTATTTATAAAGCGCCTTCCACGACCCTGTCGGGAATCCCAAGGCGCTGAACATGGTACATGAGAAATGTGAAACATGATGAATAAATTGAAAATAAAAGCAATTCAAATAGTGCAAAAAAGGTAAAACATTAAAGTAGAAGACAAATGGGTAAAACAAGGGATAAAGAGACCAATGAAAACAGGGAAATAAAATCAACATAAAAGAGGGCCAAATTCAAACACGTTCAGGGAACGCCAAGCGGAGGAGGTGGGTTTTTAGGCAACTCTTAAAGACTGGCAGAAATGGGGGAAGCCTAACTGAGGGTGGCAACTGGTTACAGAACGACGGTGCTAGGACTGAGAAAGCCCGGCCCCCGTGAGTACGACACCTAGAACGAGGGACAGCGAGCAGGCCTTGGTCAGAGGAGCGCAGAGCACGTGATGAAGAATGTCTGTTCAGGAGTGTGGCTAGATAGGGGGGAGCATCACCCTGGAAGAAATTATTGTAAACAAAGACAAGGAGTTTAAAGTGTGAACGATAACAGACCGGAAGCCAGTGCAGGGAGGCCAGAACCGGACATATGTGGTCCCGTTTCCTGGTCCCAGTCAGAAAACCTGGCTGCGCTGTTCTGCACAACCTGTAGGCGACGCAGTGATGACTGACACAGCCCTGCATATAGAGAGGTGCAGTAATCAAGCCTAGAAATTACAAAAGCATGGAGTACCCGCTCCAGTTGGGCTCTTGACAGCATAGGCTTGATTTTTGCAAGATGAAAGAAACCGGACCAGATCACAGAGTTGATGTGAGCATCAAATTTAAGTCCAGCATCAATTTTCACCCTCAGACTGGTGGCAACTGGTTTTGAGTAGGGAGAAAGAGGGCCAAGATCAACATAACGACCCACAGCCCTGCTATTGGCGTGAAAAACAATGAGCTCTGTCGTTCCCTTATTCAGATGCAGATAGTTGGCCATTAGCAAGACTTTACCTCGTTAAGACAGGACACAAAGGACCGGATAGAGACCTTTCTCCTGACACAATGGAGAGTAAATCTGGCAATCGTCAGCATAGAGATGGAACGCTAGGCCATGTTTACGAAAGATTGACCCCCAGAGGTAGCAGATAAATGGCAAACAAAAGAGGACCAAGGATTGATCCCTGCGGGACCCCCCAGCGGAACCCCTCCCAAGAAGAAAAAACATCACCCAGTTTAACACAGAATGTCCTGTTGTGGAGATACGATCTAAACCAATGCAGAGCAGACCCTTTGATCAGGTCCAGGGTGTGACCCATCATTCCAAGCGATCGAGTAGAATCGCGTGGTCAACTGTGTCAAAAGCTGCCGTCAGATCTAACAACAGAAGCACCACAGATGTACCCTGATCTAGTGATAGATAGATGTCATTTAAGACCCTCAGTAGAGCCGACTCTGTACTATGGCCAGACCTGAACCCTGATTGGAAAACCTCAAACAGATCAGAGCCAGCTAAATGTGAGACCAGCTGCTGATAAACGACTTTCTCCAGCAGTTTTGATGTAAAAGGCAGGGTAGAGATAGGCCTATAATTTTCTATCACAGAGACATCAGCACCAGGTTTCTTCAGGGTCGGCCGAACAACTTATGCTTTCAAAGCAGCTGGGACCACACCTGTGCTGAGGCTCCCATTGATAATCTGACCAAGTGAAGGGCCAAGACATGAAAAGGCAGCCTTCCAGAGACGAGGCGGCAGAACGTCAAGTGGAGAGCCAGATGGCTTCTGCCTTGCAACTAGCTTACTCAGCTCAGAATAAGAAACGGTATTGAGGGAGCTCAGGGTGGGTGGTGATGGAAGAACTGGAACAGGGTCAATAGAGTTACCAGAATTAGCTGCCCTAATGCCTGACACTTTATGAACAAAGAATTTGTGAAAATCTTCAGTTTCCAGCAGCTGTAAGAGACATGAAGCTAGGCTCCTGATACACCAGAACAGAGTTCAGTGTTTTGTAGAGAATCTTGGGATTCTTACTTTGTTTCGATGATGTCTGCAAAATAGGCAGCATCCTGTTTTTAAAAACCTAGTTATGAGCATATCCGGGTTTTTGGCAGTGTTTACAAGGACCTACGGAACCGGGTTATTGTGAATATTCGGGTTTTAAAAGGGTTACCGGCTGCATGTAAACGCACTCAATGGGAGATCAGGAGTCAAATCACACACACACACATTTACACACACAGACCTCTCTAACCTCGCAGCCTGGTTTTATTAACACACAGATTGAGAGGTAATCCAGAACTGCTTTTGCTTAATACACAGGTCTGGAGGATCGAAAATCTTTGTTCAATAGTTGTGAATAGTGATCAATGTTAGATGGATCTGGGTTAAAGGTCTCTAACCTTACAGACATGCAGTCCACAAACTTAGCAACAGATAGTGATCATTTATTACTTCTACAAAAAAAAAAAAAAGATCCAAAATGACTCAAAAATCCACGGGAAGCATTTATCTGCGAAATCTGTGACTTTGTGAATTGCTGCTTTTATGCTGTAAATTTAAGAACATGACAGGTAAGACGGATAAATCTGTGGGCAGTTGGCTAAAAATAACCAGAAAACATGATACATTTTTTGTTAAACATTCTACTTTAAAGTCACATGTCAGATGTAGTAAAAACAGAAACATAAATCTACAACAATTACGGTTTTTCTTTTCCCAGATGGCTGTGTTATGACCATTGTTTTGTGATTATATTTTCTAAAGAGGAAGTCCAACTTTAACAAGCACCCTCTATGGACAGAGTCCAAATGTGACAGCTTTCACTTTCATTATGAACAAATTCTGAGACGTTTTACAGAAACAGCAAAGAAAGCAGCAGCATTTGGTACGAAAACACAAAACTGACGTACAGTTCAAAACATTATGAAAAAACCCGATTAAAATGACGCAAAGAAAGAAAAATATTGTAGAGATGGAGATGAGTGGTACCTGCTGTCCTGGATTTCTCTGTGGTCCAGCGATCTGCTCCTTGATAAAGTCCAGGTCCTCTGGCATCACCAGGCCATGCTCCTCCATCACTGGCTTCAGGTTGTTGACCTCCACCAGGTGGTCGAACATGGCCACAGAGGCAGTCTCATGCTGCAAAGACGTATATTATTAGAACAGGAATATAAGAACAATCACTCCACACACACCTGGCATCTTGCCATAAATGTCTCCAAGACAAATAACTTGTTGCCTTGTTTAGAAATGTAACATGTCTGAAGCAGAGAAAGCCTCTTATTTGTGGTGTGTGGGGCTGGAGCGCCTACAGTGTGGCTCAAGGTCCTTCAGACAAGACCTGCTATTGTCTGTGTGGTTCTCCGAGTTTCCAAACACCAGATATGAGATGGAAAATCCCAGAAGGAAAAAAAAAGTTATTATTCTTCTACTACTTCAGTGTTCAGCTTCAACACTGATATTCAAACAGTTAATAATCTGATGGCAACGTACTTCAAATTAGCCTGGAGAGGAAAACAACGCCTGTGAGTCACGTTTTTTTATTGTTCCAGATGTCAAGTAGTTTGGTCATGACTCATGTTCAAACTTCAGAAGCACCAAAATCTCCACAACATAGAACAGAACCAACCAGATTATAGGCTAGAAGAGTTTCTCACCTTCCAGTTCAGTTGTGGACGAGCTCTAGGCATGAACATGCCATCAAACATGTGAGAAAAGGGTCCATGTCCTGCAAAAAGAGGACAACCTTTAACTGTGATTACTGATGATCAACCACAGAAACGCCTAATGGACACAAGATGATGGAGTGAGACACTTACACTTCCTGTTTTCTATTACATAAAAGTCATTGAAAGTCTGTTGACTTTAAAAATAAAAAGGGGTTTGACTTCCAGATCGTAAAGATGTGAATAAAAACTCTAAAAGCTCAACTCGTCTCTGCGTGTGAAGAGCATCACTCACCCAGATCGTGGCAGAGTCCAGCGATCTGCACACACAGGATGTCCCGACGAGAGATGAGGAGTTCAGGCTGCCTCTCGTTCAGAGCTTGGACAAGTTGTCCAGCCAAGTACCCGACCCTGTATCAGCACACAGCAAGACAATCTGCCTCACACATGATATACAACCAAATCACACTGAGATTAACTTAGAACAGGACTTTCTGTGTCACCTGTGACCTTCTAGATAAATAATGTTAACATAGTTTTACAATAAATGTCACAGATGAGTTATAAACCATGCCAAAATGACAAATACATATGATGTACCCAATACTGTGTTCAAAGCGGTTGTGGGACGCTCCGGGAAACACGTAGTACGTCCCACCAAGCTGCTTGATGTATCGAAGCCTCTGAAACTGAAGGGTGTCGATGAATTTAATGAGGAGTGGATGTAAGTCCATGTGACCGTGGATGGGATCATTGAACACCTGGTGGCAAACAAACAGGTTTAGGAGGCAAAATAAAGGATAAGGGACATATTTGTGCCAATAAGTAAAAGTCATGATGACACAGAGTTCAATTATCCAGATATAAACACTCACTCATAACTTTATTCAAACATATTTTATGTTTAATGTTGTTTTATACTTCCTTGGCAAAATGTGCAAGACATAACCCTGTATGAACGAGAAAACCCTATAGAGGTAAATACATGTTTGAGTTACAACTCTTTAAAAATGTTAAACCAGCTAAACAAACAAACAAATGCATTTAAATACAGTAAACTACTTTTGATTACACTAATTATGAATTCCCGCTCTCAGCAAGGCAGCATTCAGGTCACTGTCATGTTTTACAATCTATTTTGCATTTAGCTGTAAATAAAGTGCACATTCATCTCATCTTTGATGCCTTTAAAGTTTGTTTTGTGGGAAACTCTTTACCTTGTTAGTTTCTATCTGCCACAGCTTCCTGAGGCTGTGCAAGACCTGCAGGCGGTCACCCAAGGTCCTGAAATGAGGAAGATGATGTTGGGGGGTGGGGGTAAGAAAATAACCTACTTATAATGAGCCGTAGAGAGCATATATCACATCCATGTTACAGTGCATTTGGGTACTTTATTAGATGGTAAACTCACTTTATGCCAATCTTCTCCAGGTCTTCATCCTTTAGGTACCTCAGGCCAACACCTGTGATGTTTTGTTCTTCACAACAAAACAACAGATAAAAATGTCACCCGGGCGCCGTGTGGTTTACTAACACGGTCCTTTTAATTTAAATGCTTCAACTTGTCAAATCAGAAAACAAACCTCTGAATGTTTTCTCCCATCGTCTCAGACCTTCGTTTCGCAGGTACCGACATGTTTCTTCCACTCCCCAAAGAAGGAAGTCTGAGTCCGGCTGCAGGACCGCAGACCTTCTCCTCTCCGGCGTTTTGAAGCCCTCGTCGGTCGAATCAATCGGTCGCTTCCGAGATGCCATGCTGGGATAAAACAGTTGACGGTTAATCGTTAAAAAGCGAATAAAAGCGGCGAACAAATTGAGCAGAAAACGTCTCTTGCGTACACAAGAAAAACAGCTGATCTGTCGGTTCAGAGCTGAAAGCGTCCGACCCGGGAAAACTGCGAGAGTGCCGAGTTTTGTGTTTCCCGGAACAGAAAAGCTATGAATAAAAAGGAGCGTTTCCGGTTTATCATTTCAAAGTAAATCTCCACAAACCCAATGTCAAGTAAAAGTTTGGCTATGCTAAAAATACTAACACAGTTTATTTTTTTTAAGTTGTCGTATAATTTACTTTAATATCTGTGACAGATCTGACAGTACCATTAATCAGGACACTGAAAGGCAACATTAAAATCTTTGTTTATATAAAATTTTATTTTTTTAATTAAATTCTTTTAAGATCCATTTTACCCCGAACTGTACAATCTACTAGATGCTTAAACATAGCAAAACTGCTTTGCATATAATGTGTTTGTTAAAATGGGAGGTGTCTATCTCAAAAGTAAAACAGGCTAGGTTACACCTTGTGCTCTATTCAGAACATTACTGTCTAATTAATATTTGCTGGTTTCAGGCATGTTTAGCTTGAACAACTTGCTTAAACTTTAAACATCGATCAAATCTACTCAGAGTTTCTATCACAAACCCACTTTTTAATTTTCTCCATTTACTGATGGATAATTAAATTCTTTACTACAGAATTGTCCTTCACAACATCATGCTTATCAACCCTAGCCATGAAAGTGGGATTTTATATCTTATATATTTTTATTATTGATTTAATTTTGACAATTTTTGCTAAACACTTCCGGTTTGGGGTGGTACAAAAAAAACAGCTGTCAATGCACCTCGGAAATGTCGTGTTTAAATAGTTTCATTTTCACACTTTTAAACGCGTTCATAACGGCATTGGGGAAAAATGAACACACATTATGTTAGAGAAATGTAGTATTTTACACAATTCCCCACTGAAGTGTAAAGTAGTGTTCATGTTTACTGGGAAGGCTGTTTTCCATCTGGTGTTTCTTACCAGTGATGGGAAAGTCCCAGTTCGCTCTGCTGTCATCAGTAAATTAAACCAGTGGGACCAACATTTTAGGTATTATATTTCATTACAGTGAAACAGTTTTAAACGTACAGCACTGCCTACATGTCATCTTCATCTGTCGTGTCCTCTGTGATGGTATGACCAGGGTATTTTACTTTCTTGGTGACACGAATCACAGTCTGACAGATGAAAATTTGGAAACTTCATTTGCTTTTCCTCCTTGGCACAATAAATCATAACCACACTTTTAGCTGCATTATACACAATTTTGTGTTCTACTCCACAGTCAGAGCAAATGTACAATATCTGCTGTAGACCAGCTGTGCTCGAAATTAGAACCACTAAATCATCTGCATACATCAGATGATTTACAGGACCACCAGCTGCACAGCCAGTCCTGCTGGGCTTTAACCTCACTGATAAGTCATCCATGTACAGGTTCAAAAGAAGAGGAGATAGAATGCCTTCTTATCTGACTCCATTACTGACCTTAAATGGCTCTGAGATACTATTACCTTATTTTATCTGTACCATTTGTTGACCATACCGATAAACCAGGATGCGTACAGTGTATCTTGGGATACCTCTTTGCAGCAGCTTCATGAAGTTTCCTGTGGTTAACTTTATCAAATGCCTTGGATGCATCTATGAAGCACAATAAAGACGGAGGAATTTTTATATCTGGTCACAATCTCCTTTAGAGCACATATACACACGTCTGTACCAAGCTCAGACTTAAAGCCAAACTGATTATCTGTGATTTTTAAGGTGTTATTAATTCTGTCCAGCAGAAAGAATGTTCAGAGTATGCTAGCTTGAGCAATGGGCCTCTAGTTATTATACATGTTACCAACTCTCCCACCCTTGTCTTTCATATGATTGTATTATTTTGTGTTACACAATTATATTGATCTTAAATAAAAATTTTTTTTGTAAAATACTTCAAAATATCTAGATAAACTGCTCTGACAAATGGCACTATGACAAGTTATGTGTACAGAAGTTTGACCGACAACATCAGACACAAGATGGCACAATTGCTCAACACTTTTTATTCTGTGAGCCTCCCAGTACGATCCAGTAAATGGGTCCTTTGCCAGATCAGAAGATCAGCTGAGTCTTGTGTCTTTTATATTTTGCCATCTGATTGATAATTTAACAATGAACTTGGAGGGATTTCAGCAACACCTTGGATAACCTAGAAATCTGTCGAGTTTCACAAAACAAATTTCTGTGTCGACAATAACAAAAGTCATTCATCATGGAAAATGGCCTGTATTTGATATAGCTCCTTCTAGAGTCCTGGATTGATTAACTACATTGTAGCCACAGCTGCTCTGGGGCACATGGACAGAGGCGAGTCTGCCGTACACAGGTGCCACCGATCCCTCCGACCACCACCAGCAGGCAAGGTGGGTGAAGTGTTAATTGGATACAATGACAATGACAGACTGAGTGGGGCTTGAACCTGCAACCTTCTGATTAGGGGGGTGAGCACTTAACTCCTGTGCCACCGTTTCACCATCATGTTCAGACTGTTAACATTTGGGGGGCATAAAAACATGTACATCCAACTGACTAAATATCTAAACAATCAACACATTCGTTCTGGTTCAATAAATAAATAAATAAATAAATAAATAAATAAATAAATAACATACCATCCACAAAAATGTAATCCATATTGCAATCTTCATTTTTTTATTTCTCATTAACAGCACACCAAAGTGTGACACAAATGGAAAAGCAGCACATTCTAACTGGACTTCATTTAAACCTTTTGCATAATTTTTTTTTGCTAAAACTTATAAGATTGTAATTGTAATGCCAGTATTTGCTGAGCCCTCATAATCATAATAGGAAGGTTGCAGGTTCGATCCCAGGTCCAACCAGAGAATGCTGCTGTTGTGTCCTTGGAAAAGACACGTAATCCACCTTGCCTGCTGCTGGTTTCCAGAGAAATCGGTGGCGCCAGTGCTCAGCAGCCTCGCCCCTGTCAGTGTGCCCCAGGGCAGCTGTGGCTACATCGTAGCTCATCCCCACGAGCATGTATATGGGTGAATGACTGATTGTATTGTATAGCAACTTGGGGGGTTCCATGACTCTTGAAGGCACTATATCAAATACAGCCATTTACCATTTTGTTCTGCTTTTGTTCACTCACTTGCTCTTATATACAAACTTGAGGAAACACAAAAAACCTCGTAATATTTTAGTCAAAAAATGTCTATGGAGTGGCTTATGTGTGTACTAACACACACACACACACACACACACACACACACACACACACACACACACACACACACACACACACACACACACACACACACACACACACACACACACACACACACACACACACACACACACACCTTTTACCTAAAAAATTTGAAAAAAAAAAACCCCAGATAAATAAGGACGAAATTTAGTATTCAAATAATTTACTAAGCATCCAATAAAAAGTTCATTTTTGCGAACATGGTAAACAAACCGGTTTCTTTGCAGTATGAAGTTTACAAATGTAAAATAACAAGCATCTTCTGGACAAATCACCTTAAACTTCCACAGTGGCATGAGTGTCATCACAGCAAAAAGCCATGCTGTAAATCTACCACTAACACAAAGTTGGTGCAAAACTAATAATAAATTAACCTGATGTGATGTGACCAAAGCAGTAACTCGTTACTTCATCATGCAGCCTTTTTAAAGTTACACATAAACACAAAACTTTAATTTTTTAATGCAGTTGTGCACAGGTGTTCTCATTAACGGATTTACAGACAAGGTGAGCCAACTGTGTGAAAAGCAAAACTTGGGATATGAGCAGAAAGTGCAGCTCGAAAAAATGGATGAAAAGCTAAACATGAACATAAAATAGTCAAATTTCTTCCCACAGCACATCTGTTCATGACTTCATTTTAGTGCACTTAAAGGCTTCTGAATCTAGAAGGCCAAAAAACAACGATAAATGTTGCTGTTAACACCATAAATGTCAGTTTAAGAGTCACTTCACAATATACGGACAATGGATCTTCTCCACACACACAAATCTGAACTGGATTCCTAGAAATTAAAAAGTTTCCACTCACTAAAGTTAAATAACTACTTGAGTAAGAGAACAGAATAAATGGATACAATTTATTTGTGTAGAAAGAAAGAAAGAAAGAAAGATGAATTCCGAAAAATGTTCAAATTCATTCATGATAAGTTAAAACTGGGGTCTGAGAGAGCTCCATTCATCTATTATTTTCGTCTGTTTATCCGAGGTCAGGTCAGGGGCCCAGCAGCCTAAGCAGAGAGGCCCAGACTTCCCTCTTCCCAGCCACTTGGGCCAGCTCCTCCAAGGGATTCCCAAGGCGTTCCCTGGACAGTCGAGGGACATAGTCCCCCCAGCGTGTCCTGGGTCTTCCCTTGGGTCTCCATCTGGTTGGAAGTGCCTGAAAAACCTCACAAGGGATGAAGTGCCTGAAAAACCTCACAAGGGAGGTGTCCAGGAGGCATCCTAACCAGATGCCTGAGCCAGCATCTACTAGTCTACTCCAAGTCTACTCCGAGCCTCTCCCCGATGACCGAGCTTCTCATCCTACCGCTGAGGGAGAGCCCAGACACCCTGCGGAGAAAACTCATTTTGGTCACTTGTATCCACGATCTCATTCTTTCAATCACCAACCAAAACTCGTGACCACAGGAGAGAGTAGGAACGTATGGAGAGCTTCACCTTCTGGCTCAGCTCTCTCTTCACCACGACAGATCGGTACAACGCCTGCAATATTCCAGACGCAGCACCAATCCACCTTTTGATCCTGAGCTCCATCTTTCCCTCACTCGTGAACAACATACTTGTCCCTGATCCGGTGTCCTACCCTTCTCAGACGGAGCTCAATAAACATAATCAGTCACATTGACACAGCAGAAACTCTTCAGGTTTCACTTGTTTCTGGCTTGGCTTGGATGCAGAATACAGTTATTCTGTCAGAAATGGTGCTTTATGCTGACAGTGAAATGTCCAGATCAGGCAGTGGACTTGAGACGCAACCTTTCCACAATTTAGTGTTCAGTTTTTCGATAGGCAATGAAGTGAAATAAACAATCTTTCAGTTCTCCCATTCACATTCGATTTTCTTCCTGTCTTTGTTTGTCTTCAGAGTCTTTTAGCTCTTGTCTGCTCCACGTTTTCCTCAGGGCTGACAATGTCCTGCAGCGTTTCCAGGGAGAAAACTCCCTGCTGTGGCTGGGTGCTGAGATCTATCAGATCAAAGGAATCAGAGGAGAAGAGGCTGTCTTCACTGACCACGCTAGAGGGACGACTATGGCGGCCCTCGACATCCCCTGTCGCCTGCAGGAGCTGCTGCAGAGCCTCAGGGAATATCGCGGTAGCTGGACAGGGAGAACTTGGGTTGTCGGAAAGATCCAGACTGCGAGAGAACTTTCCGTTACGTTTTAGGATACCTTTCCTTCTTCTGACTGCTTCTGTGCGCAAGGTAGGACTATCTTGAACAGCTGGTAGCGGTGTGTCTTGTTGGCTGCAGCCAGACTGACCTTCATTGCCTTCTTTGACTCCTCCTTTAGAGCTGATCCTTTCAGAGCCGTATCCCGACTCCCTGATATACAAGTTCTTTAAAATCCCTTTCTTGGGCATCTTAGATGAAGGCTGACTAAACGTAGAGGGATGTGGAAAACTTTTGGACAGGTTATCCGTGTGTATGTGACTGAATGTTTGTGTCCGATGAGGTTGAGGAAGTGTGTGACACTGTTGAGAGGAGTTCTCCTTTGTTGGGTTGTGAAAGATTGAATCTAAGCTCCTCTGATGTTTCAGTATACCCTTGGGTTTTCTTCTCTCAGTGGTAGAAGCAGACATCACAGTCAAAGAGACAGCTGCTAAAGCCACACCACCACAAGCTCCAGGGGCATTCTGGGGAATCACATTCTCCTTGCGGGACTTTCTGAGGTTTGAAATTCCCCTGTGCTCCCTTCTACCTCCACCACAGTCATTCTGTAGAGGTGAGCTGAAGTAAAAGGCGTTAGCAGGACAGGAAATGTCCAAGGACAGGCTCCCCAGGTTGACGGTCAAATTGCCAGCAGTACTGACTCGATTCTGCCAGTCGATGTAGCGAGCCAACAAGGGTGAAGGACACTCTTGGTGAGGGGATGATGGGCAGTCACACACACTCTCTTCATAACCCCAGTTTACCCACCAGTGGTTTGCCACGTCCTCTATCGTGGCTCTCTCATCCACACGCACCGCCAACAACCAGTCGATGAGAGCACAGGCATCTGGAGGGGACAGCAGGGTTGTAAATTGTAGCAGCTTCACACATCACACTATTAGATTTGACTGATAATAAAGCTAAGTGTGCGGGTTTACCTGAGGGTGGATTGGGTCTGCGATAGCGGCCTTGGCTGATCTGTTCTGTGAGTTTAGTGTGATTGGCTCCATCAAACGGCATGCTGCTGTATACCAGCGCATAAAGCAGCACCCCTAGAGCCCAACAGTCCACCTGACACACAAAAACACAAACAAGAGAACTATATAAACTGATCCTCAGTGTTGTAATAGCTGCAGTAATAACACACTGTATTAACATGGCTGTACTGCAGTGGGTAGGACAGGTGACTCTAAGATAAACACTCTTTGTGCTTTTGACTATACACTAATAAAATACACAATAGATATTTAATATATGGGAATGACGTCACTTTTAACTTGATCCGATACATTTGCAGTGGTCTCTATTAGGAATTATTATTTTATAAGTTGTACTCTGGGTACAAAAAGCCCTGGTGTCCTGTTTCAGGATCTAGAAGATTGCCAGAGCAGATGAGAGTTTCATGCGGCAGGATTGGAGTCGTACTTCCTGATATTTGGACATCTAACCTCTGATTGGATAGCAATTCAATTAAATTCAACTTTATTTATATAGCGCCAAATCACGACAAGAGTCGTCTCAAGGCACTTCACACAGTAAACATTCCAATACAGGTCAGTTCATTAAGCAAATCAGTAAAAGGTTCCCTATATAAGGAACCCAGCAGATTGCACTGAGTCACTGACTAGAGTCAGTGTTAGTGACTTGATGCAATTTGCTGACAGTAACAGCAAAGCAACTCTAACAATGACACTGTTTAATTTGCAATACTGATGTTTTATCTCCACAAACAACACCAACCTGCATGTGGTGGGGTTGCTAATGCTAACAATTAGCTTCTACAAGCCAAGACGTGCTCTGCTGTTTCCTGGATGTTAAGATACAAACAGCCCTCCCCGTCATGAGTCAAGATGGGTGAGTCCATGAATGTTAATTGGCAGTGTGACGTGTCATTGCCAGGTTTTTCAAATCCTAGCGTTTCACTGTTAATTTTCTACCAGAAGCTAATGCAAGAGATATGTGTAGGAGACTATTTTTCATGTTCAGCTTGCATGAAAAACTTAGAGTGACTGAATATAATTAGAAATAATAATTAAAAATTAGTTTTTCTGTGAAACACATTTAACAACAATCATAAGTTTAAACAAAATCTGAATTAAATAGGGACAATTTAATTAATTTGGTTCATGTGTGATCTGATCTGAGTGGGACACGTGGTTTTCTGAGAAAACCCTGACAGGAGTTTAGTTGGAGGTTGATGCTCTTTGATTCCATTACTGGACTCACCTCTGGTCCTTTGTATGGCAGACCCTTCACAATCTCTGGTGAAGCATAAAGAGGACTTCCACAGTAGGTCTGCAGCAGAGAGTCTCTCTGGAAATTATTTGATAGGCCAAAGTCAGCGAGCTGCAAACAAAGAGAGGAAGGAAATGAGAATGCATTCATTTCTGGTAGTAATGGGGAAACACCCAGTAAGTTGTAACTCCATTCATTCCAAAAGCCACGTGATTGATTTGTACTGATATTTGTGCAACATGAAAAACATTTGAGTGACTAAACTACCAATTAAATATGAGGATGTTTGCCCAGATTTGTTGGTGTCTAACACAAAAAGCTTAAACATGACTAAATCAAGGACAAACCAGTGAACACTCAGCTCATCATCACATTTATTTCCATTATTTGGAAATCGTGCTTCTTCTTAATGCAACTTAGATTCCTTTTCAGTGAGTGCTTTTGCAGTAAATGTGGAGCCGTGTGGTGAAAACAAAATTACTCAACACTATTTCTTTTTAAATGAGCCAAAATTAGAAATGTTGAGCTTTTGCCAGGGCAAGTGTGAGTGAGGAAAGAAGGGAGCCAAGAACATCGAGCCATTCGAGCTCACGTAATGGAACAATCACTCACTCGAGGCTGTGAGAACCCATGCACACACATACCTCGCTATCTGAAGAGATTATGAACATGCACGCTGCTCAGCTATCAGAACCACTGGTGTTAAATATATTCAACATGACAACTTTATTTCCAGGAGTACTCAGCAGGGCAGCAGAGACCTACTTACTGAGATTGCATGCAAGGCAGCTCAGTGTTATCGTTCACTCAGACATCAACAATGTGTGAAAAAAAATCCACTACGTGTAGGTATCCTCCAAGTGTTTGTCTTCACTAAAGTGCGTTTGTAGGGATCCTGTGCTTGCATTTGTGTTTTAGCAGAAACATAAACGTATAGTAGAGAAATAAGTCTTTATTCATAAAAACTACAAAAAATGTCAGAAAAATTTCAAATTGGCAAAGAATGTAGAAGCAAAAGAAGTTTGCCAAGACTCTTCGTCCAGTTACTCATCTCTACAACCATAAATGGGAACATTTAACCCTTTGACATTCAGGGAAGCATATTTTAGTATTTAGAGTCTGGGTCACTCGTTTAACCCTCCCACTGTCCTAATAGGTGTGACCCTGCGAGGAAAGTTGACCACTGAACAGGGTTGATGGTTTATCCCTTGGGTCCACGTGGCAGGGGTGAGGAGTGAGCACCACCTGATGTCACGCTGTCAGGCTTTTCAAATCCTAGCATTTCACCATCTATTTTCAAACCCTAACCCTATCAGAAGCTAAGGCAGGAGATAGGTGTAGGAGACTATTTTCATGTTCAGCCTGCATAAAAAACTCAGAGTGAATGATTATAATTGGAAATAATCATAAAAAAAATGATTCCTCATTGAACCACACCTTTAACACTTGAAGGGCATTCAGATCAATTGTCTTCAATCTATTTGATGATGCTTTATCTTTGACAAACAACCTGAATTTCACTAGGCTTTGAGTTAAAAATAAGAAGTCTTAACGGGTGTGTGCACTGAGTAAAAAGTACTTAATATTTATACTTTAACTGAGCATTTGAATACAAGAATGTCTTCTGGGTTCAACTCAGTTATGCACACTTCACATTCATACATTTCTGTGTGACTTGACCAAAACCATGGAATTGACCAAACATTTCTCCCTCTTCCTGTTGTCACACTTGCAGCTTTTGTACAGACATAACAAAAACATGCATTACACAGAGACCAGCTCATTTCCTGCAGCAGACGCTGTTAAAAACCAGTGTTTTGAACCTGTGGTTAAGGAGGTATTGAAGGAAAAGCTGCTGAGAGGTCTGCACAGACAGTGTTTTCATTTGTTCAAATGGTGTGCCAAGATTGCTGCTGGATTCCTGCGCACCCCTTCGGCCATCCACAGCTCCCATATAAGGACAGCAATATCCAGACAAAGTAAAACAAAGTATATCCTCAGGGCTACTTTATTAGACCATCCACTGTGTTTACTCAGGTTTGGACTGAATGGTATAAAAACATTACTGCAGATGGAAAAAAAACCCTGCAATTTATGTTCTGAACGTGCACTTTTAGTATTTTACTGCTAAACATAGAAGCACTAAATCCAATATTTTATTTTTATTATCAGGCGACCAGTGATTTTTAGAGAAAACGTTTTAATATTTAGTCCTAGGAAAACGTAAAGGTGTGGAGGATTGAAAAACCACATTTTAATTATTATTTCTGATTTAGGTTGAACATGAAAACAGTCTTCTGCACCTATCTTCTTCAATAGCTTCTGATAGAAAATAGACGGCGAAATGCTAGAATTTGAAAAGCCTGACAGCGTGGCATCACACTGTCACTTAACATTCATGGACTCACCCATCTCACTCACAACGGGGAAGGCTGCTGTTGGTTTAGCGTACAGGAAACAGCAGAGAACGTCTCGGCTAGTAGAAGCTAACTGTTAGTATTAGCGACTCCACCACATGGCAAAACTCCTTCAGGCTTGAGTTACTGGTAGAGATAAAGCATTAACATTGCAGAGCAAACAATGTCAGTGGTAGAGTCTTGTTTCTGTTAGCCAACCAGAGGTGAGAAGTCCAAATATCAGGAAGTAAGACCCCAAATCCTCTGATCTAGCAATCACTGCAGATGTATTGATTAAACGAGTGAACCATTCCTTTAATTTTCCCAAAATACATAAAAACTGGGTTATTCATGAAGTTATCTTACCTTTACATTCATATCTTGATCTAAAAGGATGTTCTCAAGTTTGAGGTCTCGATGCACAACACCGTTCTGCAAATAGAGTTGAAAACATACCATGAAGCCATGACCTTGCAGAACATGTTAAAAGTCAGAGGACAATGTGTTTAGCTTGGTTTGTTTTATATTCAATTCCATGGCAAAGTTAAAAAAAAGGCAAGCAGCTGTGGAATCTGGTGAGTCAGAGTCAGAAAACACTAAAAGATCCAATTGGAGGAAAAGTCTGTTGGAGGAGCAGATGTTTCCACGGATACCGAGCTGGCAGCAGTTTATGAGAAAAGTCTCTATAGATAAGCGTGGCCACCCAGGAAGTTGAGTGACGCAAAGAAACCTGAAGCTCTGCTCTTCTCTTTCACTCTTCAGTGGACTCATGGAGGAACTGACCCCTGACTAGAAAATGTCAGTCTGTGTGAACAGCAGACAAAACCAAAACAAGCATGGTTTCTTAATCAGATTATTGTTATTTTTATTTCAGTTATTTCCAGTCATCGCTTGAAGCAGTGGAAATCTCTCCATATTTGCCCCGCATACCTCCGAGTCACATTCAATAATTCATTCATACCAGAACATTCATGTCTATTTTGAGACAATATTCAGGACCAGTAGGAGAACGAACCATCTCCCTTCCTCTCCTCTCTGCAAACCACAGGAGCTGGATGGTAATTTGAGTTTATTGCGAGGATTTTTCAAAGAATCCAAACAAACACAATCCGCTCACCTGACCATCAGGTGCAGCTCTGCTGTGCATTAACAGGATTTATGCATTTGTTTGATAATTCCCACTTTTTGTCTCAGCTCTTAATCTTTTGTGGACAGCAACAATCAAAACAAAGAAACACAGAAGGATTTGTTTCTCTGCCAAGGCATACAATAAATTGGTCGGAAGTGGGTAAACATGTCAGTGTGTGACTGCAAACGGCGATCAAAGTGTAATATGATCTTAACCCAGAGAGATGTGAAAACTAAAGTCAAGTTTCTCCACAGTATTATGATTAGGATTTAGAGGATTTAGCAGGAAAGGATTTGCTTTATGCTCAACTGAAAAGGTGGCACGTGCCTATGTGTGTTGCCCTAAATTATGCTCCAATCCTGGGGCATGTTTGAAGAACATAAGTATGTGACCTTGTGGCAGTAGTGGACAGCAGATGTGATCTGTCTGAAGATGCTTCTGGCTTCTGTTTCTGGCAGTCGTTTCCTCTCCTGGATGTAATCGTACAGCTCTCCTCTGCTGGCGTACTCCATCACTATCACAATCTTATCCCGGCTCTCAAACACTGTCAACACAGCACAGGGAACATTTCATATTGACTAACAACACTGATGTGTTTACAATGTAATACAGAGGGATTCAGATTTTTGCAAAGTGTTAAAAAAATTCCATTTCAAAGTGTGTTTCTCCTTTTTGGACCAAATGTGTATCGATAAACACAAACAATAATTATGGGCTATTTTGGGGAATCGTTTTTATTGTTTTTTTTATTTATTTATTTGTTCCTGCCTTTAGAAACTTTCGAAAATGCTTCAAAAATAAGGTCAAAGTAGGCCTAAAATAAGTTCCAGTCCTCATAACATGATGTATTATTTATTTAATTTGAATAATTCCTGGAAGAACTTGCATGTTCATGCCACAAAGCAGAAAGTTTTATTCAGACAGTTAACAGTCATTTCTATTTTTGCTCTTTAAAGGTACACTATGCAACATTTTCATATTTTAAATAATTTTCTTAAGCCAGTTTGTGCTAAAATCACCCTTTACAGGTTTAATGAATTGTCACTCAGACCTCAACCACCCTAGTGGCCAGAATACTGCACTTGCAACTTCAGAGTGCCGGTCCGCTCCCTGACATGCCTGGAGCTTCAGTCTGCTTCCTGCTGGTCTCCTGCATATTTTAGATCGTGAACACAGCTGATTTATTTGATTTAGTGATAAACCACTCCTGCAGACACTAATTAAGGCTGAGCAGACATTTCAGCAATTAGATTAAAGTGTTAAAAAGATGAACACACATCAAAGAGATAAGTTTAAAGGTGTGGTTGACTTAAAAAAACATTTTTTTATAATTATTTCTGATCATAATCAGTCACTCTGAGTTTTTCATGCAGGTTGAACATGAAAACAGTCTTCTTCACCTATCTCCTGTGTTAGCTTCTAATAGAAAATAGGTGGCAAAATGCTAGGATTTAAAAATCTTTACACTGTGATGTCACACTGTGCATTTGCAATAATGGCCTCGCACACAGGACATCTTTTTAAACATTTTTTGCAGCGAGGAGAGAGTGTGTTGGTGATAGTGACATTGCAACAAGGCTGAACGCTTCTTAGCCAATCAGAAGTGAGGCGTGTGCATATTATTAATAATAATGAGCAATCTGGCAGTTTTCAGCCCACCTCTTCACCAGCAAACTTCTGCATCTCAGAACAGAAGCATCATAGCTTTTTAAAAAATTACTCATAAGGCATAGATTAACACTAGAGAACACTGCAAATGTATTGAATAAATGAGGAAACCACAACTTTGCTAGTGATAAAAGCAAGCCAAAACTGCCTAGTCTCCCTTTAAATTATACTATTTCCAGTGTCATCCCTTAACTCTATTTGTTGTTGCGTGTTGCTGTCTAATAAAATGCTGTTCTGTTTTCTAAAGAGAATAACTGTGAACTTAATAATAATAATAATAATAATAATAATAATAATACATTCGATTTATAAAGCACTTTACATTTGAAACAAATCTCAAAGTGCTACAAAGTTAATTTAACCCGAAAGCTCTGGTAAAAAGATAAGTTTTAAGACCAGATTTAAAAGCACCAATAGTCTGTGGTATCCTCAGATGCCCTGGGGGGGAATTCTAAAGTCTGGGTGCAGCTGAGCAAAAAGTGCGATCTCCCATGGTGCAGAGTTTAGTCTTTGGAGTTTTCAAAAGATGTACTGATGCAGAGCAGAGGTTGCGTGTGGACGTCTGTGAAAACAGAAGTTCTTTAAGGTGTGTGTGTAGGGGGGGGGGGCATTCCCATAAATACACTGGTGGGTGAGAAGGGCAACTTTGTAATCAATTCTGGATGAAACAGGGAGCCAGTGAAGACATTTAAGAATGGGTCATATTTGCTTCCTCTCATCAGGATCCTAGCAGCACAGTTCTGAATATACTGCAGCTTTTGAAGGATTTTTCCAGTAGTCCCAATGAGAAGTGCATTGCAGAACTTGCATCCTTACCCTCGTGGAAGCGAATAATATTGGGGTGTCTGAGCAAAGAGGTGATCTCGATCTCTCTCTGGATGTGAATTCTGTCCAAATCATCGGTAATGCGTTCCTTGCGGATTGACTTGATCGCCACCTTAAGAAAAAAAAAAAACATGTAATTAAGTATAAACATGCTCTACAAAGCCTTTTGTTCGCCTCAGTAGTGATTAAGTGTGGATGGTTGCAACTTTTAAAGAAACAGGAAAAAAGATGACTAATTGAGCTGTCCATCAGAGAGTTATGGTTTAGTGTGTTTTTCATAAAAAAAATTACATTGTTTCCCCGTTTTCAGAGAAGACAACATTGACACATGGATGCCTCACGTCCACTTGATGACTCATTGTTTAAATTTGACTATCTCTCCAAAATGGGCTCATGGACGGTTCATATATCACGTGCAAAGTCTTTTAATTGAACAGTCACACATTGATGCATAGTTAATGCACAAATAAAATCTCTGGGTATTAGAGGCGATTATGTGAGCTTTAGACGCTGGTGTCCTGTGAAGTGAGCGTGCTCAGAAGCAGAAGGCTGACAGCTGGACTGTTAACACTCTGCTGCCTTAATCCCGGGATCTCACTGTACCCCAAAGTAACCCCAATCGCCAAATACACACATACACAGTCACTAAAATACACACACCCCACCATGATCCCCCTAAACCCCTCTGGGTGGAGTAACTGTCACATAAATATCAACAAACTAATACAAGATGAAGGCAGACAGACACCTGAGCGTTCGATTTAAAATACTTTGGACTAAAATACGCACAGAGACCAACAGAAGTCAGGTCAGGACGTGCTTGAGTGACGAACAAGCTGCTGGATGACTTTGTCAACCCCCACAGGGACCCTATGGGTGTACTGGCCTCTTTACACAAGGTCACAAACTTCAGCGTTCTCAGCTGATGGAAAAAACATCTACGAGACGCCAGAAGACACATTTCACATGCTCCTTCTACTGCAGTGGTTACGCAACACAAACACTTGCCAGTGAATTCCTGGGACGGGCCTGACCTTCCATAATTGATGAGGGCGCCGCGTAATGAAGAAAAATGGTTGCTTTTCTAGATTTGTGTTTTCTTTGTGATCATAAAATACTTGAGGATATTTTCCCACAAACTCAGACACCCCGGTTAGAGATCTGGAGATGGGGTATGGAAGCTATAGAGAACCTAATGATAACCATCCACGGCCAAGCCCAGTCAGCTAACTAAAATATAACTGCGTCTTGGTTTGTTTCCATTTGTGTTGCTTTAATTTTGAACATGCACTGAAAAATTGCGAGACAATATTCTCAAAAGTCCTCTAGGATGCCTGGAACTTGCCTCATACCAGGTTTTAGTGGCAGACAAAAATATGTTGTTGCTGATTGGACACAGAAAACAGGGTCTGATGTTTTGACTGCATGATGCAATAAAATCATAATCATAATGGACATAATTAGAATGAATTACAAACAAATTACAACATAATAAGATACTTTTTTGACAAAACGGCAACAGTAGACATGGATGGATGAATGGATCCAATCACCATTTGTAGAAAAAATGGAAGCTGTTGAGGTTTTGGACTTAAAACTTGTCAAATAAACCAAATCAGTGAAATTTTTACTGAAAATGTTGGTATTGTCTAACATTCTGAGTCTCTATCTAGCCACAAGCCACTGAGATACTAACATTAGAAACCAAAGAAGAGGGTTGCTGATTTTTGTGCAATACCTTACTTAATTTTAGCTATTTAGTATTTCTATATGTTATAATTTATAAAAATTTGCAACAAAAGTTACTGCCTAGGAGCCTTAAGCTTCTAATCATTCAAATCTGTTGATTTAACCATTTTATTCGAAAAGTAACCATTGATAACAGTGAATAAAATGGCCGCATGGTTTTCCGTAAAACTGAAAAGTAATTTTAAAATTCAAAGTCCAGTCAGCTTCTATTTAGTCTGCTGGTGTTATAATGATAAAAGCCCCCCTGCTGTGAAAGACACCCCTTTAACAGGAAGTATTACAGTAAGTACACTGACACAAGGAGGAAGTGCCAAGTGTAACTGATGATGTATGTAATTGCTAGACATCACACTGAAATCAAGACTTTGAAACCAGAGAAAAATGATCGTCCCTCTAGTGGTTGGTTCCAGAACAAGCTTTAAGTCCCACCCCCTCCATGTAAATGAATGGGCCATTGGCCTGATTGATATGATTCAAATATGATCTCTGGTGTTTTTGATTCACAAAGTTCTTGCGTTTTGTGCTCAAATATATTTTTCTCCTTTATTTTAGCCCTAATGCTCAACAGATTAATCAATTTACCTCTAAAATCAGCAAAAGTTGCTAAAGTATGTAGAATAGAGATGATTCTATTTTACGTTCGGGGTGAATCCCAGTTTTACCCAATCACATGAAAGAGAATTTACATGTAAAAGTTAAGTTTTTAACTTTATGTGAACATTGTTCAAAAAGAGACACGAGTGTGGTGAAAGTGACCTCTTTAGTGTGTAAATATCAGATGTCTCCATATGTCTCATTGTCCCTCCAAATAAAGTGATGTGTGCGAAGTAAACCATTATTTAATAGACACGGGAACATGAGACGCTACAGCAGGACTAGTGAAGATGTAATGGATAATATTATTTTATAACCCTAACCCTTATTATCACTGGAGAACTAGTGGAGTGGAGAACCCAGTGGCCATGCTGACAAAATACAAGGTACAAAGAAAGACCCAATCCAACAAAGTAGAACATCAACATACCCTGCTCCTCTCCCTCCCCTCACGTTGACTGAATTAGTTCCAGGGCTCTGATTGTGTCCAAACAACTTTGTTCCCCATGGAGTCGCAGCTGTTTTCAAAGCAAATGTGTGTGAAAAGCTCATTTCCTGCTATTTCCATTTTTACAAACAATTTCACACACATACCAATACACAAATATGCATCCCGAGGGTCATTAGAACATCTGCAGAAGATTTAGTGATGGGATTACTCAGGATCTTTGCCAAACAGACCCGGAACGTTGCCACTCAGCTAAACACAGAGCCTTAAGCTGTTCATTTTGTAGCCAGGAACTTCAGAACGGTGTCACGGGGAACTGCTGAGTAAAAGCAGTAATCTGATGTTTGAGAACATATACTTTCATTGTTAAGCTATGGGATGGATTAGAAGATTTGTTTATGTTGTATTTAAAATACAATTAAAGTTTGCATGGTGGAGTTTTGTAACTTTGGGGACAAGGAGTTCCTGGAAGCTGACGAGAAGACACTCTGAATCAGTAAGATTCAAAGAACCCAAATATTTTCTTTTCTTTTTTGGGTAGGAGAAATGTTCAGCCTCGATTTCTGAGTGTGCAGATTCTGCCTCCAAAACAAGAACTGCCTCCAAATGGGGCACTGCACATTAAAATCTGATCAAATTTAAAGAAATTGAGATTAAAACATCAGAATGCATCACATCCATGATCTCTTCTGATGATCAGTTTTATTCAGAGCTCATGGCAACCTCAAACAACATGATGAGATTTATGTGACAATCTTGCTCATTTTGCCCCTTAAAACTCAGATCACTGCCTCATTTTCTCTTTTAATCTAAAACTGTCATCAAACTCTTGATCAAACTCAGACAACAGCCCACTGGCCCTGTTACCAAAAATAATGTCCGTTTTGTTTTAAAGAATCCTTGGAATCCGCGCTGGCTAATGGCTCAAGGAATGCAGCATTTCCCCCTTGTCCTACAAAACCCAGTCACCTGCTGGGCAATCACACACACACACACACACACACACACACACACACACACACACACACACACACACACACACACACACACACGCGCGCGCTAAGTAGAGGTTTCCTTCTTATCTGCTGCTGTCTACATAACTCAACATAGAGATAAAATGTAAATAATAGCTCTGTCTGTATGATTTTATTGAATGTTACTTCAAAAATAAATCAAAACTCATTTATGAACTAAATGTGTCTGAGCGACTGTTTCACGCGGTCAAGAGAGTGATGCTGAGGGAGCTTTAATGAATTTATCCCTTGTCCAAGGACTGAGTGAGTCACCCTACAGGCATCTGAGCCGGGCAGAACAGGAAACAGAGTTCAGCATCACACACACACACACACACACACACACACACACACACACACACACACACACACACACACACACACACACACACACACACACACACGTTTTTCTTGCTATACTTGTGAAGATTCTTCATTACCTTCATTTTAGTGACTCCACTATGCCAAACCCATACCCTAACCCAGACCAATGCTGTTCTATTCCTGACATTAACATAAACAAAGTTAATTCACAATAAAGGGTTGACCCATATTGTTTTTTCTATTGCCGATAACGATGCAGATATGTAGGAGTAAGCCGATGGTCGGTATACTGACAATTTTTATGGGGCGACATCTAGTCATTTCCCACCTTATTTTCACATTAAAATGTCACTAATAATATCAGCTGATGCACTAAATTTCTGAAGCTAAATCAGTTTTTGAACTCTGAATTTAACCAACAGTTAATCTTAACTCTGTGCACTACTCAGTGTTAAAGTCAGGCACCTAATAAAGTTAATTTAGAGTTTTTATTAAGCAGATATTATTAGTGAATGTAAAAATACATTTTAGCACCAGGCTGCCTGAGAAAGAACCTGACTTTTAATAGACTTTAGGACAAATATCGTGCTGATACAGATGTATAAAAACTGGATAAATATCTGCTCAATATATCGGCCAACCGATATATCGGCTCAAATAAAAGTCCAAATTTGATCATTTAAACATAGAGACAAGTATACACCAGCGCGCGCACGCACACACACACATACACACACACACAGCCTACAGACACACAAAGTGACACCAACACTCCTGACCAACTAGGTCAGAGGTCAAGAGTCATATTGAACGTCCTTGGATGCATGTTTAAGGTTTAATGCTCCAGACTTTCACACCCCTCACCGTTCTCATGTTGGCTTTCTCCACCGCCTTTTTTACTTTGCCGTAGGTGCCCTTCCCCAGAGTCTCCATCACCTCATACCGGTGCTTCAGGTTGTGTTTGTGCTGGTGTTTCTTCACCTCCCCGTTAGGAGGTCGGTTCATCGCCTCCGTCTCTGCGTCTCTCTGCCTCCTGTCTGCGCCGTAGGGAAGACTTCTGTCCACCTTCCCTCCGCGGTGGCTGCTGGACGCCGCGTCCTGCAGACATCCGAGCTCGGAGCGGTGGCTGGTGTTCATTTCGCTTCTGCCTCCGTGCGCCTCACGCCTACCCATCTTCTTCTGGCGCACCTATCAGGAGGAGCGACCTTCACTGGATCAGAGGCAGCAGGAGTGCTTCAAGTTGTCCATTGTTGAGCGATGTCAAAGCTGATCTAACTCGTGGAGAAAATAACCACTCTCGTTCACGAGACTCATGTCTCTCTTTGTGCGTCTGCTTAAAAGCTCAGCAACAGGAGGACACATGGTCCAGAGGGAGGGGGCGGAGCTTCCTCTTTCCATCACAGCAGCATCCAGACGCGTCACCATGGCTCGGGATCATTTCAGGCTTTCCGATGGAACATTTTAAAGTGACTGAGTAATGCGCGAGAGGAGAAGGAAGTACTTATGGAACGTCCTATTCTAGCACCATGATCCCATCGCACCACATCAGATGCGTTACCGGTGAGGCCTGCAACAAAAACATCAGAGATACACAAAGCGACCGGAAACAAACTCTGGATAATAATAACGCATGACACTTTAAATGATCTTCTTTTTTAATTAATGCAAATCAATATTCCAAATAAAAATCTAATGATCCAAGATGGAAATCAATGAATAATATACAACTGAACCACTCTGCAACTTTTCATGAACTAAATCAAACAAAGGATCAGTGACTAATTCTGTCTCCTTATGGTCTCTTACAAACTTTTCATATCACCGATTACATAGAACATCATATCACAGCTCTTCGGTGTGGTTTTCAACTGCTCTGCCCCTCGCCTCCCTCAGCAGGGTGCAGCTGGGACACCACTCACCCTGCTCTCCACCTGTTTGACCACTAAAATCACTAATACTAAACTTTCAAGATGCCAGCAGTGATTTGTATTGTGCTTTAATTTAGGCTATTCAATGCTTTTTAAAACTCATCTTCTATGTTAAGACCTGCACCTTGACATAGTCCTTGCATGCAGTGACGATAAAGCTGTCTAATTCTATTACTTGCCGAAACTATCTGAATCCCCAAGTGCATAATTTCTGGTAATTTTGACCTGGATCATTGTTCAAGGAGACTTTTAACTCTTAATATTTATGGAAGCAAATAAAAAATCCGTGGTTAGCCTGTGAACATTACGACACAACAAAACGTAGCAAAAAAAAAAAGTAGGCTACACTAATGGCACAAAAATAGAGTTACCATCTTATGTCATGGAAAGAAGTAAGTCTGTTGAGGTGCAGGCAGCTCTGACCGACACAGGAAGAGACTGAACAAGCTAGTTAAGAAAGCTAGCTCGGTTCTGGGCTGTATTCAGCTGAGGAGGTGTGTGAAAGGAGGATGATGGCGAAGTGACTGCGTTTCACTGTGGAGACCATGGACAGCTCCTTCAGAGGCAGACTGAGACATCCCAGAAGTTAAACAGAATGCTGTCGTAGATCATTAATCCCCTCTGCAGTAAGAGTTGATAAGTCCTCAGTATAACTGGTACTGGCATTATCCTGTTACACAATAACATCAATGTAATATTAAGTTTATGTTCAATACTTGTGCTGTACTGGATGTACATCAGTATGTCTGCATGTCTTTTGCTGCATTTTCTTGGCAAATCAATTTTATATTTTTTTCGTTGTTTTAAATGTAGAAAGTTACAATAATAGCTTGCTACCTTTGTGTATTTATATGTACTTTGTTATTTTTGTTTTTCTTCTTCCTTTTCTCTAAGTGTTTGTGCTGTTGTAACGGGTGAATTTCCCCACTGTGGGATTAATAAAGTTTATTCTATTCTATTCTATTCTATTCTATTCTCAAACAGTCATTGTAGGAGGACTGAAGAGAGATTAATCTCTCCACAACACAGTGGGCTGTCAGTCGGGCGTCCATGTCTTTGTCCCAACAGTCCGTCAGAATCCCAGTCAGCTCAGATCCCTGGAAAAATTTACAATTCTGTCAGTTAAAGTTTGTTGATGATATAAACCCAAAAAGAAAATAAAGATCAACAGAAAGCAGGAATACCTGTGGTAGTTTGTCCCAGTAATCAGGTATAGAGGGTCTCTTGTCCATCTCAGACACATGAACCATGAGTTTGTCCAGTGTGAAGTTATCTTCCAGTTCCTGTTCATAAGGCAGACGATGCGGTGGAGCAACGCCACCTGCAGGCGGAGGCATTTGCACAGGTTCTCAAATTGATTTTAACCTCTTGGAAAATGTTAAAATAGCTTCACATCTGGCATCTTTTACCATAAATCATTTTTATGGTTTCTTATTTAGCTGGATTTAACTTCTCAGTAAGGCATTTTTTTTGTCAGAGCAGAAGTTTTCAAATGATCCTAAAAATGAACAAATAAAAAAGATATTTTTGTTAACATTAATGTAGAGAACAATGTTTTATTTCTGGAAGGGTGCTTTTGTTGATTTGATGTCTGCTTAGTGTTTTAATGTTTATCACTCAAATACATTCAGTTTCATTAGTTATCTGATGCTTTTAAATAGCATTTGCTGTTTAGTCCTCACTTTTGAATCATAGAAGTAAACAGTAACGTACTGTCCATTTGCACTCATTCACTTTCTGCTTGCACGTGCATCCATTGCAACATTTACTGTGTGCACCATGACAGGCACTAGTTCCAAAAGTGCAAATGCACTATTTTGGCAAAGGGAAAATACGCAGCTGGAGACCTTCAGAATGTGTAAAGATAAAACGGATTTTTACTGAAATGATGGTTTACAGTCCTCCAATATGTCTGATAGACAGTCTTATTCCTGCATGTAATCAGTATCTAAGTATTTTTTATAACTGGAGCTAAACACTAAATAAGGTCTGGTGTCTGTTTGAGTGAAACCTTCAAACATGTAAACAAAGATGAAAAAACTCTGAAGTTGTTGAATATTAAATATTGCAATAATTCACTAACAACTTAGCATCAGTTTTCTTTGAGAGTTTTTGTAGAACAAAAGTGCCTCACCCTCAAATAGATCATAGCAGCGCATCCATATCTCCCACAGAATCAGACCCAGGGCGTAGACATCTCCCTGCATGAGAAACGAGCTGCTGCTCAGGTTCACTGACCCTTCCAGGATCTCAGGAGGCATGTAGCAGAGTGTGCCACAATGAGCATGAGTCTGCAGAAAGGAACATGATCCCAAAATGTTCCAACATTTTAGAAAAAATTCTGTTTCCTGTTATTCCAGGAACTACATATTCTATTAAAATGAGAAGATCTGATTGAAACCAGAATCAACATCACTGCTTTTGTTTCCCACCGGAATGCCTCACCATCATGTTACTCCTGTTCTGTCCCCAGAAGCCCGAACAAGAACGCAGGATTGTTGAAGATCCGAAATCACAGAGAACACACGTTCCATCTGCTGTCACCAGAACATTAGAGCTGCTGAGATCTCTGTGGGCCACAGGAGGCTTGTGCTCACCTGCAAGGAAAAAAAACACAGGAAGTTTCAGATTTTTACACACACACACACACACACACACACACACACACGCACGCACGCACGCACACACACACACACACACACACACACACAAGCACGCACGCACGCACTCACACACACACACACATCTGTAACGTAGCATTTTAGATAGTACCATGGCTGAGGATGTCGGAGTGGAGATAGGAAAGTCCCTGTGATAAGGACTGACACAAGTTAATCGACAACATCCAGCTGGTGGTATGTTTACACAGAAAAGAATGGAGAGAGCCCTGAAATCAAAGGGACACAGATGAAAATGTTGGCACTTCCACTCTGATATGAGACACAATGAGTCGAGCTTTCATAAAAAAACAAACAAACAAAAAAACCCACCAAAATGAAAAAAAAAACGGGTTTTATATTGAGACATTTCCGTACCTCAGTCTGAGAAACACACAATATACAAATAAAATTGTCACTTTACAGCAGGGGTATTCACTTCTGGTCCTGGAGGACCAGTATCCAGCATGTTTTAGTGGTTTCTCTGCTCCAACACACTTGATTCAGTGGTTGAAGCACCTGTGTAGCTGCTCATCAAGCTCTACAGAAGCCTGTTAATCACCTGCTGATTTAAACCAGGTGTGTTGACACAGAGTTAAAACTAAAACGTGCTGGATACTGGCCCTCCAGGGCCAGAAGTGAATACCCCTGCTTCACAGCAATAAATGGGTCAAATCAAAACATGAAACCAAGGTTATAGCAAATGAGGAAGCTGATGTGCTTTATAAGGGTGTGTTCTGATCTGAAATGCTGCATAAAAAAACTCAGCAGTTTGAACTAAATAATTATTTTAGCATCATGAAAACTGCAGGTTTGATCGTGGCAACAAACCAGAGAATGCTGCTGTTGTATCCATGAGCAAGACTCTTAACCCGCCTTGCTTGCTTGGTTAGAGGGACTGGTGGCCTTGCCTCTCTCGGTGCGCCCCAGGGCTACATTGTAGCTCATCCCCACCAGCGAGTGAATGTGTGTGTGAATGGGTGGATGACTGGGTTGTAAAGCACCTTGGGGGGGGGGGGGGGGGGGGGGGGGGGGGGTTGCAGAACCCTAAGAAGGTGCTATACAAATACACCATTTTGCTTTTCACTCACATATTTAGCATGCTGCAGCACAATGAACCAGCTACCACTATCTGGTTTCTGTCCAGTGCCCAAGAACTCTACAATGCCTCTGTGCATCATCAGTGGGAGCTCAAAAATCTTCTTCTCTCTGGCGAATCTAGATCTCCTGTCTGCAGGATACACCTTCACAGCCACCACACTTTTATTGTGCTTCCCCTGAAAAACTGTTGCAAAATTCCCACGACCCAAAACCTGCAAGACAAATAAACAGCAAAGTTAATCACTGCACACAGAAATGAAAATAATTTTGTCGTGGGGATTTACTTCCTGGAGTTCGATGTCAGTGATGTTTTTTGAAGTTTTTGTTTGACCGGAACATGATTGTTCAACGCTACAATCTTGATGTGAAGATGGTAGCTCCCCCTCTAAATAAAGATCACATTTTTTTGCAGATTATTCAAAGTAAAACTTAATAGAATTATTCGTTAATTTAAAACCAGCCTGACTGAAAATCTACTGAAGTGTAGCAAGAAAAAGGAGTTCTGAGAGATAAAAGCCAAGGTCAGTTTAGCAGAGGATGAAAGCTTCCCAAGGCTTAGCAAAGACACCATGGGAACTTTATTTTAGTGTGGAGCATCTGAATGGCTTCATCATCTTTAATAATACCCTCACCATTGTAAACTAATAAATAATAATGAAAGCAAGGATAAAGAAATACAGCTGTCTATGCACACACCGTACTATCCTGCTGTCCTAAAACTCGAAAAATTAGAATATGGTGCAAAAGCTACTTTATTTCAACATGAGCTTAACTACATTATAACAATGAAACTTAAAGGTTTAAATCTGATTTTCAGAACATTACATAAAATAACTCTAGATTGACAGCAGCAGGTTTTCATCTGTATATTTTCATTATTCTAACAGAATTCATGACTTTAAATCTGAATAAATCTGCTAATACTGAGTGATTTTATCCTCTTAGACCAAACAAGGAGAAACAATCTGTTTAAATAGCAAACTTGTTAAAGGAAAAATAAATGCTCCCAGAGACCTGTGATAAATGTAGAAAAGACCCTTACTCAGACGTTTCCATTTGATCATAATGATGAAGACAGCAATGGATGCAATCACCACCACAGCTGCTAGGGCTTGAAATAAAAGAAAATAAACAAAACGTAAATAGCTTGTAATTGATAGTGTCTTCAAGAGTCCAAGAACCCCCCAAGTTGCTTTACAACGCACTCATGCATTCATCCATGCACACACACAGATTCACGCCCTGTTAAAGTCAAATATGAGGTAGAAACAAGGTTTGAAAAGCTTAATTGCAATTCATGACTATAAAATCCTGGCCGTCCTGAGATTTTCACACACCTGCCCAGTAGGACTGTGTGTGTGGAAGCTCCACCATCCCTGGACTGATTGTAAGGTTGGCGTTGCAAAAATCTGTGCTGCAGTGACAGATGTTGAAAGGATTCTTGAAGAGTTGACCATGGCAAGTTGATTCTGGGCAGTGCATTTCTTCAAGGCCACAAGCTACACACAAACACACACACACACACACACACACACACACACACACACACACACACACACACACACACACACACACACACACACACACACACACACACACACAAAGAAAATAGTGCAGAAACATAGTGAAAACGTTTATACCCCTTTAAACGCCGTGGATTGTGACCCAGATGTTAAGATTTCTTACCGAGCGTTTCGACCTCCAGCTGCTCCAAGTGGATCTTGTAAATTGCGATACAACAGCTGGTCTTCTCACAGATCTGAACGGATCCATTCACCTGACCAGCTGACAAGAATTTATCAACCCTGTTGTTGTTCAGCTGGAAAGCACAACGCCTCTTTTGAAGTAAAGATGAATGGGAAATGGCCGCAAAGAAGCCTTCTTGAAGAAAAAACAAAACCAGAATTTTATTATGAAGACATGCTTATTTCATTAAAGTGAAGACTGCATTAGATTAATATCTTCAGGGTCCTTTTTGTGATTAATTTTAATAAATTCTGTCTCATAAGAACAATGAAATATTTTAATTTAATTTACAAACTGAAAGAACAATGAACAACAAAAGTGCAGAAATGTATGAAAATCTAAACAGATTTTTTTATAATAGCAAATTAAAATCAAATAATCATTTTTAAATAAAAGGACAGCAAAACACTTTAAGAGCTTTAGGTCACTTACGCAAAATTAGAGCCAGGAACTTTTGCTCCATGGTGCATATCAGTGGGAAGAGACAACAGGCTGTGAGGATAGTTTCTGGGAATCTGTGGAGTTTCCCGCCACTCCCACAGACACACCTGCTGCTCAAGGACATCTTAGACTGACTTCAGCTCAAAAAGGTTTGCTTATTCCACTCATCTACCGAATGTATGTGTTCTTCAGGCCAAAGTTGTTTATTTGAAATAAATAAGATGATTTTGCTGGAAATCATCCACAGACAAAAGTGGTACATTTAATTTAAATTTCAGTTGAAACAAAAGGATTTTGACAATTTGAACCACTTCTGCAAAACCATCGACACTCTTCATGCCATCTTGTGTGCAGGAGCAATTTCAAAAATGAGAAAAGATTAACATGAGAAACAATAATGGGACGTTGTGTTCCAAAAGAGAGGACTGACTTTGGAAAAAGTGCAAAAGCTCATATTTGACATTAAAGACTAATTTGAATTTCATCAAAATACAGAAAGAAAAAAAAGTAAAAACTATCCATCCATTTTCATCTGCTTAGCCGGGGTTGGGTCACAGGGGCAGCAGCCTAAATAGGGAGGTCCAGACTTCCTTCTCCCCAGCCATACGGGCCAACTCCTTCGGGGGAATCCTAAGGCGTTCCCTGTCCAACCAAGAGACATGTTCCAGTGTGTCCTGGGTTCTCCCTTGGGTCTCCTCCCAGTTGGACGTGTCCAGAAAACCCCACTAGGGAGGCATCCAGAACCCTAAACCTAACCCTAACAAGATGCCCGAGCCACCTTTGCTGGCTCCTCTCGATGTGGAGGAGCAGCGGCTCTACTCTGGGCCCCTCCTGGATGACCAAGCTTCTGACCCTATCTCTAAGGGAGAGTCTGCAGAGTAAACTGGACAATTATGAATTTCTTTCTGGGAAGTTAAATGAGAAGAATTCAAAGAATGAAAATATAAGTTTACAAGGCATCATTACTTTTATTGCAACAGTACAGCAACTCTTGAAATAAACGGTTGTATTACTTTCCTGTTGGATGTTTTCAGGCCCTGACACAGTTTGAAGACTCAGGGGTGTTTTGGTGTCAAAAGGTCTTGAGGGTTCGGATTAGCCACCAAACAGACATCAAAGCTGTCCTGCATGGCTGGTCATCTCTGCACCGTCGTCCACACGTTATCTGCAAGGTCCAGTTACAGAATCTGTTTGGTGATGATCTCATGACAACCTGCACACATGAGAAAAAGGAGCTCAGCAAGGAATGAACAAATAAATAATTCACAGTTTCATAATGTCCTTGACCCTGATGCAAACAGAAGACCTGACAGTGGAGGGGAGACGGGTTGGGTGTGATTGTGGTACAAACATGTGGAAATAAAAACCAGACGCTGACCGGCTCCTGTGTAGTATCCACAAAGATAGAGCTTTCCCTCCACTGCTCCTGTGTTGGAGGAGTTGTTTTGAAGGGAAAGCAGGGACGTTAGAAGAGTTGCGCCTGCTCTCCAGATGTCTGACTCTGGGTTGTAGATCTCCACAGAGCTCAAACCGGCGGGACACACACACACACACACACACACACACACACACACACACACACACACACACACACACACACACACACACACACACACACACACAAAAGTTCTCTGTTCCCATGCAGAAACATGAAAACATCTAAAATGATAAATAAAACACGGTCTTGCAGTCTGACCTAATATGTAGATGTCTTCAATGAGGACAGCTGTGCCACATCTGTACCCGGAGTACTTCATCCTTGCACACTCGGTCCACCTGTCTTTGCCAGGGTCCAACTGGAACACGCGGTTGCTCAGCCTGTCAGGCTCATCGTCTGGATGGTCCTTCACATCCGGAGTAATTTAGACACAAAGATTGGAAAAAAGGAGTGAGGATGGCTCGGAAATGAAAAAAAATTATAACATCGACATTTTACTCAGAATATTTAATTATTTGTCAAATAGCGATGGAGATCCACATCATTCAGGATTTAGAAATGGATCCTATTTGGTAAAACCACTAGAGGGAGGCAAATTACATTCAAATATGACATCCACCGAAACTATTTGACTGCTTTTGAGCACGAATCGCTTTGAACTGTAACTGCAATTAAGGAATTCTAAATAACTTTTATATTTAAAATCAAAATATTTAACTTTTTTGTGTGAGATTTGCATGTGTGTGTGTGCTAAAGCATAAGATGCATTTCTACATGTGCTCCAGTTTTCAGTATCAGATCAAAAACATGAATTAACCGGGTTAATTAGTGACTCTAAATTGGTTGTGTGTTCATGTTGGTGGTTGTTTTCTCTTTGTGGCCCTGTGGTGGGTCCTGGATTGCACCTTTTCCTTGTAAAACAGAATGGCTCTTTTTCTGTATTAGCACAACACTACATCTAACAAGCGGCAGGCTTTTAAATGGTTAAAGCAATTATTATAAAATTGAGTCTATTATAATAAATCTGTTCTCTGTACCTGTGGGGTCCAGCCCCCAGCACAGAGGTGATTCTGCAGACTCACAGCGCACGCTAAAGGAAGTGGTAGAGGAGCAAAGCTGAGCCAGCTGCCTCCTCTCTTTAGCAATCATCTCTCCACACTGGTAGTGATCACATAACGATGACCCACTTTCATCTGCCCACCGGTCAAATACACGGCGTCTCCTACCAACCCTAATGCATACATGCCCCTCTAGGGTGCAGAGCACCCACATCTTCTCTGCGTTTTCATACCTAGGACATACACATAATCACATGACGTCCTTTTAGACATTAGTGCAAACAGCACACACCTGTAGATATCCAGCCTCTTCACTCTGTGTTGATCTTTTGCCTCCACAGCCTCCAGGATGACATTGTCTCGGGTCACTGCTCCTGCTGTGATCTGCCCCTCACTTTGTTGTCTTTAGCGGAGAGGGGATGTAATAGATCTTCCTGCCTCGAGGAGCAAAGCAAAACTAAGGTTAGCAAGTCCTCCACGGCAAGCAGGCACACCTTCTGCAGTTACTCCACCCAAGCAGAGCAGCAGGTCCGTTGTCTCCATGCCATATCGAAGAGGTGGACGGGGTGGAGCTGATGTGTCACTGAGGGCTGAGGTCTGCAGAGCAGCATCAATCATCCCAAAGCACTCTGCATCCCTGAGCAGCACCTAGGAGGTTCATTTATAAGCAAAGATTTTGTGAATAATGAACACTTTAAAACTCTGACCATCTCACCGGGTTTCTCCTCCTGGCTTTCCTGAGAAATCCAGGATCTACGAGCTCCAGCCGCACACGCCTGAGTAACTCCACCGCTTTGGATTCACTTTGTGAATCATTCCTACGTCTTTCCACCCAGTGCAGCACCAACTGAAGCACAACTTCCTCCTGCGATATGTTCAGGTCATCTGAAGCCAGAAGGTCCCCAAGACTTTGGACATCGAGCTCCAGCACTTCTTCCCGACATATCTTTAAAGTGCAGGACAACATGTTTGAGACATAATGAGTTCTGCAGACTCTAGCTGAGAAGATATTTTTCACTGAATGATTCATCTCAGTGAAGTGTTGACAGATGTATCTCAAGGAATAGTCAGTCAGATCAGCTGCCCCCAGGTCTCGGGCTCAATGGTACTAACCAATGCAGTTGGAAGGGTCCATATGAACCTCCATGTGGTTCTGGCACAACCTTAACTCACCAGCAAAAGGCTGGTTGTTACTTTTTTAGCATTTGTTGGTATTTATCAGTTGCTGGAGACATGATTAACACCTAAAGTACGTACCTGAAGGCTCCATTAACATGAAGCAGGAAGGCAGCAGCAGCCACTCCTTGGATGTTGGTGTTGGAAAGAGGAAGTTCAGCACAGTACATGAAGTTCAGCAGCAGCTCCAGGCTCTGAGCAGAAACGTCTCTGAGAGGAACCTCTGCTCCTCTAGTTTCCTTCAGACCACATGTAAACATGGCCTGAAAACCAAAGTTCACAATCATGTTTGAAGTCAACATCATAATGTCTTCATGTTGCAGGGCTGCAAAACCTCCAGTGTGTTGTCGTGTTACCTGGAAGTAAGGGCTGAAGGCAGACAACACAACCTTGTGGCACGGGAAGGAAATCCCATCAGCCAGCAGAACCACGTCTGTGAGCTCCTGTCCAGCTGCCTGAGCAGATGTGACTCGTGATCCTTCTGAGCCGAGAGCTGTGCCTCAGAATCCATAGATACTTGTTGAAATAACCGCACCGCTTCTGACAACGTAAAAGGATGAATCCCACGGCTGTACAGAGACCAACATATTACAACAGAAACTTAAGTGTTTCAGAAGCAGAGCAGCCTGACTCTACTGTGAGATGTGTCATTGTAACATGACAATAACGCAATGCACATGTAATATGCATTGGTGTTTATTAAGGTTTTTAGATGTTGTGATGTTTTTATTAAGTGTCTCATGTCAGTTTAACTTCCTGTTTCTTGCAGCTAAGCTAATTAATCACTTAGAGCTGTTTCGCTCACGTTTCCTTCAGCTGACTGCTGTTGTTAGTGCTAAATGAAGACAACAAAGAATGTGCAAAAACCTCATACTTTGATTTAAAAAATAATACAACCTGGACAATTGCTATTCAGATCACCTGGTCCAATGATTTGTTTCTCCAAAAACTAAAATGTAAGAATTGTACAAAAAGAAAAGCATAAAAAATCAGTTTCTACTACTTCAAATGCCTACAAGCTCACAATCAGTCAGGTTCTGAAACTTCTGTGTTTCCTAGTTTGATTTTGTATTTTCTCTGTATTTGCAGCTTTGTTTCAAACTGTTTGCTGTGCCTGGCTGAGATAAACACGCACAAGACACCTCAGATATGTCACTTCAGCATGAGTTACAGCATGTTAGCATTAGCATTAGCAAGGCACAATCAGAAAAGTGGCTCCCCTACCAGTGGTGTCCCAAGGCTTTCCCAGAAATATCTGTTTTTACAGAGGTTTTTTAAGTTTTAGTCTAGATGTCTCTAGATGGTTTAGTGTTTATGTCCTGCACTGAGACCGCATTTATGGCTAGGAGGCGCATGCGGGTGATCGCATTCTTGCAAGTAAAATACGATTAAAATAGAACAGCGTGACCCAGTGAAGCTGATGTCCAGGGTAAGTTTCTCTCTGTGTGTTGTTGTCTTTGGCCCTAAATTAAAGGTAGGAGTTAATTTCCTAAAAAAGTCTACAAATGTCAGCCAGAATATAATGCTACAGGGGGTATTTTTATGTGTTGGTCAATGGTTTATACATGCTCTGTGGATGTAAATGTTTACAAAAACACATCCTAAATTTTTGGTGCATCAGTCTGAGTTCAGCATTTTCTGCAAGTGCTGTTAGGATTTATTGTAAAGGTGTTTATATGTGTTCTCTGTACTTTGTGGCGTTCATGGTCATGTTTATAAGTGTTTTTATGACTGTTTATATGGTAGGAAAAGACAATTTCCATGTAAATAGAGTTATATCTTATCTTACCTTACATAATCTTATCTTGTCTCACAACAGTGCATTGCCACTTTCAATTCATTCAGTTTTGAAGACCTTTTGACAGTAAGTATTAATATCTCATTGTGACCTGAACTAGAAAGCACAGCAGAGGGGGGTGCAAATGTGATCAGGAACTGTTTCCTGCATTTGTTGTTGGGAATAAATTTAGTTTCATTGACAATGAGCCACCCTGAGCGAGCTTCTTGTTCCACAAACATCAAACCAGACTGAGAGGAAGCTGATGATATAGATGATACAATCACAAACAACAAGACTAGAAGTTAACAAAGGTTGTTTAATTTTACCCTCATTAAGCAATGTCTGACTAGAATGGCTCTTGACTGGGCAATAACACACTCTTGGATTAACCAGCCCTGGCTGTTGATGGGCTAACTGCAAAGACAATTCTCTAGGTTTTTCTTTTCTTCACACAGAAGGAAAAACAAAACAATCTCAACATGTATAGAGACTTTACGTCACACCCACCTACTTCTGGTCCATGGGTGACAACAAAAAGGAATGGAAGTCTATGAGAGGATAAAGTTATTCTCTAATCCTGTTTGTTATGTGCCATGGATTTCACATTTGATGTCTGTGAATTTTTGAACTGTGGCAAAAATTATTTTAGGTTTTCTGTGAAAAGACATAACAGACTACAAATGCACATATCGTCAAACTGACATCATCAAACCAGACATGGAGAAGAGCAGAAGAAAAATGGCTGTGACTCTAGCGAGC